CCCTCTCGCGCCAATTCTGGACGAACTAAACGACGCAAATTATTTATAGCTTTGAGGCGTATCGTACGTAGAATTTTCCAAAAGATATGGCGTTAAAATACATTGCCAAGCGCCATGAAACAGTTATCACAAAATTTAATCAAAAGTTTCAACGAGAGCTCTAAATTAAGCATTTATTGATAAGGATTTGTTAAGTAAACCTTATGGTTAGAACTAAGAGCTTTCCAGGTGGCGATAATAGCCTGTTATATCCATAAATCTATTTCATGGCCTCTATAGAGAACTTTATTAGTTTCACGTTGATTTATACGCATATATTTGTCACTAACATTTGTCCTACGGCTTAGGTCTTATGCTTTATCTTTTAATGGAAAAACTACAGAATTTGACAAACCATTTTTAATCATTTATCATCCTAGTTTTTTATTTATTATTATTTTAGCCGTTAACTGTCCACTGCCGAACATAAGCCTTCCCCATAAGAAGAATTTTGCCAGTAGTTGCCATACTTGGCAGGCGGGTTGACAACCGCCATTAGGATTCTAGAGATGTCTGAAAAGGGATGCTGCTGCCCATCCGTCGCCCTCCCTTAGTCGCCTCTTATGACACCCACGGGAAAGGAAGGGGTGGCCCATTCTATGCCGGGGCACAAACGGCATCCATATATGATCCAAGTATTTTATTATTTTATTTTTTAATTTTATTATTCTATATTATTAAGTATAATACCTGTCTAATTAATAATAATTAATTAGACAGGTATTATAAATTCTTTTATTGTTTAATTTATTTCATGATCTAGTTTAACACATTGGATGCTTTAATCCTAATTCACGTGGACAAAGTCACGATTTACAGTTAGTATAATAATAATAAATTATATATTGCGTGATATGCAAGTTCATAAGCACAAGATGTTCTGTTAGCTTTGTTTATAAGCTCCCTGCGTATTGTACTACCCAAATTTAGGAACAACAACCTATTTACCATGGTTAATTGAATCGGTGATTGTCACTGCTCTATCAAGTTTAGAGAAGATTGTGTTGTGTATTGAAGCAAATCATTTACATAATATAAATATATAAACCATCCATTTTGTCGATGTCCTTAATAATAAGATTATAGGATAATATGCAGATAAATAGTTATCTATAAAGAAATTAAAATGATTAGCGACGTTTTGTTTTATTTTATAATATATTATTTATTTTATAATGTAATATGTAGTTTTGGTGTATTGTGTCATTGAAATTAAACATTTTTCCAAAGAACGCAAATTGACATAAAGCAAACAATTAGTAAAACTTTCCATAGTAACTTAATGTCTCCTTTAAGGACTTTTTTTTTTCATTTCAACCTATAGTACCCTGAACTGGTTCCCTAAATGAACTTTACCTACCTCCCCTTTCTAAGAAAAGACAGTAATTAATGGGTATAAATTATAATTATACGACACAAATACAACGTAGAACATAACAAGTAACGTAGATACATATTTTATTTATTATAAGAAACAAAAATGTACAATAATAAATTATACCTCGTTTTAAAGGGAAGGGAGATTATTATAATTCAAATTATTATAACTCCACAGGGTTCCCTCTGGAAACCATAGTGATAATAATGACCTTATTTCATCTATACCTCGTCAGTTAATATTTATCCTAATAGCACAAACGAGGTTACCACTTTATTTTAATTTTTGCTAAAACAGCATAAAAAAAGCGCGAAATTCTGAACAGCGCGCAACGATATTTCACACCAGAGCAAAGCCTTCTAATATATAAAACACAAGTTGTGTGTGGAACACTGCTCGCATCTCTGGGATAGCTCCGTCCAATACTTCCTGCAGGGTCTTGATGATACATGCACTACATCGCAGTGTAGTGAGTGCTTGCTTGCAGTCAAGTAAGCACCGGGTAATACGGACACATTCTTGACGTGCTGCAGAGACGAGCTGTCTGTATCGTGGGAGACGCTGAAGTGAGCAAAACTCTAGAGCCCTAACATTTACATAGAGAGCCTCCCTCAGTGTCTTCAACCGTCTATTCCATGAAGAGTGCTTAGAAGAACTTTATTCCCTCATTCCATCTTCTCCTTTCCGATATCGCATAATAAGAATGAACCAACGACTACGTCTATACATGGTATACCTCCTGCGCTCGCGCACAAGTGTGTCTACTCTTACGTGAACTGTACCGAGACAATGTGGAGTGCACTTTCCCGTAACGAGTTTCCTTCATCCTATAACCTCGGATCCTTTAAACGTAGCATGAAAAAGCACTTAGTAAACCAACATAGTGCGGTCAACCGTTAACAATAATTAATCCTTTTTTCGGTTGATCATCTTCACGGGTCATATTCTCTCTGAATTCGCTCAGAATGGTGTGGCCATACGTTGCGCTGAAATACAGAAAATCATAAATAACCCTTGTCTAGGTTCATGATTTTATTAAATACAGACTTTTGACCACAACTTCATTCTCGTAAATTTTGAAAGTAGGTAAGTAAAACTACATTAGATGGCATATCAAGATTAAAGAATTAAAGAATTTATTTAAATTTTAAGAAAAGTACACCCGATTTTAAAATAGACCCTTAAGAATACAACTACGAAAACCGTATCCATATTGGTTCAGTTGTTTTTACGTGATTCTGGAAACAATACCAACCGATAAAAATTCAAAAAATTATTATTTCTGTACTCTATTCTTCTATTTGACTACTATTATTATTTTTGTTTCTGTTGGTATTGTTTTCTTAAATATATTCTATATACACTATATAGATATTATCTCGTTACCATTATATTATACTAGCTTTTAACCGCGACCTCGTCCGGGATCTACTGACTGGGATAAAAAGAAGCCTGCATCCTTCTTCATCCCATATAATAAGTGTATACCAAAATTCTTAGCGATTGCTTAAGCCATTGTTATATGGTAACAAACAAACAAACTCTCTTTTACATAAATAATATTAATAAGGATTAGCATAATGAGGTATCTTGTGTACCTTCACTGTAAGCTCGGAACATCTCATGTCATTTGACTCCCACATATTGACGGTCATAAGAGCAATAGAGTCACTAACAGAAAAGGAAAATCTCAAACTGAATTATACGAGACGTTGCACGTAAATAATTCTATGTCTCGAAATTAACGTTGATTTATGGAGAGAGGGCTATAATCTAACAAAATGGGACAAAATTGCAAATGAATGGTGACTGAGTTGAGGACAAAAAGAAGCGTGAATTCTAATTCTACCCCACTACTATTTCTATTTTTAGCACGCAAGGGCGGTCCTTATAAATGGTTATTAACCTACCAGTGTGTTAATTAGTTGGTTTGTTTCTTACCTCTTAAAGCCAGAACAATGATTGGTATGCTAATTTTTATGTTACTGCAGATGATAGATAGCATTCATCAATATGAACCGGTAACTTCTAAAAAGTTATTAAATATTTTTTAATAATATAAACAGCTGACTCAGCAAAAAACTACTGCACCAATTTTCATACTGTTTTCACCAATGGATAAAGTGGTTCTCGAGGAAGATTTTAGTATATAATTTGTAAAAATGTTGTATACATTGGCTAAATCATTACATATTATAAAACAAAGTCCTCCGTTGTATCTATCTATCTATCTATTCGCGATACACGGAAAAATTACTGCACAGATTTTGATATTGCTTTCCCCAATGGATAACTATGACCTATTTTATAATACGATAATAGATTGTGCAATTTTTCATATACTCTTATATTGGAATGCTACGTAATGGCCGGTTTTTCTAACAATTTACTAAGATAAATGTTGTGATATTTATCTTAGTAAATTGTTCTCTCACACTTCCTAAGCACACCTAAAATGCTAATAGTAAATACTCTTAAAACACCCATGTTTAGTTCATTAATCTTATTTTTGGTGCCTAAATGTAGGACACGAAAGAACATTGTGGAAGGTTTGATGAATAAGAATGATTAATGGATTTCCCGTTAATGGGTTTTGGAATCTTTGTGCACGGCCATTGAACTCAACATGTTTCAGTGTAAAAATATTTTTCCCTGACTAAATTCCATCTTTTTATTGATATTTAAAATTAACAAGTAAAAATGCTTAAAAGCGTCAAAAATTCAGACCTAAATAAGTAGATAATTGGTGGAAGCTGAACTTGAGTCTGTGCATTGTAGCCTTATAGTATGAGAGGGATGATATCCTGATATGCAGGCAGTGGAGGAAGATAAATTATTAGTAATAAGGACATACGGTTCCCCCTGGAAACCATCCTGTTTAGTTCTTGTTGAACTTATCACGTTGTACCAAGCAACCTAACTTCATTCTCACCTTATCATTTCTCACTAGTGCCCCGCTACCAATAGCGCAAGCGGAATTACAGTTTCATTTTCATCCATTAAAAAAAATTTTATTGTTAGGATCGAAGATGGAAGTCAATTTAGTGCCTAATCATAATTGATACCTACGAGTACTTTCGAATGTTTACAATGTTTATTTGAATCACTTGAATCTGTAAATTTTATTAAGTTTTCTCTATGATTTTAATTAACTATCTCTGTCACGTACACCATAGTATTACACGATATATACACACGAGTATAATACTGTACTAACCTTATCTACTTGATCTGGGGCAAAATAAAACAAATTGTAGACCGGCCCTAACATAAGTAAGTCTATTGTACTTTTTCTACATAATAATTCATAAAATGCAAAATTATTACTACATTACACATTTTAATAAAGAAATATTTGGTATCTTTTACCGGTTGCTTTTATAAACGTTGATGTAGTGAACAACTGATTAAAGTTTAAAATTGTGTATTATATAGCATAATATTTGTAATCGTTTAGTAAAAAGATAAACCTCATCAATAGGGTCAAATAACTTTGTACTGATTCTGATAGTCTATTTCAATAATTCATTACAATAATGTCGCATAGGAAACCAATACGTTTAAAAAATAAAACTTTAAAAAGTGAAAGATCAAGTATTTATTCATGAAAGTATGAATGTCTCATATTTGACTGAAAAATATATAAAGAACTAAGCATAAGCTATAGACAACTGGCAGTAACTACAGTACATGAATCTATAAATATTATAATTGTATTGTTATTATGTTGCAAACACAATAAAGCTGCATTTACCTTAGTAAACAAATATATTATACTTGTGTTTTAGATCCATATTAAACAATATTATAATAAATGAAAAACCTATTTGAGAAAAAAAAACCATTAGCATCATTCATTGAGAATGTCCTATTTACTTAAAAGTATAAGTTGTAATATGTTTAATATTCTGAAAACTGAAAGTAGTAAATATAAAAAAAATTAAAACAAAATATGTAATACATTTCAATGTAAAACAATCACACAAAAAATACAGAAAAAACATAAGGAAATTTATTGTTATCATAAAAAAAATTATACAGAATGTGTTTAATCAAACTGTAGATACTAATTCTAAAACATCCAAATATTCAAAATACATGAGCTATTGCACAAGCAGCACCCGATTCTTATCAACCCTAACATTTGGGGCACTCTTCAACTTTTTGATAAATTTGTCTGCAATTCTATCATCTACTTCTTGACCAGTTGTTTCAGTAAACTCAGCTAAAACTTTCTTCTGCAAACGTTTAAAAGGGACCTCATTTCCCTTTTTCTCCAAAACTGATAGAATAACAGCATGCCAATCAAATTTACCATTTGTCACTGTATTTTCTGTATCTTCAGTCTTAGCAACATTTTGATCATGCAAACAAATACTTTCAACACCTAGATCTGCTGTATCTACAACCTTCAATTTCTTTTTTTGTGTTTTTTCTTTATGCAGTGGTTCATTTTCAATATTTTCACTGTTAAGATTTTCAGTCATCTCCTGAACACTATTTACAGTATCTTGCCTCTTTCTTTTCTTTTGTTTTTTGCTTTCAATTTGTACAGCTTCTTCAGTATCACCATTCACAGATTCTGTCCTATTCTTCTTCTTTTTTCCTTTCTTCATTTGAGTTTCCTCCTCCTCAACTGGTGGAGCAACAGCACTCTGTAACTCTGCTTCATACTTCTTACGTTTCTTCTCCTCCTTGCGCTGCTTCTTTGTTAATTTTTTATCATCTCCATTTTCTACATTACCATTCAATAAACCTGTGTCACTTTTATTCTCTAAATCATTTTCCTCTTTAGATTCATTTTCGGCAACTTCACCATTTTGTTTTTCTTTCTTAGTATCACCATTAGAAACAGTACCATTACTTTTATTTTGGTTATTCCGTGCATTTGATAACTCAGATAATTTTACCGATATCAGATCCCATGCTTCATCAATATCTTTTGGATTCGTCTTTTGGCCACATACATTCTTAGCAAAATTGATAAATTTTGGCTTCTTACGTGGAGTGTTGTTATGTTTACTGATAGTCTCAATAATGCGTCTTACATTCCCTGACACATTTTTGTGCTCGTCAAGCACAGTCTGTAAAATCTCCACCCAAGCATTTTGCATCTTTTCACCTTTTTTCTCTTTTGCAACAAAACCTTTTCCTGAATATCTCTCTTCTTCTGTTATACATTTAATATGACTTTCATAATCATTGCCACTGTAATTAAAAAATTAAGAAGAATTATTATTTATGATACTGGCAATTTATTCTAAAGTAATAAAAATAAGTTTCAAGTAAAAACTTTAATAAAAGATACTAGTTGCAAAGTAATAACCATCACCTATAAACTGAAACACACCTTAAACTACCAAAATATGTAACATTACAAACTAATTACAAATTTTGGAAACCATTTTACATCACAAAACTGGTCATACCACTTTGTGTATTTATGCACCACTTCTGAGGACTGATAGAAGTCCTTTGATGCTTCATGGCAAAAATAGGTGAGATAATAAATGATATATGTCTATGAAAATGGTACACACCAGATGATTAAAATCAATATAAATTTCATTAATTTTTACTCTAGATTTTATACCTAACAGGATATATATACACTAATATATAAACACAATGAAAATTTGTACATAATACAATAAACACTTCTCATAAAGAGAGTTTAATGCAGATTTGGATCAGTGGACAACCTTAGGAGTGGTGTTGAAGTTGGTGTGAATTGATAATGGCACTACTGAAAAACGTAAAAACAAGAAAAAGAATTTATTTGCAAAGGAAAGTTATCGCGACATCAAAAGTTTTAAATCCTTTACCCATAGTGCCCCTAAGGACATATTCTAACCCAGATTTGATAAAATAAATTATAATTCTAGCTTTATGCTGTTGATAGAGAATATTCTAGAACTATAGCTTATTTTTTAAGGTTTTTAAATAAACATTAGTACAAATTAGTAAACAATGTAGAAAATTGTTAAATTACAAAAACAAGAACTAATAAAAATAAATAATAATGTTAACATCATTGTGAAACAGAATCATTGAATACTTACAAAAAATCCTTAAAACAATCCATACAGGTCAAGTTGGGATTACGGTTCCTACATTTTGTCAAGTAATGTTTTTCGACTTTAGGTTTCTGGACAGATTCCCCGCAGTGTCCACATGTAAATACCACCATTTCTTTTACAGACACGTGGATTTATTAAGAAAATAATCAATGAAAGCTGTAACAAATTTATATGATTATGAAAATATTCAATGTACTAAGGCCCAGTAAATAGAAAACACAAATTTTACTAACAACAATAAACTAGTTATATAGATATTTTCCAGTAAAATCAATAGAAAATTAAAATTATTATACGAATAACAAAATGATTAAAATAATGCCGATATCCGATGACTGATTAATGACTTATCTGTCAATCTGTCAGTCGATCGTATATTCAATAAATATTTGTCAACTTAGCAAATAATTAAATAACGCCTTGAGTCAGTCAAATATGCATATAATGCCGTTTGTAAAACAATCGTAAATCAAACACCTCCGTTTCTATTTTAAAAACCTAATTTGCCCCTATATTAAAGAAATATAAAATATAATACCTTCTTCTTCTTCTTCTTTTTTAAAATATGGCTTCCACCGTAGAAGCAACGGTGATTTTCTGCCAATGTCAGGGTTAGAGAAGACTCCGTGAATTTTATATTATGACATTTTTCAGTAATGATCGTTCAGTTGAGTTCTCTGGAAAGGAGGACAACACAAAATATGTTATATACATGCAAAGGAAAAATAAATTTAATATGATATGTGTGTATGAGTGTATTATAGCAAAGACAATACGCGGAAGGAATGAAAAGACGAGAAGTGTAAAGAGTGACATATACTTATATTTTAAATTTTTATATTATTAGTACATATAAATTTGGCCAGTACCTTAACCAAAGGAGAGTGGACTAAGGTAAGAAGGAATGGAATATTTACAGGACGTGGAAAGGTACGAGGCAACAGGTCATAGAGGGGAAGGGTCAATTTGGGGCATTCAAAAAATAGGTGCTCTAACGTTCCTTCCGCTAAGCCACATTCGCACAGAGAGTGATCTTGGATTCGGATTTTGTATAAAAATACGGGTGTGCAGACATGTCCCAAACGTAGGCGGCATATAACTGATGTAACCCACTTATCTAAGTTTCGTTGAGTAGCAAACCATGGTTTTATAGGGATGAAGGGCTGGATATTACCATAATACTTGCCTTTAGATTGTCTAGTTTTTTGCCACAAGTTATCCCAAGCCTCTAACATGTGTGGTTTAGCCTGACAACGTAGATCTCGAGTGAAATAAAAATTGTAATTATTACCATGTTGGATAGCATTTTTGGCCCAAGAGTCTACTGTTTCATTCCCAATAATTCCTGAATGACTAGGAATCCACGCAATGGTAACATTAATACCGGACTTATAGCACCTATGTAAAATTTGTTTAGTTTGCAAAGTTATGTAAAAGTTTTCTTTGGATTTAAAAGGTAGTTTTAAAATATCTTGTAAACAGCTTAGGGAGTCCGAAAGAATGAGGGTTTTGTTTAATTTATGTGTTTCTACATAGGACACTGCTTCCATAATAGCTATGGATTCACCAGTAAATGTTGAGGATGAAGGAGAACATTTGAAGTTGAGGACAACGTTATATTTTGGGATCCATACAGCGGCTCCAACATGATCTGATTTGTCAGTTTTAGAAGCATCTGTAAACATCAGAAGCCAGTCGTGCCATGTTTCCGCGACAATAGCGTTAAACTTTTGATTAGCAAAAGGTGAATGTTTTACTAATCCAAAATCTAGAATTACATTAGGACGATAAATTAGAGAATCATAATCAAATTCGAAAAGAGGGTTACGGTCTATTTTTTTAATAAGTGAGATCGGGTTTTTGTACTTGGTAAAGCTCTTAAGGATGGGAGGGGGTTCTTTATGGGTCCAGTAACTTGATAGGTTTATTTGTTCTGAGAGAGACTCTAAGATAGGAAGGAGAGGATGGGAGTTATATTGGGCAATATTGAGGTAAAAGCGGTCTGAGAGATATTGTCTACGTAGATGGAGAGGGGGATCTAGACATTCGACTTGCAGAGCGTTTGCTGGAGATGACTTCATTGCACCAATAATTATACGTAAGCACCTAGTTTGAACTCTGTCAAATTTAGCTAGAGCAATTTTGTTGCAAGGTTCTAACAGAAATGAGCCATAGTCTAAGTGACTTCGGATAATAGCATTATATAAGAGTTTTTGGCTATATGGATGAGAACCCCAACGTACACCAGAAAGGGCTTTTAAGATATTAATACTACTTTCGCATTTATTTACTACGTAGCTTAAATGATGCAGGCCTGTTAATTTTGAGTCCAGGATAACACCCAAAAATTTTACTTTATCTTGTACTAAGATAGGTTCATTATTTAGAGAGAGTTCAATAACGGGGATTTGTCTCTTGCGGCTAAAAACGACCGCTGAGCACTTTGGTATAGAAAGTGTTAGCCCATGATCATCTAGCCACTGATTGAGGTAATACAACGCGGAATTTAGGCGGGAAGAGGAGTCAGAAAAGGAATCTGAGGCGATATACATAGCAATGTCATCCGCATATTGTAGGATTTTGCAGAAACAAGTAACAGAGGATTCAAGGTCAGATGTATAGATATTATATAAAAGGGGACTAAGGACAGAGCCCTGTGGGAGACCTTTCCAGACCAGTCTTGAAGGAAAAAGAGAGCCATTAACACGCAAGGAAATCGATCTAGCCATTAAGAGATTACATATGATAGTAGTCAGTCTCACAGGAATACTCAGATTTTGCAGCTTTTGCCTGAGTATTGGAAGCTGGACATTGTCATACGCAGACGAGATATCAAGGAAAATTCCTATGAGGTGTTCATTGCAGGAGAAAGCAAGGCGTATTTCCGAAATAAGGACACTAAGGCTATCTGTAGTACCCATGCCACGTCTAAATCCAAATTGTAATTTGGATAATAAACCTTTACTTTCTAAAATCCATTCAAGTCTATGTTTAATGAGAATTTCTAGAATTTTTGCCAAGGCCGAAGATAGGGCAATCGGTCTGTAAGAATTTGGATCGTTAGGATCTTTTTGGGGTTTTAAGATGGGAACTATAATTTGGGATTTCCAAGATTCAGGTACTATTCCAGATAAGAAGACACAATTAATAATATCCAGAAAGTATTTTTTACCTGACATGGGTAGATTACATATAAAAGAATATGGGATGCCGTCAATTCCTGGAGAGGAGTCATGGAGATGATCAAGGGCACAAATCAATTCTGGTAACGAGAATGGTTCATCCATTCTGTCACCACTAGAAGTTGGAGGAGTTGCATAAGGAAGGGAATCTTCTGAGGGGACAAAAGGTGGAGCAAGCCTATCAAAAAAAGCATCTACCCATAACGAGGGATCATTCGATGTTAAATTATGATTAATAGTTCCATTGCGAAATGAATTGATTTTATTCCATACAAGAGAGGGGGAGGCTCTTGGAGATAAGGATTCACAAAACCTATGCCATCCTGAAGATTTTTTCTTGGAGAGTAGTCTCTTTGTGCGAGCAGCTATCTTACGATAGGAGAGGTAATTATCCATCGTCAAGTTTGATAAATAAGTTCTTTCAGCCTCTTTTCGCAGCTTGACACTATTTGTACACTCAGAGTCCCACCAAGGGGGGAAGGGATTTTGTTAAGAGTAGAATTTTTAAGGGGGATCGAATCATTAGCTGCTGATGTTAAAAAAGTAACAAAATTATTGTAGGTTTCATGAAAATTATTTATACTTATGGCAGGGAGGGAACAAAATTTATTTTCTAAAAGACTGGAGAATTTATGCCAATCAGCTTTATCTGTTTTATATTTTAGAAGTGGACTGGGGACAGACGTAGGTTTGGAATAAGTATTATAGAATGTAATTAAGATAGGAATATGGTCACTACCATATGAATTAGGTAGGACTTGCCATGTAAGTTTAGTGACTAGGGTAGGGGATGCAAGTGTTAAATCAGGACAGCTGGGGTTTTGAAGAGGGGATACTCTACGGGTACTAGATCCATCATTCAGCACGCAGAGGTCAATGTCGTCGAGTAGATCTAACAAGTATGTAGAAACTGTGTCAGTGGATTGTGAGCCCCATAATGTGTGATGGCAGTTAAAATCTCCCATGATAATAAAAGGAGGACAGAGAGTCGATAGGAGTGACTGAAGTTCAGAGAGTATGGATTGATTTGGATGAGGGATATAAATAGAGACTAAGGTAATACCAAAGGTTTTGACTGCTACTATTTGAAATTCTGGACTGTGTGAGGGGATGGGGATTTGGGAGAATGTAGTAGATTTTGTAACCAGAAGAGCGGAACCCGCCCATCCGTCGGCTCTGTCATCCCGGAGGCATGAGTAGCCAGGCACTCTGAATGTAGTGCCAGGTCTTAACCATGTCTCCGAGATGGCAAATGCCACTGGTTTAAATTTATTGAGTAAATATATAAGATCATGTTTTTTATTTAAGATACTCCTAGTATTCCATTGTAGGAGGTTTAGGGTCATTTTTTAAGAAGGAGGAGAGGAGGAGCTGCAGTAATTGTTGGACATTGTTCGGTAATGCATCTGAAAATTTTGATATAATGTTAATGAGGGTACAAACAAGAAGTTCCACAAGATTGTCATTTGGGGTAGGGAGAGGAGTTGTTTCCTCATATTTTTGTTGGCCTATAGCAGCACAACCATTAGGTTGAGAGGATTTGGGTGTCTGAGTAATATTATTATGTGCAGATATGTCATACGATTTACCCATGGGGGGACGAGGTCGGGGAGTTAAAAGGACTGTTTCACGATATGATTTTCTGGGTGATGAGGATGGAGATGATGTAACTGAGAATTGATAGTTTAGAGGATGAGAGGTTTGAGGTTGGTGTAAATTTTGTTGAGTCGATGTTACATCAGCATATGACCGCTTTACAGAAGGAAATCGGACAGATGCCTCCATGTGGCTTATATTTTCTTCAGCCATTACAATTTTTATACTTTTTTGTCTTGCATGTTCGGGACACACCGACTCTGTAGCTGCATGATTATCACTGTCACAGAGTATGCAATGTGGTTGTTCCTTACTTTTATCGCATGCATCACCTGCATGTTGAGCACCACAATAATAACATCTAGGTTTAGATCGACACTGAGTGCGAATATGGCCAAACCTACAGCAATTTCTGCATTGAATAAGAGGTAACCTATATAGCAGAACCGGGAGAGAGGTATCAAAACAATAAACTTTTTCTGGAAGAACCTGCCCTTCAAAAGTCAATACAACTGAAGATGAGGGTATCCAAGTGACTGAGTTGTCCGGTTTATGAGATTTGACATTTAATCGTCTAGCTCTTATCACTTGTCCACAATTAGGAGGAGTATCGATATTTTGGACCAGTTCCTCAAGGGACCAGTCATTAGGTATATTACGAACAACCCCCATTCGGGAGATTTGGAATCTTGGGATGCTAGCAGAGTATTTATTATCTGTAAGGAGTGGATTTTCAACAAAATTGTTGGCTTCTAAATGATTTTTAAATTCAACAGATATCCTATTACGACCTAATGCTTTGATACCCCCCTTCTTGATTCCTGTGATTTTATTTTTGTGTAAGAACTGCGCAAATCTTAATAGTTTTATTGATAATCCAGTTGAAACATCGGGTTCTATTCTTGTTATATGTACGGAATAAGGAGCCGCATCCTGGGGATTATACTTTGCTTTTGAGTCACTCTCAAAACCTGGTCTGGTGTAAACAAATTGTATTGATTCTGAGGGTGGATTAGTTTTTTTCCCATCCCTATTGTCAAGATCCAAAGACGCTCGTCTTTTCCTTGTATTACCTACCAGGGATTGAGAGGGCTCCAAGCCATCATCGATAGGTTCTATAGGTATACCTCCTATATCGGGAGGATCCTCATCACCGCTCACCTCCATAATTACGGAGGTGGAGCGAATATACACATAAGAAACTACTTACCACACACCACTAAGAAAATAGGACAAACACAGGACAAAATGAAATAAATATAAGGATTCTCAACACAATATAACACTAAATAATAAAGATTCCAACAAAAAACGTGTATTCACTAACACCTTCAAGTGACAGATCCCAAATATAATACCTAATAATCTAGATAATACTTCCATCTAACTGTCATCCCAGACAGAATACTTGCTGTCATTGTCAAAAGTGTCGAACTACTATACTTACGCTTGTTTTTCCGGGTGTGTCCAAATAAAATTTCAAATTTATTATAACTGTATATAAATTAATATGAAAATAATATATTAAATTATACTTATTTCTCCTTAAGTTTCTAAAAATGTTATTATATACATTTTGTGTAATCATCTCTGTCCTATCGAGTAAGTGTTTTTGAAATAAACTGTAATTAGTTTATCTTCAATAAAAACTAAAACTATGTTTAAATTTTTAATTCTAAATTTTACCATTAATCATTACAATTTATTTATTGTTGGTATACATTTCCTTTATAAACTCTAAAAATATCATCATTCAGAACTATAAATCGTAAACTTTTATAGTTTAAAATATACCTATATTAAAATACTTCGATTTCCATAATCACCCGTTTTTAAATGGAACTATTATGTTGTATCTCCCAACTAAGATGTAATAAAATGTTTCAGTTGCCAAAGCAGCCAAATATGCTATTGTAACGAACTCTCTATCAGAAAGAACGAAAGTAGAAGGGCAAGACTTAGTAACATGGTGCACTGTTTCTGTACTGGAGCAACAAAAATGTGAAAAACTGATGAAGACAGTAATATTAGACAAAGGCCTATTTGGAGATGATTATATCGAGATACAGTGTAAACAGGTATTAGGTCATAAAGTTTTTGTAATAATATAAGTAGAGTAGTAGTTATGTTTATATATATCCTAAAGAATATTTTTAACAATCATGTTTTATTGATTTAGTTATGAGAAAATTAATATTTCTAAATTTACATATTTTTTCTCTTGAGTATTCTAGGTCAACCTTAGCATCTTTTTACACCTAATTGATTATAACATAACCCCATCTTTATGTATTCCCTAAGAGCATATAAAAGATTCACATTAAAATTCCTGTTTTCAGGGATTTGACACTGAAGAATGTATGTCCTTGGTAGATCAAGGAAAAGCTTCATTACTGGGTCTAGATGCAGGAGAAGTCTATGTTGCAGGCAGATTCCATTCACTTGTGCCAATTGCACAAGAGGTAAACATGTCTAAATTACTTAATATTGGCTTCTAAATTAACCATCTACCAATATCTAGTTATAAATTGTAAAAAACATTTATAATTAATATAAGAAAAGCACTTCTTCTCTTAAGTCAACAGAAACCTAAATATATTTAAACCAGAAATTAGTGACTTTAGACGTTATGAAAAATAATTTAAACAAAATAATATATTTTAATGTCACATTTTCATAAGCATTAATTTCATTATATTGAAATATCAGAAAAAAAAACAATATAAACAATTGTATTTTACTGCAGTTTCAATTTGTTTTAATGTTCAGTACTGTTGTCACTGATTGAAGTGAGCATAAAATATTTTAGTTATTTATTTTTACTGTATTACTATTTAGTATACTATGATGATATGATTATTGAGGTTTTTTAGAATTTGACTTTAACTTATAACATTTCTTTTTATTTCTAAATTTCTATAGCTCTATGGTGAAGGGGAACCTTACCAATACTCTGTAGCAGTAGTGAAAAGAGGCAGTCTTCCCGACATACAACCTGGTGCAGGATTGTATGCATTGCGAGGAGTAAAAGCCTGCTTCCCAAATGTTGGTGCATTGGCAGGCTGGGTTATGCCTGTACATGTGGTATGTAATATAACTTTTAAGCAAATTAAAAGCAGAGGGTTCTCAATGCAGTAGTTTTTGTTTATGTTAAGACTGATTTTGATGAATTTTTCTACAATGTATAGGGTCATCTTCTATTTTAGTGTAATACATTTTGTTTTATAGAACTACCTTATTCACTTAAATAGTTTAAATACTTAATTCTTTATCAAGCAAGCTTATAACCCATTCAATATAAACTGTAGGGACCATATCTTATAACTATGAACTACACTGAATATTCTATTGTCCTTATTAGCCCTCATGTGTTATAACTTCTGACAAATATCTATATATATTATTTACTTTTAGTCAAATGAATACAATTTCATGCTGTAATATTTTCAATCTTATCAATATACATTACTTGTTTAAGTAAATAAACAAATTAATACTTACAGTTAATGCAAGAAGGTGGTCTCAAGATAACAGACTGCAACAATCATGTTAAATCTGCCACTGAGTTCTTTGGTGAATCGTGTGCGCCTAACTCACTTAAGGATCTATACAACCCTATTGGTGATAATTCTGATAAGTAAGTATTGAACTATTCTTTATCTACAACTTAACATTGACTGCCAAAAGTAAAGTATGTTTCGAGAACTGTGTTATAAATGTTTAGACTGAATTGTTTGTTTACTATATAAGCTAAAGCTTAATAAATTGTACATTCAAATTTACAACAAAGTGCTGGTTTAAAAAAAATATATAGGGATTTCTTCCAATCAACCTTAAGAATCTGAAAGGAAAAAGTATTTAATGCATTTATTATTTATGTGTTATATATTATTATAACACATAAATAATAAAAGTAACAAAATTCTCTATTATATAAAATAAGTTTATGGCACGTTTTACTTTTAATAAATAAGAAGATAAATTAACTATTTTTAAACTGTTATTACTACACATTTATCAATTTCTCCCTAGATTATGCAAGCTGTGTTCCGGTGGTGCAGGCATTCGATGCACTTTGGCCGACCCATATGCAGGTTATGAAGGAGCTCTCAAGTGCCTCATTGCAAATGGCACTGGGGAAATAGCCTTTGTGAAAGACACCACTTTACAGCACGCTTTGCTCTCACAAAAGATTCTTGGTCAGTAGATTTTTTTATCTAACATTGTAAATACTACTGAATTAAATTAATTTGTATTAAATAATATTTTTGACAGTTACTTAACATGTAATTAGTTTTAACTTACTTTATTTGCCAAACTACAAGTACATTAAATTTATGTCTAGTGTGTTAAATTTTGGATACAATTACAATAATAATTTTTATTTATAAATAATTAATTTTTTTAATTAATTTAGTATCAAGGTAGTAAATAAACTATATTTTATATTATATTTATAGAAGAAAAAAAGTCTAGTAAAAGTTAAGATTAAAATATGTATTTGCTTAAAAGGTGGTGTAACGGAAGATCAATTCGAACTGATATGTCGAGATGGGTCCCGCGCGCCCGTCTCGCAGTCGGAACACTGCAATTGGGGTAAAGTACCAGCCGACGCTATTGTCACTAGTAGCGCTGCTGCCATCAAACAACGAGAGAGGTAACAATGATATATCAGTAATGTTAACTACCTACCCACTCCAAAATTGTATTCGAAATGAGCCATACTCAATTTTTCCAATTAAAATACTGATTACAATCTCATCATAATGGACATATCCTACTGTTTGTTTGTTTGTTTATTGATTATTATTATAATTTAATTGCTTTCTATTTGTATACAATTGTTATTTTCTTTTGTTTATTTTGTTTTGATTTCTTTTGTTCTTGTTTTGTGCGCTACTGTGTGGGCTGCATGCTTCTTCGATTAAATTATTTCTTTCTTTCTTCTTTACATAAGATATTATTTTCATACAAACACAGCTAAACTGAAAATCTCATTTACTTAATTAATTTTTTCAGATACCAGAGACTATTAAACAAGTTGGTTGAATTATATGGAGAACCTAATCCTCTAAATAAAGCGACAAATCACACTAATGGCTACAGAAACAGAGACTTATTTGGAAACCCCATATTTTCTACATCAGAGTCACCGCGATATCCTTATGATTATAGGAGAGATAATGTGAACAGAAATAATTATGGTGATGAGTAAGTATACAAGATTTTTATATAGGGCTTAATTCTACAATGCCTATTAAATATAGCCTCGAAACCATAATATAACTAAGGGAAGGCGAGCTGGAGAATTGCCCAGATCAGCAAGAAAGCTCAACAAAAAATAGAATAAAAGCTACTTTACGCTATTTCCAGAACAGAGAATTAATTGATTGCCTGATGATGATAGTAATGATATGTCATTATTATAATTTTTCATTATTCCTATTTATAGACGAATGAATTTTATTAAGTAGATTTTTTTAGAACTATCAAGAGAAATACAGGGCCTGATCTGGTTATTTTGCCGCTTAAAATAAATACTTGTCATCTTTTATCGCTATGTTTATTCAAAGTGAACTCATTTTGATGTTCTGGACACTTGCCTGGCTGGTGCCCTCTTAAATCGTGCCCTGAAAACTTGAAACTAATTCATATGAAATTAATAGCAATAACAACTCGCCCTATATAAACCTGCAATTTTATTTATCATATAATTGCAGCACAAGTACGGTGTCGCCTTTCCATCAGCGTATTGACGAATCTGGTCGTCCCATTGAACTGCCATTCCAGCTCTTCAGATCCAATGGCACCACAGATCTCATGATACGGGTAATTTAATCTTGATATTTTAGATAAATAATAACGAGATAGACAGAGAAAGAAACTATATGTGTATATAACTATATATAAATACAGCAAAGAATGTATACATATAAGACGAGACAAATGTATTATTTGGTGTTACACAGTTATGTGTCATGAATGAATGTCATTTTGTGTCTATTTCATAAAATAAATATAGTAAGAAAAATTAATTCTTACTAGTTGCATTCTTTTACCTTGCATCTGTACCTTACTCTTAAATAATAAATTTGACTTAAACATTCAGGATGCAACAGTGAACTTTCGATTCCTGAAAGAGGAAGACCAAACCGCTAAACATATCCTAAATAACAATTATTTGGGCAGTCAAGCAGAAAAGGCTATACTAGGAATCATGGACTGTCCGGTGAAACGAGCCGTGCTTTGTGTCACAAGTGAACCCGAGATGGACAAGTGCTTCAAAATGTCGGTAAGTAAATATACTGTATTTGTAAAAGAGGATGCTGAGTGACTGACTCGTCCATATACCGCTGAATCAAGGATCTTTAATTTTTATATATGTATATACGATATAGGGCGCGCTGAAAGCAGTATTGCTGTCGCCGGCGCTGTCATGCTGGCGCGGCCACAGTACGCGACACTGCGAGCGCGCTGTCGCTGAAGGAACGGCTGACTTCGTGCTGCTCGACGCCGCCGACATGTTGCATGCCGCCTACAGACATCGGCTCGTACCCTTCATGCAAGAGGTTAGTCTTGTATATACATATCCTACCACATCTAATTAAATATACTCCTTATTTTACGTGCCCACGTCTACTTCCTTATATCTTAAGGTTACTATTATGATACGTTAGAAATATTGATAGAAATGTTTGTTACTCAATTATGTTTAACAGCTGAATGAATTTAAATTAAATTTAGTACACAGATGGACCATATTCATAGTAATCACAGAACGAGATACCAGTAAACTCTATTCTTAAACATAATTCTTTCTATGCTTTGTTCATAGATATACTCATCAGGTGATAACTGGTACTACGCAGTAGCTGTAGCAAAGGAACAGGATCCCGATACGGATCTTACATATTTACGAGGCAAGAACACGTGTCACACTGGTATTGGTATGGCAGCTGGGTGGGTGTACCCACTCGCCTACCTTATATCTAACGGATGGATCCGGTATGTTTCATTTCAATAAATACATTAGTAATATTGCTATCGAGTATCCATTTAAAAATGGTTATGATATTGATGTCTTTTTTTTTTATCCCTCATTAAGGATAAAGGAATCACAGAAGGGTCTTCCATTATTGACGATCTTGAGCAAAAAGTTCTAGTTCTTCCCCGCTGAGGCCGCTTAATGCAGCTTCTATTTCAACCGATCCCTTCCATATTATTAAGACAGCCAAATCTCCACTTGCCACCTGCTTTCCACTGTGATTGGATATATGACAACACGTTTTTCCACAACACGTGTCCTATCCAACTCTATTTCCTGAAAAGTATCTGTTTTTAAAAGAATTTGTTGTTGCAATTTTTTTTAATGATAGAAATTAATTAATTGTAACAACTTTTTTATGTAGACCATACGGATGCGATGGCACGCACGCTGCCTCGGAATACTTCAGCAAGTCGTGTGCCCCCGGCGCGCTCAGTTCGGAATACGTGGACAGCGGCTCCGTACCACGCGACAACCTGTGCCACCTGTGCCACGGCGCCTCCTACAGGTACGAAAGATCTGAGCTCTCACTTGAACAACGTGCATGCTGGCTTCATCCTCCGCGTTAAAGTCTGTTCCATAATCACTCTTTACCCATTCACAAAATGTAGACAGTTCGTTGCATATGATGACGACTCAGATACATGATATAATCATAAATCTAATTTGATTTATAAAAAAAAAATATCAACAATAGTCTAACGGTTTGATACACAATATTATGGAGATGGGATTAATCCTGCTCTGCCTTGCATTTCATATCGACTAACTTGCTATACTATGACTAAGTGTATCTAAAGATGCTGGGGGCCTACCATGAAATGAAATTTCGAATTTTCGGACTCAATTTCGTGTTTTTGTTCGTACCTAAATCGACCCAGTAAATGGAGCTTAACGTTTCATTCATCATAAATCCTATCCTAATAATCCAGAGGAACGATGTTTTAATATTTTTAATAATTTTAAACGGCATGTATTATGTAATTTTAACATCAAATTTCTATTTCGTTCGTCCCCGAAATTTCGGAAAATATTTCATGGTAGGCGCTCTGCGGGTCTACCATGAAGTGAAATTCCGAAATTTCCGACTCAATTTCGTGTTTTTGTTTATACCAAAATCGGACCAATAAATGGAGTATAACATTTCTTTCATCATACATCCTATCATAAAAATCCAAAGGAACAATATTTTAATATTTTTAATATTTCCAAACGGCATGTATTATTTAATTTTAACATCAAATTTTTGTTTCGTTTGGCTCCGAAATTTCGGAAAGCATTTCATGGTAGGCCCTCTGATTGCTTTATTCCAGACGGTGTAGACGCGACGCAAGCGAGCCGTACTACGGGCATGTGGGCGCACTGCGGTGCATGGTGGAGGGCGGCGGCGACGTGGCGTTCGTGCGGCACACGGCGCCCGCCGAGGCGGCCGGCGGCCGCCGCCGCGAGTGGTGGGCGCGCGATCTGCTGCCCGACGACCTGCAGCTGCTCTGTCTAGATGGTAGGTAGCGCTATGATAGGTAGAAGCGCGACATTTACTACATCCTATAATTCTCATTATTCACCTCGTTTTCTTTTCCAAATAATATAAAACAAGTACCCTTATAGGATTCCTAACCTTTTATGCCCGTTATTCAGCTTAAAGGGCCAATAAATATACAAGTATACGCTTTCAGTCTTTCTAATAAACATTTACACACAAATACATACAAAAGTTATATCTGTGTTACTAAGAAATTATTTTTGATAATTCTTTATTAACAACTGTATAAATAATGCACATCTGCAACACATGTATTATACAGGCAAGGGATATGATATAGCGAGCTATACGCTCGCTATATATTGTGCCAAATATTGTGTCGTTAATAAGTCAAACTTATAACAACTTTCAATATGAAAAGTACATTTAGTACCTTCTATTTTTTTAAGCTACTTCTGACAGTATAGATAGTGACCTATCAAGTTTTTATAATCAATTATCTACATTATTTTGAATTATTCGAGGAATTAGACTACGAACTGTCTACAAAAAAAATACAAGATTAGTATGAGTTGTTTATATTGAAAGACAGAGTTTCAAAACAAATATTGATTCACTAAAACATATATATACCGGATTAGGGAATTAATAAAATATGATTTTAAACAACAATGTTATTGCTAGCTTGTTGGCCATTCTCACTCTCATACAAACAAAAATTATAAAAAAGGTTCTGGTGCGACAAACGATAAAGCAGTTCTAACTTCCTCAATAACTTTTGTGATTATATTACATATAGTAAACTATAGTAAACTATACATATAGTAAAATAAAATAAATAGTTAATTTCTAATCTTATTATGCAGTTTTTTTAATTTGTTATTTATATTTATTAAATTTTATATGACTATGTCAAATTATTCAAAATTATAATCTAGTATAGTTTTGCCATTGATTTCAGCATAACGGATGGATAACTATACAATGGTTATGCACCATTTATTTGTAACAACAATATTTAACATTTGTATAAAACATTATTATTACTAAAGCCGTTTAACATTAAATTAAAATTATATAAATGATTGACATATGAGAAAAGTAAAACTCACATTTATAATATTTTGTTTACAGGAACTCGAGCCAAAATGCACGAGTACAAACATTGTAACCTGGGCAGGGTACCAGGTTCTGTACTTATGGGGAGACCTAATCATACAGAATTGGATACATATTCCAATTTAATGGTTTACGCTCAACAGTTATATGGATCTACTACGTCTGACGAATTCAGGTAAAATTTAATAGATAATCTGAATATCAAATATATATATATATATATATATATATATATATATATATATATATATATATATATATATATATATATATATATATATATATATATATATCTGAATATCTATCTGAATGCATCTTTAAAAAGGTTTTATTTTTGCATATTCTTTATGTAAATCTATTGAAATCCTGCATATAATAATCTAACAGAAAATTTACAAAAATGTATGTGTGTATCGCGTATGACTTATCGGTTTTTTGTTGGCCATTATATAGCAGTATGTTATTTGACCTAGACTGGTTAAATCCATCATCCACTACACATTTACATCATAAAACATATCTAACGCATGCTACGGCAGAAACATGAGAAATGTATTTTGTATTCCAGCTTCAGCATGTTCTACTCGCCGCCGCCGTACGCGGACCTGATCTTCAGCGACGCAGCGGTCCGCTTGCGGCGCGTTGCGCACGCGCAGCGGTCGGCGGCGCTGCTCGCCGGCCGCGCCCTGCCGCGCGCCGCCCGCCTCGTGTCCTGCGACGCGCCGCCCGCCGACCACTACATCGCCTCCGACCCGGATTTCCTCTCACACGCGCACACCGCATGCGCTTTTCGATATCTGTTAGTAGCAATGTTACTGTTTGCCTTCATGTGATGAATCTTGTCATTCGAGTGTAGGTAAAGGATGTATTACAAGTATATAGGGTCATATGTGTATTTTAAATTCATAAATACAGACTGATGACGACATACTGTATACTACAAGAGTTTACAAATAAAACTTACTAATACTACTACTGCCTATATTGAAAGTGCATATCCAGCGTAGTAAATTGTTAAAATAATTTAAGTATGATCATATATATTTGATAGTAATATAATACACACAGGTCTAGTTTTTAATTTTAGAAATAATAAATAATAGACAAGCGACGAGTTTTCAGCTTGTTCACATTAAGTAGATTGACAATTTTAAACCAAATAGGCAAATCTTCTTACTTCTCCTAATTCTCCAAGTTTTATTTTGTGACTGCTATGAGCATTGTTTACTTAACTGCATTTGCAATTTTGTATAATAGAAATTCTTACATTGTTCTTAGTATAAACTTATCTGGTTCTAAGTTTTAGCTTTTGTTCTTTTGGTCTAGATTCACATTTATAGACAAGACTAATGTTAGAAACATTGTACAATAAAAACATATAAAAATACTTAGTGCATACTGTCAGTACGTATTTTTCCCCAATCTTAAATTTGAGTTTTTTGCCTATGGCATACCAGCATTTATATGGATGCACTGATTCCAATACGAGTTTTTTTTTTTTTATTTAAAAATGTTTTTTACCAAACAAGCATATGTATATTTGATAAATTAGAACAGCTTATCAACTAGGATTAAATACGCGTATTGAATATTACAGCTACATAAAATTTGGACTTTTATGCTTTACATAAGCTAGGAAATTCCATATTTAAACTATCTAAGATTTGTGACGACCAGATAATAAGAGTTGATAGTGTATTAAAAGACGATAAATTCTACCAACAGTCTCGTCTATAATATTGACATGTTCTTACTACTTACATTTCTAATTTTATGTTTACTAAATAACAGAGAAAATCAAACCTACAATAATGAGTATTCAATGTGCATTTGATAATTATAACTGTGCTTATGATGTCGTTATTGCGATGATTTTTTTATACTTTTCCGTGGAATAAAACATTTACTTTATGAAACAATAACTAACGTTTAATACAATAACAGATAGTAACCCTAATTATTTTCAAGTACTAATCACCAAAATTTAATGAAAATACATTCAATAATCTTTGTGATGGCGCATAGACATGATCTGAAAATATTATAGTTTTTTTATGTTTATAGATACCTAATTATATCTTACTGATAATTAGTTCTATGATTATAATAATTAAATATACTTAATTGTAATTACTAATACTTTCTTAAGTGTTTAATATGTATTACTAATTTTTAAACATCAACTTGTTAGTAAAAGTCAACATATTGAAATTTCATATTTTTGTCAGTTCCAATAATTTTATTGTATAAGATTTTGTAATATTTATTTGTCACCAAGATCATAATACGGTAAATAAAAAAGCCTTAGTGTTTGCATAGCATAGTATATTTGGTAACATTCTGGTTTCTATTATTAATATAAGTACCTGTTTTACATCTTACTACTAGATTTTAGTACAAGTTTTTGTATCAGTACAAACAGCATAAAATCGGTCATTTGGAAAGATAATATATCCTAATAGTAAAGGCTAATTTCAGCCCACTGTGTGTACTTTAAAAAAAACATGATAAATCAGCTGATATTTAACAAACATATCCTATGTATAAAGATCTTTTGCTCCGTCCAACAAGTGCCTTATTATTTTTCTTTATGATTTAAAATATATTACATATAAGCTTTATTATTTTCTATTTTAGATTTTAAGACTATTTTTTTTTATATTATTATACCTTATGTATTAAATACAGATTATAATATCAATAGTAGTTAACCATATTATACATGAACGTCTCATATTGATGATGTAAGATCTGGAATAACTTTCTAAATAAATCATTTTGTGTATTTTTTATATAATACTAAATGTTATACTCGAATTATAGAATCTCATGCAGATTTTGCATTGCAGCTGTCCATTTTAAATAAGAATGTTTATCCATTCCATATTGTATTTTAGCAAAATATTTTATATCCGTCTATGAAAATATTTTAGACTGAATTTTTAAAATAAAACTTGTGAGTCACTGAGAGATTGTTTTATTCGTTTAATAACTGATCAATCCACTTAATTTTACAATCACTAATCATAATAGGATATTGTAATATCTTATACAATGTAAGTCTGTATATACATTAATTTATACATCTTCATTAAAAAAAAACCTCCGGCACCGAATTACATTTGTGCAAATAAATAGATATCTTTACGAACCGCACATCATTTTACGACGATTATAACATTGTAACCCGTCGGGTAAAGTAACAAAACCTTTCACAATAATCCTCAAATCTGTCCTTCGACACACTTCCTTTACAGCCGGACGTAAATTAGCACCATTACTGCCGATCCTACACGCGTGATCCTTCCACTTCCCAAATATACAATTAGCTTTAGCCATTTCATCATTAATCAGCGGGACCAGCCCATTACATTTTGAGGTTTTCTGCGCGCACAAATTCAACGCCTTCCACGACAAATAACGAAAGTGATTTATACAATAAATAAAAGGTATGTCTGCAGGTTTATTCCTCAGAAGCATATCTATCATAGCATTACACAAACGAACTGTTATGCGCTTCTTGTAAACTACTAAATAATTTTTCATCTCATCTGCCTCGCAGAGAATAGCTAAAATTGTGCAAAACTTGTTTGCAGATAGACAAAGAGTGGTAAATATGTGTCTCCATACAGCTTTTTCGCTGTTATAGTGCAAATTAAATATATGAGAGTTAATTTGAATACTGGACTGACCAATACGTTGCTCAAGAAATTTGCTAATATTCATTATAGCTTGAGAAAAACTTATTTTGTAGCATATTTGACCAAAATAAATGTTGCTAGCTCTTCTCACTTGAATAGTCTTTGTATCGTATGTATAGCCAAGAAAAGTGATTTCGTCACTAAACTTGATTGTCGGATGATTAAAGTTGACAATGGTCTTTTCATAATTAATATTTTTATACTTAGAAAGAGCTTCCAAAAATGATTGAGCATCTATAAGTGAATCTGTTATATATAAATAGTCATCTACAACTCTTGTAAATAAATGTATTTCAGTTTTAGATTTCTGGAGATGCTCATTAAAATATAGTTCATCTTTATGAGTGTAGTACAGTTCCGAAAGCGCTGGCGAGTACTTATACCCTTGCACTAAACCCGCTTTCCATTCGAAAACTGTGGAACCGGCGCGAACTAAAATCGGTTTACTTAACTCTACTATCAGATCTTTATACTGTTGCTTGATTTTTTCTTTCGATCGTAAGCATTTCTCATTACTTATAAGTGTTGAAAATCTTTCGTCGAGAATTTTCACAAGTTCTTGTCTATTTATTGAGCCAAAAGCGTTACTTAGATCTGCTTTTACAAAATATAGTTTCGGTTTATTTAGATTAACCCATTTTTGATAAATATTATAAAATGGGATTTCTGTTTTTTTACTATATTTACCTATTAAAGTTTTAAGAAATTGCAATCTGTCTTTCATTTTATATTTTTCTGATGTTGTTAAAGTATTATTCTTATATCTAACAATTGGTCGGCAATTATTATTTGGTTTTAAAACTAAATGCAACTTTGGTATATCTTTCCTGATTATTTTCATTCTAACTTTCTCTGTAAAACTGTAACTTCGCTTGCACATTTTACCTGAACAATAAGACTCTGATCTTTTTATTATTTTACTCAATATCATATTAGCGATCTTTTTGTCATAAAAACTTTGCCATTCACGTTTTCTGAAGAAAAAAAGTTTATTTTCATCGGCATCTATTTTAGATGTTGTTACATAAAAATTCAAGGAAATCATTCCAGATAAAACATATTGAAAAATCCACATCAATAAAAAACGTAAAACTTTCTTGGCAACTATTTCAGAAATAGATTTCCAACACCCCACAGTGAAATCCCACTTGGTAATATGTTTTTCAAGATTAATGTGCTGTCTTTTCATATTATAAATTATCGTTTGCGTTAACTTTTCAAAAATTTTTATATTATTGCAATTTGCATAAAAAATTCTTGGAATAATATCTTTTAAAGCTTTCATGCAATTTATATAAATATCTTCTTTACTTACTGGATGTAAAACCTCCGTGATGTTTTCTTCACAGATAAAGTAATGTTTAAAATCCTGTTTTGATTTGTTTCTAAGATTCAATCGTAAAACAGTTAACATAGTTAGAAAATTAGTTGATAATTCCTTTACTACATCATCATCTTCAAATAAATGTAGAAGAAAAGAAGCCATATCTTCATTTTTTAATAATTTAGATTTGATAATATTAGAAAATGATCTCACATTTTGTTTATCCACAAAATACTGCGAAAAACATATTGGTCCTTCCATGTTCACGCACTATAATAACTGACGAATCATATGAATTGTCTTTTCAAAAGCTCAAAACACAAAAACAGCCAATGGGCTTTTTAAGAATTCAAAACTTGCGCGAACTTGTTAGGACATGTACAAAATATTTGCGGTCCCTTGCACCTGCGTTTTCTTCCACCCTTATTTTGGTTTTATTGATTCGCCTTTAAGAATATTTTCTCTGCGAAATAAAATAATATCTACTTAAACTCTTCCGTCATAGAAGTATATAAAATAAATAGTACCTAGGTATACTCATCATCATCGTCAGATCAGCTTTTAACTGTCCACTGCTGAGCATAAGCCTCCCCCTAGAGGGGTTTTGCCTGCAGTTGCCACGCTTGACAGGCCGATTGCAAACAGGAGTTAGACTTTGGAGATGTTTTAAAAGTTGCTGCCTATACGTCACCCTACCTTAGTCAGCTTTTACGACACACACGGGAAAGGAAGGTGGCCTATTCTATGCCCGGACCCCACGAGAAACCTAACGTAATAAAAACCTAAACCTAGGTATACTAAAATGCACAAAATAGAGCTAATTGAAGGTTTTAATATTGCACATTATAGTTGGCTACGTAACCGTTCACCATTAAACGAGTTGTATGCTTGTTTGCCACCTTTGTGGTATAAAAAAATTGAAATTACTTAAATCTCCACCAAGATTGCATTATGTGTGCGATACGCACCCATAGCAACTAAATATTATTTCAACTGTGTTTTACTACCTTCCACTTCTTACTAGAGGGAAGGTAAATTGGAAAAACCAGAATGAGATGAGAGAAAAAGTAATGGGATTTAAAATGCCCATTACTAGCAATATACCTTATCAGATCGATCTCCACGTGATTCCTCCTGGAAACAATTATAGTTAACTTTTTTCAAATTCCTCATTATGGGCCAACTGATCTGCATTCGTCCTCACCTATTATCTCTCACTGGTGCCCCGCTTGCGTAGTATACCAATAACGAAAGCAAAGAATTACCATTTCATTTTCGCCCACAAAAAAGCCCAGAAAGAGAAAAGGCTACACCAAATAACTAATATTTCAAAAAGGATTTTTTTTAAATAACTTATAGCCGAAACACACAACACAAATTATGATAAGAAAGTTTATTTATAAATTTCCAAATAATTTTCAAAGTGCAGTCAGTAATTTATGTAACTCTAAAAATGGGATTCTTTATTATTATAAAAATAATGCAGATGATTGAAATGTGAAATAATGTGATTATGTACAAACTAATGATTTTAATTGTTTTTATGTTCTACTAGTATCTTCATAACAGAGAGGACCTAGTGTTTAAGGCCTCTTTCAGGCCATATACACTATTTGATTTTAAAATTAACTTACATAGATTTTAATATAAGTTTAATTACTGGCATGACTTAATGATCCTACTTACATTAATTAGGAAGATGGTTTTAAAAATAAATTAAGTTTATTCTGACTTTTTTGTTCCTCTTTTAATTTAACAGATGCTAAAACGGCCTTCTGACAAAGACCTGCAAATTTATCTTTCTTTTTCTTGCTATTTTTTATAACTTTTGGACATTTATTCATACTATTTGCTAATGTGTTATTGTTATTTTTCAAAGAAAATATCTCTTTAGCGTTTGCATAAATGTTAATTTGCGATTCTATCGTAATTTTCTTTTGACTTATTATTTTTTCAGGTTTATGTTTAGTTCCTGATATACTTTTTATTTCTTTTATATTTCTTTTTTCTGTTAATATAGGTTTTATTTCACATTTCTCTTCCTTTTTAGGTCTTGATAATGGCACTACTGTAGATTTTTTGCAAAATGAACAAATTTGCTCCTGTAAAAAAAAAATTGTTAAAGCATGTAGACAAACACATCTATTCCACTGTACTGTTGAAGTATAAAAGTGAAGTACAAAAGTGAATTGTTAAAAATTGTGATACTTCACAAGAAGTTATACAAGAATAACTGTAACTTATTAGTACTTACTAGCTCCTTAGGAAATATTTCTTTTTTAAGATTCTTCTTTTCATTTCTAGAAGATATTTTCTTTTTTTGCTTCTTGCAAATCTTTTTAGATCTTACCTAAAAGTAAAAAGTACTAGTAAATAAATTTCTATATAGAGTAGTTTAATGCTCTTAAACATTATTAAATACTAAAAAGTTTCAAATTTTGTAAGGAACCTCCCTGACCAGAATTAACATACTTAAAGATATATAATAAATAAATAATAAAAATGTATAATAAATAAATAATAACATGTAAATAAACAGATATACACTCAGCATGATCTACTTCAAAATGTATCGCAGCTTGCATTATAGGTACTAGTCTATTGATAGGAATACTTAAATTGATTTTATAAATACAAAGAAAAAAATATTATATATAAAGAAAAAGATTGTGTTATAATCAAACATTCTACCATGCAAGATGAAGCAGTAATGGTGGTAAGGTTACACCACCATAAGTGCCAATCCTAGCCTATCCAGCACTATGGATAATTTTTTTTATTAGCACCCCCAACAATGAAGTCACTGGAAGCCACCGTTCACCTTGAAGTACCAATATAGAAATTGTCACGATACTCATGTGTAGTTACTATGTCAAACTTTTTAAAACCCAGCACCACCCATTTATGCCATTCAATTAAGCACAGCACTTACCACTATTATAATTCCTTACAAATATATAAATTATCTATTACTTACTTCAATTTTGGTTTCACTACCCCACTCAAGGTAGCAATAAGAACACCTCACTTTGGGGGAAAAATATTTCTCTGGAAGAGGGCTCCCTTTTGATACCTCTTTGCATCTCATTCTGTAATAAATATTGATATATTTTTAATACTGGTATAAAAAAAATACAGAAACAGTAGCGACAAATGAATATATCTATTTATAAATGAATAAAAGGGAATCACACTGAGGTAAATTAAAATTAAAATGCCATTTACTATATTTTAAAAATATTTATAAGAGTAATACCAATATAATAGTATTGTAAGAACATAAAGTTTATCAAGCTGAAGACAACATCATTCATCAATCAATATTGATTAAGAGGAAGTGGATTGTTAATAAAGAGGAAAAATAGGGGTGTTATACTAACTATATACTCTATCAGACCCACCTTTACATAGAAAATACTAGTTAATTCCTGGTGAATATGCCACAAAGGGTTAACCAACCTGTCTTTTCCTTACCTATCATCACCACGCCAGCTTACACAGATAGCGTAAGCAACATTTAAATTTGATTAATCGATTTAAGAAAACACAATTATCTGTAAACAATACTTACAAATAATAACTTTTCAATATTCGCATGCGATCATCCAGATTATTAGCGGCGTTATAAAGGAATCCGACGCGACTCTCCGTCATAGTTATAATATATAATAAATAAATAAAGAAGGTAGTTTAAATTATAGATACCAAAATTGAGGTTAAAATTTTAAAATATAAGCCGACTATTTTTTTTTATTCTAATTTTTGTTGAGGTTTCCAATATAACTTACTCACTATGTAATTTTATTTAAAGAAAATCTCATATTTTCACAAAACCTTACAGTAATTTTGTAATTTTATTTTTTTCAATGAAGTGATGTGAGCGTAGACCTTTTAGTTTTTTTTTTTTTTAGTACGTTTGTTCCGTTTGGAAAAGGCTAAGGTCGGAGACCATGCTGCCTAGTCTTCAAAAAGATAATTTGTCTGGAATTTTATTTTTCTAATGTCGCTTCAATTATTGTCATAATCTTCAATATTTCATTTGTCAAATCCGGTAAGTACATTTTCATAAATATCTTTTCTTGAGTTTTCTTAAACCAGTGGATTTATCAAATTAAAAATAAATAATTATAAAAAATCATTGTCTTGCAATTCAATAAAAGTATTCTTATAGCTCCTTGAATGTTGTAGTAATATACTTAAAGATATTCGTACCTTGAACCTTGTTCCTTGAACAGTAACTGAACTCTTCAAAGATTGGTAGTAAGAATTAGCAGAATTGTCAGTAGATTTCACTTATACAGTTTATAAGGTCCAAACAAATAACACAAAATATATATAAACGAACACACAATATCACTTGATATTTAAATAAAAATAATATTTAAATCACCTACTAATTTTCTATTTTCGTAATAAAACGACAGTCAACAATTGCTAGGCAACACACGCAATAGGTGTCACACCGCATTTAAATTTTGGAACCAACCAAAAAGTATTAACATCTTCTCTCGGTGTGGAGACCTATTGACGCTAGGATTTTCCACAAACGAGGTCTAGGCAGAGGTTTTGTGAATATATCTGCCAACTGTAGTCCAGTGTGAACTTTCTTTATCACTAGCTCTCTAGCTATAACAAGCTCACGAACAAAGAAATGACGAATCCGAATATGTTTAGTCCTCTTGTGGAATTCCGGATTCTCAGCTAATCTAATAGCAGCTTCATTGTCCACATTCAACACAGGAAGTTCTTTCAAGCCTACCAGTTCTCGAAACAACCTAGTTAGCCAGATACATTCCTTAGCTGCTTCGCTAGCAGCGACTATTTCTGCTTCCGTTGTAGAAATTGCCACACTAGTTTGTCTTTGGCTTAACCATGAGATAGGACCACCCGCATAGAGGCACAGTACTCCTGACGTTGATCTTCCTGTTGTAATACAACCTCCATGATCTGAATCACTATAGCTTTCCAAAATTTTGTTCTTATAATATTTCTTGTACAAAATTCCAGCTTCAGGAGCATATTTGAGATAACGCATAATACGTTTCACCCTAACGCAATCTGTCTCAGTTGGTTTTTCTAAATTCCGTGATACAACACTTACAGCATAGGCGATATCTGGACGTGTGCCAACCATAAGGTAAGCTAATGCACCAACAATCTGCCGATAATTTTCCAGGATTGGAGTTAAATCACACGTATTGTGCTTTTGTTCCACATCATCCTTAACTATGGGCGTCATAACAGGTCGACAATCTTCCATACCAAAACGCTTCAAAAGTTTTCTTGTGTAACCAGCTTGAGCTATCAGTAGGCCGTCTTCTCTTTTTTCTATCTCTATTCCCAAAAAATAGCATGCAGGCTTCATAGTAATTTTGAAAGTACCTTTCAGATCTTCAAAAAATTCATCTACTAGCATCTGTGAAGATCCTGCCACCAAGCCGTCATCCACATACAAAGCTACAATAATCTTCCCCTTATCGTTGTCTTGTACGAATAGACAAGGATCAGCATCACAAGCTTTGAAATCCACGCTTTTGAAAAAATCTAGTATCCGTTTGTTCCAACATCTTGGAGCTTGTTTCAAGCCGTACAGACTCCTTTTTAATAAACATACGCGTCCAGTGCCATCGTCATAACCTTCCGGTTGAGACATAAAAATCTCCTCGTCCAAGGATCCATACAAGAAAGCAGTTGAAACATCGAATTGCATCATATACATTTCCTCACTAGCCGCGATACTCAAGACAGCTCTAATCGTTGCCATCTTAGCTACTGGGCTAAATGTCTGATAGTAATCAATGCCTTTCTTCTGTCGAAATCCCTTTATGACAAGTCTAGATTTATACTTATCAACTGTTCCATCTGCATTAAGTTTCACTTTAAAGACCCATTTGCATGGAATAGCCTTCCTATTTTTCGGTAGTTCTGTTAAAATCCAAGTTCCATTTTCTTTTAAAGAAGAAATTTCACTTTCCATAGCTTTTTTCCATAGCTTACTTTCTGGACTTTGTATCGCTTCTTTATAGCAACTTGGTTCTGAGTAACCAGTCCATTCGGTGTTCATAATATAGTCATTGAACTTAGCAGGAAGTCTAAGTAATGCACGATCTCTCAATACTCTAGCACCTTGCTCAGATATCTCAAGATCTCGAAGACCTTCTGGAATATTATTATTAATATCTTCCCCATTTGCTTCATCCAGTTCAATTTCTTCTTCATGAACATCATTTCTCGTATCATCAAATACTTCATCATCAATAGGCGAGCTTGGAGAAGTCTCTATCAAAGGACTTTCTTCTCTTGCAGTATTAATACGATCATTTGTAGCGATCGAAGCTTTCTGAAGAGGAATCTCTATCTCGTTCTCTTCAATTTGTTTAGTTGATACATCAACGAACCTTGATTCGATTGGATTCTCATTGATAACAACATCTCGAGACCTTATTAAAGAATTCGAAGCTTTATTCCAAAGTCTATAGCCATCATCGTTATCATAACCAATCAAAATACATTTATCTGCTTTCTTTTGCAATTTCTTTCTTTTTTGTTTTGGTACATGTACATAACATAAAGAACCAATTATTCTCAAATGCTTAATTTGTGGTTTTCTTTCATACCAGAGTTCATAGGGAGATTTCTTCTCTATACTCGACGGTCCAGTCCTATTTAAAATATAGACAGCCGTGTTCACGAGTTCAGCCCACAAGTATTGAGGCAACTCCTCATGCGCATGCATCATTGCTCTAGCAGATTCAACAATGGTTCTGTTGTCACGTTCACAACAACCATTCTGCTCTGGTGTATATGGCGTCACCAGCCGTTGCTTAACACCATTCCTTTTTAGAATGTTTTTTACTTTTTCGTTGTCGAACTCTCCGCCGTTATCGCTGAGCAGTTCCTTGACTGTATGTCCTACTGTCTTAGCTTCAGCTAGCATATCTTCTAATTTCTGATATACTTCTGATTTCTCACGTAGAAAGTAGACATAGCGAAATCGTGTGTAGTCGTCCTTAAATAAAACAAAATACTTATATTTTGATGTAGAACTTGGGAAGGGTCCACAAACATCTGTGTGAATAAGTTGTCCAGGTGCAGTTGCTCTTTCACGTACACCAAACTTCCGTCTATGTGCTTTTCCGAAAATACAGCCTTCACAGACTTCTTCATTAGACCAGTTTGTTTTAATTCCCAACTCACGTTCGATTACACCCTTTACGTGTTTTTTACTCTGATGTCCCAATCTCTCATGATATAGTTGCAATTTATCTGTCTTGTCTACCAGATTTATGCAAGTCACAGGCAATACAGGTTTAAATTTCAACTTATATAAACCACCATACCTTTCTCTGGTTCCTTTTACGGCAATCTTTCCGTTGATTTGGACATTACAAGATGTTACACGGGACTCAAACAGACTATCAGGATTTCTGTCCTGAGTCGATAGAACCGAAAATAAATTCTTACTAATTTGAGGTACATACCAGACGTTTCGAAGATATATATTCTCTTCCTTACCATCAACATCAGCTATAACGTTGATTGTGCCTTTACCAACGGCTTTGATAATATTACCATCCGCTGTTGTAACAGTGTGAGATTCGCCAAAGTATTCAAAATCCTGATAGAGATCCTGACGCATTGTTACATGATTGGTAGCTCCATTATCAACATACCAGCCATCCTTGTCGATAACCGTGTCTAATGAATTTACCAACAACAACATCATGTTCATGCTTGAAACAGTCTCTTTTCCTAAGCGAGTAGACTTCTTCTTAGAACATTCCTTCATAAGATGTCCTACTTCTTTACAAAAGAAACATTTCCTCTTATCAGTAGTCTTTGAAGTTTCACCTTCTTTCTTTAAAGTTTCACCTTTTTCCTTAGTAAACTTTTTCTTCACTTTGGTCACCAGTGCTTGCCCACTAATCTCACTAGTACCTCCTGTTCCTGTAAGAGCACGTTCATGAGCACACAATTGACTAGTTAGGTTTTCCACTGTTCGATCCTTTTTTGACATCAACAACCAACTCGACTTAAAAGAGAAATACGATTCAGGCAGTGTGTCTAGAATTTTGCAAATCAGCAAAAGATCTGGTAAATTAGTATTATTTTCTGCTTTTGCAAGTTCCTGTACCAGTTTGAACCATATATTCTTCAGTTTTGTGATGTGAGTTGTAATATTATCTAAGGGATCTTTACTGTACCGAAAGAATTCCATACATAAATCATACGCTTTATTGTCATTAACGCCATCATAAAGCCTGTGTAATTCATCCCATACTTCTTTAGGAGTGGAGAATCTAATCACCTTGTCAAGTGTTTCGTCGCTAATATTATTAGTTATCAAGAGTAGTGCTGTACTCTCTAACCTGAGAAAATTCTGTAGACTCGTGATATCACCTGTGCTAACCCTATCTCCATCAGCTGATGCAGCAGCTCCAGCCACTTGCGTAGCAGCTTCTGCCAGCAGAGAAGGTCGTTGTATATTACCTTCAACAATATCAAGAAGTCCGTCGATACCCCTTAGCAAAGCGGTCATCCGATACTTCCATTGTATCCAGTTATGGTTTTCAAGTTTGGTAATCTGTATCTTGGCAAGATCCATCTTCAGCAATCTGGGCCCGTAACCACTTAAAGATATTCGTACCTTGAACCTTGTTCCTTGAACAGTAACTGAACTCTTCAAAGATTGGTAGTAAGAATTAGCAGAATTGTCAGTAGATTTCACTTATACAGTTTATAAGGTCCAAACAAATAACACAAAATATATATAAACGAACACACAATATCACTTGATATTTAAATAAAAATAATATTTAAATCACCTACTAATTTTCTATTTTCGTAATAAAACGACAGTCAACAATTGCTAGGCAACACACGCAATAGGTGTCACACCGCATTTAAATTTTGGAACCAACCAAAAAGTATTAACAAATATAAGTGAAAATAGCTTTGAAACAAGAAGGAAATCTTAAGAGAAGCGGGATTGAGTGCGGGATATTTTCGGGTTTTTTGAAGATAATCCTAAGTTCGTCAAACATAATGTGTCTTTGAATGACAAATTCAGAGCAATCAAAAAAAGGTGATGTAGAGATTGGGCTGTATTTGAGTTACACCATGTGCATGATGGGGAAGCGATCATGCCCATTCGGTGCAGGTGTTCGTTGAAATGTCCGTGGCCGATTCGTAATCTACAAATATTGGTGTAAAATTTTCTGTTTGTGTCCTTTCCTTTGCAGAACCACGGTTTTCCAATACGCCAATTAATTTTGCGGTACCATTTGCCTTTAGTCTGTAATATTTGAGTCCAATGCTCCTCCCATTTAGTTGTAACGATTTTATGTATTCCAATACTACAATCTGAGTAACAAAGGGGTAAATCTTGAACACGAGCAGCACTTGAATTAATAATTTTAGCCAAAGTGTCTACTTGTTCATTCCCAAACACTCCAATATGTGAAGGGGTCCAGATGAAGATAATATCTTTTCCATATATAGTACAGAGATGATAATATTTATTACGAATTTCTTGAATTAAGTAGTTTGATGATGAAATGAATGTGTTATTTTTTAATGCCATAAGAACACTCATACTATCTGTAATTATAATCCATTTCGAATATAGTACCTGTTTTTCTATGTATTCTAATGCTAAAAATATAGCTTTTGCTTCTGCTGTGTAAATACTAGCCAAAGTTGAAATTTTATAACCGTGACCAAATCTATTTGACAAATCGTAAAAAGCCACTGAAGTGCTAAGTGCATTTTTGGAACTATCTGTATATATCTGCCTGTAGTCAATAAATTCTGATAAAGTCTCATACATATCGTGCTTTTCTTTTATGTCTTTACGTATAACAATTTTGATCTTACAGAACTTACTCTCATAAAGGCCATTATAACAAGGAAGTATCTTACTACTATAGATGTTATATTCATCTCGTAAATTCAAATCATTGACAATAGTTTTATTCAAAAACATAGAAATGGGGCAATTTAATAATTTGAGTATGAGTGGGTTATTGGAAACTGAAAAAACTTTGAAGAGAAATTTGAGTTTTAGGTATTCGAAACGAAGAAGGATAGGAGGCAAATTACATTCTACTTGCATTGAGATAATTGGAGAAGTATACATAGCACCTAAAATAAGTCTTAAATTCATATTTTGAATTTTTTCTACTAATTTATGTTCTGAGGCATAACAAAAGAAAGCGTAATCAAAATTACTTCTAACAAGAGATTTGTAAAGTAAAAGGATAATTTTAGGAAGTAGACCTTTTAGTTTACATACATATTGACTGACATTGATGGATATCTGAACCGTAGATAGGTGACGTAAATCAATAAACATAGAATAATATTTAATAGAAAAATCCTTTCTATTGCTTTTTATTATTTTTCGTTTCCTATTTATGTGATTAATAGTATAATGGACAACATTATCCTTTGCCAAAATAAAAAAAAAGCCTATAAAGTATGTAGTAACTGTGGCCTTTGAAAAAAGTTTCCGCTACCAAACTACGAAATGCTGGAATATTATACCGACACCAATAATAAGATTATCTAAAACTAAACATATATTTACAAAAGAACTTAATATTTTTTTAATAATAAACAAAAAATTTACATACCTAATAAGTATGTACCGGAAATATTTGTTGCCTGAATGTGAAAGAAAGTGATCTCTGACTGCCCCTCTTCTAATGGTATCTGTTATTTATTTATTTAGAATTTGTTAAGTTTGTTGTACTTATTTGTTCTTTGTATTTTTACGATTTTGTAATAATAGACCTATATCAGAGTTGAAAAGTATATTTGTTAAAATAATCTTTAATAACTCGCTATATTACATCTCCTTTCGTACTCACTTCCGTGAATTAAAAAAAAAATTTTCTTTGTCCTGTTCCTTCAATTTTCTTATTATTATACTATTGAATACTATTGTAAAATCTTATAACAAATAAAAATTATTGTAACATACATTTATTATTATGGATTCCACTGCATATATCTTCAATATTGTGATTTTTACTTGTCACTGTGATTTTTAACCATGGTTAGAATAGTGGTAGTATATGAGAATTTTACGTATTGTTATCATTTATTTTTATAAATAAATAAACAAGTGATACTTTTTAAGAGCGTTATCTTTAATAGCCGATAAAGAGATGACCTTTATTAAGAAGTTTAAGGAATTCTCCAAGTTGTAAGAGATAAACACATGTTTCAGCAGTTTAATTTTTTTACATATTTGTATTACAGTATTAAGATAAATAAGTTTTTACCACTGTAGGACAAAATTAATTTAAAATTTAACATGTCAAAGTCAGTGATTTGTGATTTACTTCAAATATTTAAAAGCAGTGTGTCAGCAGTGCTTCCAGAGAATCTTATTAGAAATTCAATAAAATACTGTCCAATTAATAAGCAGTTGTTTGTATTTGAAGAAATTTATAATATAGCTGAGAGAAATGTATATGTTGTGGGCTTTGGAAAAGCCGTTCAAAACATGGCTATTGAGATAGAAAATATACTGGGATCTAAAATCAAGCATGGCATTGTAAGCATTCCAGCAGGAAGTTGCAGTCATAAGTCGGTTAATAAAAATATGTCTTACTATGAAGGAGCAAGAAATAATTTACCAGATACTAATGCTGAGAAAACAGCATCAAAAGTGAATGATATTGTGACAAAACTTAATAAAAATGATTTACTCTTAGTTCTAATATCAGGAGGTGGGTCAGCATTACTGCCGTTACCTAAAGGATCAATAACACTGGAGGAAAAAACTAAATTAATACAAGATTTAGGGAATTCTGGAGCTGACATATCAGAACTTAATACAGTTAGAAAAAGTATATCAGATTTAAAAGGAGGACAGTTAGCAATCAAAGCTCAACCAGCTGAAGTAGTTTCTCTTATACTATCTGATATTGTAGGAGATCCTCTGGATTTGATAGCCAGTGGTCCAACTACTGAAAATCATGATAGCCCTTTAAAAACATTAGATATTTTAAAAAAATATAACTTACTAAATAACCTTCCAGAATCTGTTAATACTGTTTTAAAAAATGGTTACGTCTCACAACCATTCCCAAAGGCAAATGTACAGAATTATATAATAGGATCAAATAAACTAAGCATTGCAGCAGCTTTAAATGAAGCAAAAAATCTCAACTACTTGCCAGTAGAATTGTCAAATGTTGTAATAGGTAATGTTACAGCGCTAGCAAATCAATATTCACAATTAACTAAAATCTTTTGTGAATATTTGAATGGAAATTTCAACATAAATGCTTTGAGGACAAAGATAGAGAAGTTAAAAATACCAGGTATAAAATCAAATTTTATAGATAATATTAATCAAATCAGTCTAAAATACAAAGATGTGTGTTTAATTCTTGGAGGAGAAACAACAGTGGAAGTAAAGGGAACTGGCAAAGGAGGTAGAAATCAGCAATTAGCCTTAGAGTTTTCTAACATTATCCATAACATGAAAGGACATTTCAAAGGATTTGATATTTATATATTGAGTGCTGGTACTGATGGTATTGATGGCCCTACAGATGCTGCAGGTGCAATTGGTCATCTAGATTTGGTTACAAATTTAAAAAACCTTGACATTGATATAAATCAATCACTAAACAATAATGATTCATACAATTTCTTTAAAAAATATAAGAATGGTGATTTTCATATCAAAACAGGGCACACTAATACTAATGTTATGGATATACATTTAATAGTAATTAAAAGAATCAAATAATAATAAAGAAAATTTGTATATTTAGAATATTAGTTTATTAATATTATTTAGTCCTTTGCTTGGACACCTCTGTCTCATTCATGTACTGTGAAGCAGTTTGCACGGCTGTGTTTTGTTTTGAAGGTTGGGATATGTCAATGAATTTACAAGGTACAGAGGGATAACACTTGAGTCCTCAGGAATGGATGGACACAGGGGGATGGGGGTATTATGAGTAAAACAGTATATTATGTCCGTGGTACTGCTCATGTATATAGGTGATGGTTACCACTTTCCATCGGGTGGGCCGTCAGCTTGTTTGCCATTCTAAGTTGCATATAAAAAAAAAATATTATTTTACATAAATTATATTTTATGTGTATTTTTATACTTTCTTTTTGGAATTATGTGCGTTATGGACAAGGTATTAATGAGAGCATTATACAAAATGCCTGGGGTTTATGAATAATGGCTAGCTATATCGAACCAACTGATTAATCATAATCTAAATTTCATTATTTATCACATTATCTGGTCATTATGAATATTGCTACGTGACCATTGGACAAAATGTTAATAAAGCTATAATATATTGGACGAGTTGCGAGACGGGAGGGGACAACCCCAAGATATGCGTTGAGCAGTAAGAACGGAATGGCAGCATGTGAAACAATTATTACTGTTTGTTTAAGTAATTAATCATCAATATAATAATAACAAATCATCGATTTGACGAAAGATTGAATAAATTAATATCGCTAAAAGAACAAAATCAGCGTTTGCAAAGATTTGACGTCATGACTTTTTAGGTTTATTTAAGTTTAACATCAACATAAAAATAATAGTAATGAAACATGTTTTTTACTACTTTGTGTATGTGATGAATATTATGTATAATGCCCGGGAAATTTGAATACTTATTATCAATATACCTAATTAATAGTTATTCAAATTATACCTATAATTAGATTTAATTTTTTTAACCTAACATTTTTATTTTTTTAATTATATATTTAATACAATTTTTTAAATAATAACACTAACAACTAAATAAATAATCTCCCAAAGCACTAAATTAAGGCAGCGTACCCAAGATACTGGCAGCATTACCTCTTTGGATTGCCAAACTTATCCTCTGTTTCCAAAAAATAATTCTATTCGGAAATCTTTGATTTGCGCAAAATAGCTACCAGCTGTTGAATCACCAGTAACCTCGATGAGGCGATCGTCCAATATTAATCATATACCTAATATTTTAATTTGATAATTTTGTCAAATTACTTTGGACCATTATAAATTAAATTTATAATAATTTAATAAGATTTAAACCTGTTGCAAATTTGATTCATATTGATCCTTAAATTAAAGATTTATCTATAATAACAATTTGAAATTTTAATATTTGAAATAAAGATAAAGAAATGGCGCCTCAGAATCGACTCCAATCTGTTTTCATAAAAGCAATTAATTACCCTAAGAACAAGGAATTACATTGAAGGAATAAAAAAATAAAGACTGTAAATCGTATAGTTGCCTCCTTTCTTCTTATGCAAATATAATTAGTAAAAAGACAACAAAAGATACACTATCAAATGCTATTTTTGTCAATTCATAGCAGGCTAGTTTATAGAAAATATTTGATATGTCAATTATTTGTCAATGACAAATTTTACATTAGTAAATTATATATTAGTCATAGTTTATGTAGAAAGTAAGCAAGCATATGTATCAGAATTTGGTAGGGTTATACGGCCGTATAACATTTTCTATATACTAGCCTGCTATGAATTTACAAGAATAGCAACCGATGGTGTATCTGTCGTCCTCTTTTCACTTTTAATATTTCTATAAGAAGAAAGGAGGCAACCATATCGTCATAGTCGTAGAATACTGACGGTTCTGACAAATATTACATTTATATATCCGTATTTATATATACATTTATAGTTTTTATTTTACATTTCTTCTATGTAATTTCTTATTTTTAGTAATTACCTATGAACTGAATAACTATTAAAAATTTTAATTACTTAACTAGCCAGCTTTTAGTGGTGTACTTTCTAGTTATTTGTATAAATGACCCAATATTTCGAGTTTGTTTTTTTTATTTGTTTTTTGTTTTTTTATACAACGAACTACTTTGTACTTATTATATTAGGTATATTTATTAATAAAACAATTCCTTAATTTTGGCAATAGTCATTTATGAACGATAATCGGATCGATCAACTCAAAGATTCGTACATTTATAAATGTCGGATACTTTTGTTAATAAGTTTAATTTTGGTATTGCTATTGAGGAAATTAAGGGTTTTTACTGATGGATATACTAACAACAACAAAATAATCACTTCAAAAAGTTCTTTTTTTGAAAAAAAAAAAATAAAAAAAAAACAATGTTTTAACTTGTTATCGCGGCGATTATTAAATTAGATCCAATGCAGTAATCCAACTAATAAGCAATCGGTTCGTTTAGACTATCGGTTTGGAAGTTTAATGTCAGTTGTAGCAACTAGCACTTTATATCGATAACCGATTACGGCAGTAGTTACCATAATTGGCGGATGAAGTTTCTTGACGGCAAAAAGTTAGTGGTTAGTAGTAGCTGCGCTATAACATATCTGCAATATAGCTCAAGGATAGCTATAATAATTTGCTAATTATCCTGCTAGCAAATAACTTAGCACTGGATACTTTTTCAATAGTGGCTATATAGTTATTGTCACTATTGAAAAAGTAATATATCCTGACCCTTTGATCTATAATTATTTAGTTTCGTTTATTTCTCATAACAACTTTAAACTATAACTATCATTAATATCAAATCCTTATTGTATTCAGTTAATGTTCTGTCTCGTTTTCTGTTTGTTTGTGGCTTAATGGCCATCACTAGCCCTTTACATAAATAATAAAAAAAAAGAACTTTCCCGCCAAAATGCCAAAACTGTCAGTCACTTTCAATGTGTATCAATTTTATACTTGTTTTAAAACTAATGTGCTAACCTCTATGTGAAAAGTATTCATTTATTTTTTCTCTAATTGAACAATCATATATTCTGTTATTTGATTATTATAGAAATAGATATATTGTAAGTAATTGTAAGCAAAACAAATATACTGTAAAATGGATGTCGCCGATACTTTTGCGACACAAAGTCAAGTTAGAGACGAAGTTGGTGTACGATGTCAAAAACTTTTTCAAGACTTTCTTGAAGAGTAAGTTGTAACTATATTACATACATACATTCCATTATTTACTTTTAATAATAATAATCGTATTTTATTTCATATTAGTATTTTACTTGACAAAGTCCCTAATATAAAGTTTTGTGTTTGCGTATTCAGATTCAAAGAAGACAATGAAATAAAATATGAGAAGCATGCAAAAGAATTATTGAAGCCTGAATTAAGTACACTGGAAGTCAGTTTTGATGATGTAGAAAAATACAATCAAAACCTAGCAACCACTATTATTGAGGAATACTACCGCATATATCCATTCTTAAATCAAGCTATTTTTAACTATGTCCTGAGTCAGGCAGACAGTGGCATGAAAAAAGACTTGCAGGATAAAGAATGTTATGTATCATTTGTTGATGTACCTACTAGACATAAAGTGAGAGAGTTGACAACTGCTAAAATTGGCACACTAATCAGAATATCAGGACAAATAGTTAGAACCCACCCAGTACACCCCGAACTGGTCTTAGGCACATTTGTTTGTTTGGATTGTCAAACAATCATCAAAAATGTTGAGCAACAATTTAAGGTATGTGCATGTTATATTGCTGTAGAAACTTAGCTAGGATAGTCTTTGTATATTGATACTTTGAGTGATTCAAGATGTTATTATCTAATGAGAATATTTATCACTTACCATCACATTTCTGGGGCAAGTTTGAGGATTGGAAACAAAATCTTTTTTATAAGCTATATGTATATACTTGATATGAAGAAAGTTATAGTAAAATTTTGTAATAAAAATTATATTCAATATTAATATTATAATCTTATTACATTTAATTCCTCAGTACACAATTCCGACTATTTGCCGTAATCCTGTATGCGCCAATCGGCGCCGTTTCATGCTGGATGCAGATAAATCTGTATTTGTGGATTTCCAAAAGATACGCATTCAGGAAACTCAGGCAGAACTGCCGAGAGGTTGTATCCCTCGCTCACTTGAGGTTATATTGAGAGCTGAGGCTGTTGAATCTGTCCAGGTGAGGGAAATGTGATATTCTCATATTTATTTATTTAACTCTTTATTGCATCAAAAAACATAAAAATATTCAATAGCAATTAGAAGAATTCAAGTAAAGTACATAAAGTACAGATTAAAATATATATAAAGGTACAAAAGATGGTCTTATTACTAGGGCAATCTCTTACAACTTTTGAAGAAAGGACAAGTGGGTAGGTGCCACATGAATGAATTAATAATTTTTACATGCATAAAAAACTTATATTGTAGAAAAATATCAAATACATATTATTTAATAACTACTTATTATAACAAAATATAAAATACATATATATGCACATATAAATGTATACTTTTCAAAAATAAGTTTATTTGAATAAAACTGTCTTTCTTTCTATACATAGCACACACAGGAAGTATTGTAATTGATTATTAAAACTATAATATTATTTTTTATTTTTAAAACTATTGTTTTATGTTTTTGATAAACTTATTTTTATATTTTATAAGCCAGTAAAATTTTGTATATTTTCTAGTAATATTTAAAAAAATATCCATAAACATTATTACTGAACTACATAATTACCTATATTACATTATATGAAATATAAATGTTACAATATTTTTTTTTATTTAGGCTGGTGACCGTTATGACTTCACTGGAACCTTAATTGTGGTCCCAGATGTTGGGTCTCTTTCTCTTCCTGGAGCCAAAGCTGAGCTTACTACTAGGACACGACAGGCCAATGAGGGGCAGATGGAGGGTATTAAGGGCCTAAAAGCTTTGGGAGTCAGAGAGTTGCACTATAAGTAATTAACTTATAAATATTAGTAATAACAAATATTGATTTCTATTTATGACCTCTTTCACATAACTGGGTTATATGTATCTACAGTTAATGATTCATCAGGATAATAATTAAAGATTCTGTCCCACAAAACAAAATCAACCTCATTGTGGTAATAACAGTTATTTTGATTTAAAAACTAAACTATTGAACTGATTTTAATAAAATTTCTGTGGGATACTTTTTGTAAGTATATCCTTTCAAATAAAAAATCTAATTCGGTTTACAACTGATGGAGTTAAGAGATAATAAAAACTATCTGAATTAAGAATTTCCTTTTTGAAGTCAGTTAAAAAATAGCTTCTATTCTTTATACTACCTGTTATGGCATTAAAAGATAAAACAAACTCTCAGATTTATAATTTAGTTAAGATTATCAATGTTTAGTGTATATTATATATTAAGTGTATATTGAAAAGCCATTTGAAGGATCAGATTAACTCATCAAAGGCATTAATAATAATTTATATTTATAGAATTGTCGCATGATAAACTGTTGTCCAAGAATGTTATGTGAAGGTTGTTCTTTACATTTTCTGTTCTGAAGTACATCAAATTGATCAATTCTTTAACAACACTTCGTTTTTTGTGACAATCTTGGAGATTCATAAAAATATATGCCACACAGAAATATCAAAATTATATAATTATGAATTAAATCTTATTTATATAATTTGATGCTCTTTATAGGACAGCTTTCCTCGCATGCAGTGTGCAGGCAATATCGCGCAGATTTGGCACTGCAGAGCTGGCGACTGATGACCTCACTACTGAGGATATGAGGAAACAGATGACTGATAAGGAATGGGATAAGGTAATCAGAGAATATTTAACAAATTATGAAAATAGTTTTTAAAATTTTCATTCTTATAATCTGTTTTTTTTCATGTATGATATATTTATAAACAATGTGAAAATGTATTTTTAAACAATAATCATAGTAAAAAAACCTTGAGATTTTATTATAATAACATATATATATATATATATATATATATATACATATACCTTATATATATATATATATATATATATATATATATATATATATATATATATATATATATATATATATATATATATGTTGCATAAAACGTAATTTAATATATTTTTTAGGTATATGAAATGTCAAGAGATCGCAATTTGTACAATAATTTAATTGCGAGCTTGTTTCCAAGCATACATGGTAACAATGAAGTCAAGAGAGGAATATTGCTTATGCTTTTTGGAGGTGTTGCTAAAACAACTATGGAAGGTATTTTAATTTTATTAAAGAATCAGAAAAAAAAAATTATACAAAACTCATATCTCTTAAAAAAATTAGTTGAAAAATTATACTTTACATATTAAAGAACAAAAATCTAAATGTTAAACTATCTAAAATCAAGAATTGTTTTTATACAATAACATTATAAAGGAAAAGAAAAATATCTGTATCCTTGAATGGAATAACAGAAACATTTTTTTTTTATTTAATTTAAATATTGTAACATTGTTGTTTCTGCCTACCTTAATAGGGAACAGGCGTGACAGATGTGTATGTATGTATTGTAACAATGGAAATGCACAAGAGATAATATTTTTTAAGGGACCACACTTCGAGGCGATATCAATGTATGTATAGTAGGTGACCCAAGTACAGCAAAGTCACAGGTATTAAAGCAAGTGAGTGAGATCACGCCGAGAGCTGTCTACACCAGCGGGAAGGCGTCTTCGGCTGCCGGTCTTACTGCAGCCGTCGTCAAGGTAACCATTAATGTTCATTGTGTGAGATCTATGTGTATACTTGAATCGTGCTATATGTATCAAATCAGAATGAATAAATAAATTATTATATTTATTTATTTATTCTTTGATGTACACAAAAAATTACAACATATATATAAAATAAAGATATACAACAGGCGAGCTTATTTATATATGTATAAACATAAATATTCATAAGTATATTAAAGGAAAAGAAATCTTGTCTAGAAATCTAGAACATTTTATTTGTTTTTTTTTTTTTTATGCAACTTAGAATGGCAAATAAGCTAACAGCCCAACTGATGGAAAGTTGTAACGGTCGCCTATAGACATGAGCAGTACCATAGAAATAATAGAGTATACTGGTTTAACCAAAATCCTTCCATGTGTTGCCATTCCTGAGGACTCAGGTGTTATTCCTCTGTACACTGTAAATTCACTGCAATATCTCACTCTTTAAACCAAAACACAATCATGCAAACATTACTAACTGCTTCATGGTAGAAACACAAATGGGACAGTGGTGCTTAAACAAACTTCTTTTGTACAAAGTCTGTCTCTGGTGAATTGCAGAATATAAAATTATAATCTATATCTTCAGCCACTGCTGAAGAAGGGCTTGTTCTTTACAATTAACAATGCAAGTCAAAACAATAGGTGGGTTCATGACTTCACCAATATTATCAAATATAAATTGTCATAGTTGTAGAATACTGACGGATCTGACAAATATTAAATATACATATCCGTCTGTATTCTACGACTATGACGAAATGTTGATGTATGCCTGTACATCAATTTTAATCATTAATTTTGCCCTACGAAATAATTATTTTGTAGCTATAAAATAATTATTTCATAGGACAAAATTAAACTAACCATGATTCATTAATTAAAATAGAGAAAAATTAAAAAACTAATATGTTTACCATTATGTATGTAAGGAAAATTAATAATTTATTATTTTTAATAAAAGATATCACTTTAATAATACTATTGAATTTCAGGATGAGGAATCATTCGATTTCGTAATAGAAGCTGGCGCGTTGATGTTAGCCGATAATGGTGTTTGCTGTATAGATGAGTTCGACAAGATGGACCCCGCAGATCAGGTCGCCATACACGAAGCCATGGAGCAGCAGACTATATCTATAGCCAAGGTAACAATGTTGTTATATTCTTCCAGTTGAAATAAGTGTTTGCGTTTGCGTTCGCAAACACTTATTTCTTATGACATATATTAGTAAGATGATAAATACACGATAATGCGCTGTCATGTTCAAAGACATTAATTAATTATAAAAATTGTACTGTTAATTTACCTATCACACACAGAGATAATAAAAATTTTGAACCATTCAACTTCTCTTTCTTGCATTAGACAATCCATCTTCTATGTTGAAAGTTTTTGTAGTCTTTTTATAATATACTAAATTTTTCATACGGCGTCGCTATACTGCACTGTCCCTTGTGCTTTATAATCTTTTAACTTCATGATGCTGAAAGATACTAGTAACTATGTTGCTGCTTATTTTTACATCCACATAACAATATAACTTATATTCTAGGCTGGAGTTCGCGCGACACTTAATGCTCGCACATCAATTCTGGCTGCTGCCAACCCTATTGGCGGTCGATACGACCGAGCTAAATCGCTGCAGCAAAACGTCGCTCTGAGTGCACCCATAATGTCGCGATTTGATTTATTTTTCATATTAATAGATGAGAGCAGTGAAATGGTGGACTATGCTATAGCACGTAAGATTGTGGATCTACACTGTAATAAGGAAGAGACATATGATTGTGTGTACTCTAGGGAAGATCTCTTGAGGTATATTGCATTCGCGAGATCATTCAAGCCCATAATTACTGAGGTAAGAAATTCACGTGGTCAAGTCATTGTAAATAAAAAAAAAAATACAGTTGGATTGAGAACCATTTCCTTTTAAATTTGGGTGAAGAAGCAAACCTGATGTATCTACTTAAATATCTAGCACCTATACTTATAAAACATTGTAAAAATAAAAGCTTTCTTCGACTTCATCATACAAGGTGAATAACAAACAATTGTTGCACGGTATAGGAGGCGGGGCAGTTGCTGGTGGAATACTATTCGGCGTTACGGTCACGTGACAGCAGCGGTGCGGGGAGCGCGGGCGGCGGCGCCTGGCGCATCACTGTACGCCAGCTGGAGTCCATGGTGCGGCTAGCAGAGGCCATGGCCAAGATGCATTGCAGTGGACACGTCGCACCGCAACACGTGCACGAGGCGTACAGGTATCTACACTTACAGTACAGTAACAACAGTCCATGGAAATAGATGAGCGTTAGTAATGGGGTCTAGCAGTTCCATTGATGATGATGAGTCAACTGACCTTACTTCATTGTTAACTTGCCAGCGCGTATCGATAGTTCATATACAATTGGGTTTTCATCTTATAAAAAATGGAGTCCATATTGCCATTACTGGAGGTCATGATGGTCATGAATACAAAAATAAAATCATAATAAAATACTTAATGATATTATCTTTGAAATATTTAAATGCTAAAATATTTATATTTCAGATTATTAAACAAATCTATTATTAGAGTTGAACAACCAGATATACATTTGGATGAAGATGATCCACAGTTTGAGCCAACCATGGATGTTGATGAAGACATACCTAATGGCACTGGAAATACAAGTAAATTAATTTCATTATATGATTGTGTTATGTATCATTAATATTTTCTTTTTGACACCACTGTTTGAATCAAATACGATGGTTTGATACATAAACTAAAACATCAAAATTATTTAGTAGTTTGTTATAAGTTCGCCTAAAATTAGATTCGATATTTCCTATGTAAATGCATACCTTATATTTATGAACATACATTACAGATGGCCATGTCAATGGAGATTCAGCACCCAAAAAGAAGCTTACACTATCGTTTGAAGATTACAAAGCTCTTAGTGATATGCTTGTGGTGTTCATGAGGAAGGAAGAAGCTGAAGCGGAAACCAGAGGTAAACCCTGATAATAGATAGACTCTTTATTGTTTAGTTCAAAAGATTAAATTAGTTAACTTATTATAAATACAAACAATTACAAGAAATTATTACACTGAGAAAACAAAGAGTGGCCTAATTGTTAAAAGTGATCTCTTCCAAAACGAGAAGAGCTCATTTGGCAAAAAAATATACATATGTTTAGTTTGTTCAGTATATTACACTATATTTCAATATAGAAATCTTTATAATATGATGCAAGAATAAGTCTAAATTGTTTGCTATTTTAAAATTTTAGCTTGTTTCTAAATTATGTCACCCATAACCAAATTTGTATTCATTAACCAATTAATTAGTTACTCTGTAGATAAATTTCTGTATATTTTAATATTTGTTACGTAATAATATTATATTTTTTAAATTAGGTGAGGAGAGTTCTGGTATGCGTAAGAGTGCAGTAGTGAGTTGGTACCTGGAGCAGCTAGTATCGCAGGGGCAGATTGAAAATGAAGATGAACTACTTGAGAGAAAAACTCTTGTTGAGAAAGTAATTGACCGCCTCATGTACCATGTAAGTTTCTTTATCATTTACCGACACCTGACACTATTATACCCTATACCGACTAGTGTGAGAAATTGTCCTACTCGCATTTTTTTTTGTTTTAGTTTGAGGGGTGGAGTATGGTTATAAAATTATAATATTCATAAAGAGAAGGGGGGGGGGGCTGTCAGGTTATTAGTAGTTTTACTAAAACGAGATTTTGTATTATCAATATTTTCGTTTATATTTGTTTTTTATCTCTTGCAGGACCAAGTAATTATACCTTTGTCAACAACCGGGCTCAAGGCGACCCAGAAATCGTCGGAGCAAGAAATTGAAGATGACCCATTGCTAGTGGTACATCCTAATTATGTAGTCGACACATAGTAATAAGTTGTATTTTTTTTAATAAAAGTCTATAAATGCTACGCTAATTTTATTTTTGTAATAATTATATTGTAAACGTAGGCATTGCAAAAAATTTTGTTGTTACATGTTTGAGATTTTTCAGTTGTGTGAAATTTGTGGTATGTGGTAAAATGGACGAGAAAGTTATAAAATTAAATAATAAATATTTCAATTTTTATTTATTTTTTGTAAACAATAATAACATTCAACATCGTTCAAACACTTTATATAAATCGTTCAAACTGGCAATTTGTAATATTGCGCCATTGCTTACAAAGGAGGTGGGCGGTAAGAAGTTCCGTCTAATGGCAGGAAAAATAACATGTTCCTGTTTCCAATATTCAGATTTGGCCACTTCTGCATTAGGATCTGGATTAGGTTGCGAATAGAATACAGCCGTTTCACGGCTGAAGCTATCGAAGCACTCTTTCTCCGAATTCCAGTTGACTTCAGTGACAAGACGTACGAGGTAAGTTGGTAATGCGCCCATGAAGGGAGTGTGACCATCTAAAAAAAAAATAGATATAAGCAAAACAAGTGGACATAAACCAGACTATATTAAATCTTTAGTTTGTGACTGCTATATTTATTACAAACTGTCTTATATAGTGGAATAGCAGATTCTGTTATTTATATATGATCCACTCTATTATAATTTATCAAGCTATTTGAGTGGTATATTTTGCCAACGCCATAAACATATTCAACGGAAAATTTCATCTTTTCTATAGTAGTCTGACAAATAAAACCATGAAATTATTATACGGACTTTGTTTTTCTGAATAATTTTCATCCTAAATCAAGAGTGGCAAAGTGCTTTGAAGGACACAGCAGGTATGTGACTACTCTGGTGTTAATGCAGTAGCAGGCTAACAGGGTGATGGAGAGGGAAAGAAATTGTTAGTAATGAGACCAATAGTCCGGTCCCATTACTAGCAGTACTCGTATATCCTATCAGGTCGACCTCCACGTGGTTCCCCTTGGAAACCATCGTGCTGAATTTCTGGCCTAACTGACTTGCTTTTTCTTTCTCATATGAGGGATGTCACTGATACCCCGCCAGCGTATACCGTTAGCGCAAGCAGGGTTACCATTCCATTATCATTCATTAAAAAAAAACAGGGAGATGGAAGGGGTGGTCTGCTCTGGGTCTAGGAGGCCTTCAAACGTCTCCATTTTCCTTAACTATATCCATATTCTATGTATGTTTATATGAGTATCACTTTCAAGATTTAACTAAATAAACATTTATACATACAAATGTCAAAAACTTGTAAAATAACATCAACTTTTAAGTTGGGGGACTTGTTTTGGCTTTGGTCGCACCGGCCCTCTAACGGATTTGGTCTATCACTGTCTTAATTGGCGGCGTTTATTTTATTAGTATTTTCCATTATGGCGCATTAGCTCATGAATAATATGAAAAAAATGTTACTTAAATTACACCTTACAAACAATCTATACATGCATGCGATGTAGGTATAAACGTACCCAGTAACAACGGCAATGATAACAATTCACCGTCCGCGTTTATCTCTAAAGAAAAATACTCCATTAACATGGCACTTTTACTTATTAATAACTTAGTCATTTGCTGTGCCATCTCGTGCATGTCTCCTAAAAATAAAACAGAATAACATAGTTGTATGGTATCTCACAATATATAAATTACCAATAATGTTGTCATATAATTGTGAAAGTTACTTCCCTATCTAAAGAAGATATCAAAGGTTTTGAAACCAAGATTTCTGAGACAAATTAGGAAGTGTACTACCCCAAACACTTTCCCTAAAAACAGGCATAATTAACGTATGCTAAAAATTAAGGGACAACATGAAGATATAGATGAAATTAACATAATTTTAACGGATCGTAAAGTATAATATTTTTTTATCATACCTAATTCAGAATTCCATTCGGCTTCTTGTGAATTGAGACCAAGGATAAACAATTCTTCTAATGGTAAAGGATTTGATAGTTTTATAAAACCAAAATTCTGGAAATCATACAGTATCGTTTCATAAAATAACTCCTCACTAAAACAAAGTAAGAAAGAGCCTATAAGACAAATTTTATTTTCTAAATCTAACAATCTAATTCTTAAATTTCCTAGATGTAATGGAAATTAGAATCGGTCTTACCCCACCTTTAATTGTGTGACTCTATTTCTAAAATTGTTTCCAAAATTTAAAATTTAGAATTGACTATTTTCAGAACTTTAGAATCGACTCTTGAAGCTGTAAGAAATGCCGTTAAAGTCGACTACAGTTGCTTTGTAGTTACTGGGAGAAAATAGTAGTGTTACAAAAATTTTATATTGTTGTCACCATACATAAAGAGTTTAAATTTAAAAACTATTAAATTATACACTCACGTTAATTTTGTGGTATTACAGAGATACAACTTAGTAGAGTGTTGTATTAAGGACTTATGACAATCTACGCACGCTATGAATATTAAATTTGCCAGGACTTCTCTTAAATTACTATTACACTTATTTTCTATCTGTAATCTTAACTCTTTAATGCTAGTCAATCTAGTTTCTATTCTCTCATATTGAAATGTCCTAGTCTTGAATGATTCTTTTGGATCTATGTACGATAGATTTGTTTGATCAGCTGCAATATGAGATTTCCATTTCTCTGGCATTTTATTTGGTTCATCAGGTTCATCTATTAGTGAATTTGCTAAAACATCTGCATCATCAACAACTAGATTAGGAATATTGTCTTTGACAATTTCTTGATCATTCTCAATCTCGTTGTGTTGATCCGTTTCAGTCTTTCTATTTACTGAAGCATCATCAATATTTATGTTATCTTTTCCAGATGTAATATCTTCGGATGGTTTAGATATGACAGGAAAGAACTTTTCAATTTTTTGTACATCCGCGTCAACTCGCACCATATTATTTGCGTATACTTTTGCACCATCCGTTGTTTTTTTTACAATCTCTTCAACTGCAGTTGCGCCCGGTAGACGAGCCTGTAATACGGCATTGAAATAAATATAAAGAATATTGTTTTTATTATTATAAATTCTAGTCTTTATTTACATAGGATACATGTTGAGTCGCCAAAAGCAAAAAACTTCTTTCAACTATGTTTCTTGACAAAGCAATTTAAAAAGATTTTGAAAAATTTATTTAGACCGAGATACAAATGCTAATTACATTTACTTGCTTACTGGATTTACTCTATAAAGTCTATGAAAGGTATCAAATAAAAAAGATTTTTTTTATAATTTGTACCTGTGTGTACATAACTCTAGTAGAATTGCAACTTAATAATTTACTTTCAATGCAGGACTTAATCTTTTCAATAATCTGTTCTTCATATAGAAACTGTACCTCGTGTTTTGTTGGATGTACATTCACATCTATATTTCTTGGATCTGCAATTTCGAAATAAAAAATAAAAGAATAAGATCATGTTTTTAGGCCGTTGTTAGGTCCTGGCATTGGGCTAAATAGAAATTAAAACTAAAATTGGATGGAATTAGATCTTTTTCTGCTTAGGTTATACGTGAGGCTGAAAGATAATGTCTAAGGATGTGATCAAGTGGGTAAAATGACTTCACAACGAGTCAACATGCTCATTCATTATAAAGAGCGGCTACCGACAAATATTTATTTACCCCAGGTAAATAAATATTTGTATAACTCTAGATCAGACACTGAAGAGGTGTTTATGATGCTGTGTATGTCTATAATACTTTGCAGTAGATATATTTTAATCAAGCTCAGAATAGAGATGTGTGAAAACATTAAGAAGGACATCAATCAGGTTTTAAATAAAATTAACGTAGAGTAATAAAGTACTTTACCTAATTCAAGGCTGAGATAAACAAATGCGTGGGCGTTTTTGGGCAAATAAGTAGAATAAACAGAGTCAACGGCTTTCCGAATAGCTGAAATAAATATACATTGTTAATTATATTTCAAATATGATTACATTATGAACACTTATAATAATGTATTAAAACCTCTATTTTAATGTAGTCAATTTTAGAAATACGAATATATAATATATAAAAAAGAACGATCTGTAATTACCTGAATTTGCCTATCTATAAAATTCGTTAATTTTAAGGACTATAAGGTCGATTATGTGCCATTTGTCTAAACTTATTTTTTAACCTAATATTTTAATTTTATAGTTTAACGAAATTGCGCGCTGAATTTCGAGATACTATTTTCTTTAAATTATCTTATAAATGTTACGGAATTAATGTAATTTTTGCTGTTTACATTTAGTGTAGACGCATGCGAGTACTTCTGCTACCAAGCAAAAGCAGCTTTGGATGCTGCCTTTAGTTTGAAGGATAAGCCGTAGTAAACAATCTATTGTTATCATCATATTGGCTGTTAACTGACCACTGCTGAACATAGGCCTCCCCAAATATCTACTATAAGGAACATTCCCGATCCAAAAGACTAAGAGACCATTTCCTCCTAGTATTTGTCATTGGGTGGTTTTGCCAGTAGTTGCCACGCTTAACAGTCAGGTTGGCAACCACAGTTACGCTTTATACCATGTTTAAAGAGAGGCGATGCTGTCCATCCCTCGACCATTAAGTTCCCTTAGTTACTTCTTACAACACCCACGGGAAAGGAATAGAATAGGCCCCACCTACCATTCTATACCAGAACAACACAGCATTAAACTATAATGTACCAACTCCAAATATCCATATCATAAGGGTTGACAACAAACTTACAATATAAATTGAATATATTAAAAAAAATTACATTGAGATTCTACTAAGCGATGGTTTATAAACAGTAACATAGTGCCCTTTTTATGCGAATAATTAACATTTGTTATGAAACCATGTAGCAACAACTTCAGGGTTGCGTCGTTCAGCTGAATTTCCATCAATTCACGAGCTATAGAATTTCCATGTATCTGTGAAGCAAATATAACATTCTTTATCTATTTTTTTCAGACAATTTATATTTTCAGTATATTTTTTACGGATATATAATATAGCGATATTTTGACAATTGGTGAATCTGTTTTAATCTAAATCACATTTCAAAATGTGAATTTTCCATATCTTTTTTTTTTAATTAACATTCAGTGTATTATATCAAAATCCAAAAGTCAACATACACATTACAATTTTTATTGTATGAGGCATAATATATGAGTCCTCAGAAGTAGCAATACATAAGGAATGTTAAGAGTGCCAAAGTACAAATTGTAATATACACATACGTAATGTTGTTCATTTACAGACTTATAGTAAAAATTTATTTTCATATTTATATATTTATATCAAATACTTACTACTCTAACATTTTCAAGTACATTTGATTTTATAGCGGTCTTCAAATCAGTATTCTCACCAAATTTCTTCAAAGTAAAACCCACATGACTATTGTGTATTGCATATCCTCCAACAACTTCTAATATATAAGCATACTCCTCTGAAGGACTCCGTAGGGCTTTCTTACGGGCAATTACATTGTAGAATAAGTCTTCTACTGTAATTTGGGTACCATTATTGCCAGCACAGGCTTTTATAGGTCCTTTCAACTTGCCATTTTCATATGAAGCTCTGGATCAAATTTTTCAAAGTAAATATGTGAGAAAATTATATCAGATTCCTGGACAAAGATGCTTTACCACAACCCAATATAAATCTCCAGCAACAATTAGTAATAAAGAGTTAATATTGATGATGGCTGTATGAATGACTATACAATACCCTACATTTTAAACAGAGAAGTTGAACACATAACCTTCACAACAAAGAAAAATAAATCTTTAAGATCATCAATCTCTTTAATTAAATTTTGGACAAAGAAATGATACCAAATCAGTGGTTATTATATCATATCATATATGTCTTATTTATGATCATAATGAAATAAATAACTATATACCAAGACTTATTCCTGAATTAGTCTCATGCCTGGAATCTGCAAATAGTTTTCGAAAATTATATTGTAATGTGTAACGAAAACCCTAGAAGAAAACCAATCAAGATAACAAGCAGGATTCCATAGAAATTACTCAACTATAGATAATATCTTCATAATCAAACAAATTATGGAAAATTTAATAAGTATGAAAAACACTTCTTCCTATATTTTATCAATTATAACAAAGCATTTGATTTGATAAAATACAATAAGCTATGGAAAGCAATACTATAACAAGGAGTTGAAAAAAACTAGAATAGAAACTACTGGGCCAGAATCCAACATAATGTGTGAAGTCTACAAGGTGATCACTATTTCCAAAATTTTCCTGTCCATACAATATTAAGTTTAGCAGAAGCTTTATTGGGATTTGCAATTACCAAACCAAAAATCATATCAAAATTATAGACAATAAAAAAATTAACATACTTATAAGCACATTTCCCAGATGCAGTCTTGGTGAGTATTGTGAGATGTGCTATATGGCTGATACTAGCAAGAGCTTCTCCTCGAAATCCATATGTGTTGATTTCCTTCAGGTCATCATAGCTGCAAAGCTTTGATGTTGTGAACCTCTCACATACAATCTCAAGGTCTTCACTTCTTATTCCAGTACCATTGTCTTGAATCTATAATGGAGAATAAAAAAAAACAGAAATATTTTTTATTAAAAATGAGCAATAGTGACAAATGTTGTAAGGCCCATTTTAGAATGCAATATTAACTTAACTATAAAAATCTGTTGCAGCTTTTATTCAAATATAATTTGAATTTAACAAGATCAAATTTACATATAAAAAATTTGGGTCCGTAAGTACAGTTACTGTGATTAACTTATTACATATTTACAAATGTTTGTACTAATGCTAGAGATTTTTTAAACTTAGTTGAATATAAAATTTTGTTTTATAAGTGAGAAGAACACTCTTATACTAGAACACACTATTAGAGATTTTATTTATGTGTATAATTTTTCTTTTACAGTTAAAAGAACCCACAGATTTGCTGTACTAAGGCATTAAAATGCCTTATATTGTTATATGATTAGCTTGTGGAAACATATGTTCTGTTATAAATTCGGGTTCTTATATTTTTAAATATATTTAGTATTTTAATACTAAATATAAATATGTAAATTTTTAATATTAATTATTGTTTTTAGGCTTATTAAAAGTCACCATTTGTATATTTTTTAGAACAAGATGGAATGGTATAATCCGCTAATACTAATGATATTTAATAGAAGGACATCGGTTAAGGATGAAGCCAGGTCAATTAGTACATTATGGAAAATTTGCTGTGATAAGCATGCTGCATGGAAATAATTGTATAGTTCGCCTTGGAAACTGTCATAGTTAATTTCTAATTAATTTGCCATAATGAGCCAACTAATCTGATTTCATTCCCATTTAACATTACACACTAATTAATTTGCCATAATGAGCCAACTAATCTGATTTCACTCCCATTTAACATTACACACTGGTACTCCAGCAGCTTATAGCACCGGTAGGTCACTATTGTATTTGGTTTTGAAAAACCTTGCTCTTTATATTATTTATATTTAATATGATTTATGGAGAAACATTTACATAAAATTTTTTATTGCAACTTACTTGCAAGTATTTCAAACCTCCAGCTTTAACAGTGATAATAATATTGGTAGCTTTTGCGTCCAAACTGCAAGAAATTATTTATTAAAAATTTAACAAAATCAGTGAAGTTGTTACACTTAAAAATAAATTTGTAGATAGAGCTTAACTCACCTATTTTCAATTAATTCTTTTAGAGCATTAGAAGGTCTCTGAATTATTTCGCCCGCTGCTATGCGATTTACTACTTCTTGACTAAGTTTTCTTATTATTCCGGGAGCGCTCATAATGAAATCACTAAGTAGATATCTAAGTAATAAAATGAAAACTTTTTTAACATTTTAATATAAAAATGGATTGAATGTCTAATTTATAAAAAATAAGGAAACTAGAAAACAATTGAAAATTTTAAATAAAAAATTAAAAAGTACTTACCTAAGTAAATAAAATTCAAAATATTTTGAGACATTCAGACCACAGATTTGAAAGACTGATAATGTCAGACATGTCATCACAGATAAGAGAGACTACGTCTAAAATTAAAAACAAGGAATTACATAGAAGAAGTAATAAAATTTATTTGTACTATAAAATATAATCTAATTAATTTAATTTTGACTATTTAAAAATTGTTCACTGCTGTATCCGCTGACATTGATGCTCCTTTCCACTTTGGGTTTGCTGGAAGAAAACTCTATCAGAGTTAAGCTCGCCTTTGTACTTTTGTTTACCTCTGTCATATTTCTATAACTAATGTGTACAATAAAGTATTAAATATAAAAAATAAATATAATAAAATTGTCATATTATAGAAAGCTAGTGTACAGAAAATGTTGTACAGCCGTATAACCTTACCAAATTCAGATACATGTTTGTATACTTTCTACATAAACTTTGTGAAATAAATAATTTAGTTATGTATAATTTGTCATTGACTAAAATTGACATATCAAACATTTTTTACATCTGCTATAAACTGAGAAAAATAGCAATAATGGTGTATCTTTCGTCTTCTTTTTACTAATTACATTTACATAAGAAGAAAGGATGTAACCATATGATTTATAGCATTTATTTTATCATTCCTTCTATGTAATTCCTTACTCTTAGGTCTAAAACATTATTACCAAAATTATTACTTTATCTACACTGGAAAGCCAAAGGAACTTACAGCCTGATCTTCAGTAAAAAGTTTGTAATTCCATATTTTAAGAAGACAAGATTGCCTAACAGCCATAATCCATAAAATGTAGAATAAATGACAGAATATTTTCTTTTAGACTTCTACAATAGCTGCAGTAAGATATTTAAAACAGGCAAAGCCGGAGAATCAAAAGATATATAATGTAATGTTTGTTTCTCATTTTTAGAGCAGATAAAAGAAACTGGTGAGTCAATGATATTTTTGCGGTTTGGATCGACATTAAATTTAGAATGCCACCTGAGTATAAAATCTTTGAATTTAAAATGATTTGCTTGTAAACCAAAGATTTTTGACTTCTTCATTCTTGATTTTTGACTTATTCCTGCGTACCGGGCTATTTTTTTTTTTATTTCCATTCATTTTCCTAGCTTTTATTATTTATATTTGCAACTTTTAATATTAAATCTTGTCACGGTTAAAAAATGTTTTAGCCTGACCACCCAAATTGTTTATGGTTTTGGCAAGGTAATCTACTCTTTCATTACCTGTCTAGACATAGTGTATCGAATCTGTTCTCTAATCTGTGTTTGTGTAGTAGTCGGTGTTCCGATTTGTGTTTTTGAGTTGGAAATTTCTTAAATTTTTAAATTTATTATTAGGTATTATTTTATTCTTCACTCAATACATACTAAATAATATAAGTAAGTATATGACTGATATACATATATATATTTCTAAATTCATTAAAAATAAACAAGTACCTACTTAGTTAAATTATTACTCGACAAACATATTTCGTTGAATAAATTCTACTTTTTGTTTAATACGTTCTATTTTATCTATAACTATTTTGATTTAGTAACTCATTATTTCTAATGTAGATTATAATTTAGTGTTCTTTGTATTTAAAGGTATTTTATCGACATGGATATAGATAGTGACGAAGAAACAGAAATACAATTAAAAGAATTGAAACAACTTACCGCCGTTCTAGAAGCTGACGATGTACCAGTTAGTAATGATACCACTTCGCAGTGCTCTAATACTCTTAGTAGTTTTCCTATCTCTAGCTTAAAAGGTCAGAAGTACTCCAAAATAGAAATGGCTTTAGCATTAAACAAATATACAGATGAAAAATTGCAAAGACTAGAGAGAATGCTACATGCTCGATTACAGGAATGTAAATTGGAATTATTAGAAATAGATACTAATGCTGGAAAACAGGAAAGAGTAGAATCTTTCCATTACATTAATTGTGGTAGACCTTATTTTAAAGATAAAGACAATTATCCGGCACCAAGTAATGAAGACACAATTCTCATGCAAGAAGCGGAGATGTTTGATTTTTATTCTGTAGTTTCTGTACCAGGGTGGACTGTTAAAGATAAGAGTGAATTCTTGGGTATAATACTAAAAATGTCACAGACTATAAGAACATTTGAATTAAATTCTCAAATAGCCCAAGTACGAAGAGAGATTAAATTTAAAAAAATACAATCAGATAAAACTTTACAATCATTGAATGCAAAGTTGAATGTTGTTAATAAGTTACCGTTAAAAGATATAGCTTTACCAATAGACCAAGAATATGATTGGGAAACTATTGCTAACAAACTGAACCATAGGCATACAGCACAAGAATATAGATCTTTATGGAAATTATTTCTGCATCCATCAATAAATAAAAATAGTTGGACCAAAACAGAACATACAAATCTACAGACAATTGCATATGATCATTCTTTACAAGATTGGGATAAAATTGCACAGGAATTAAAATCAAATCGAACAGGTTATCAGTGTTTCGTATACTTTCGTACCAATATGAATAATAACTTTACAGGACAGAAATGGACTAAAGAAGAAGAAGAATATCTTAAAAGGCTTATTGAATATTATAAAGAAGATGAATATATACCTTGGGGCAAAGTAGCAGCTGCAATGGAGAACCGTACTAAAATACAGGTTTATAACAAATATTTCAGACTTATTGAACAAAGAAAAGGTAGGTTTTTACCTGAAGAAGACACTGTAATTCTTACTTGTGTTGATAATTTTGGTCCTAACTTTAAAAGAATAAAGAAATATCTTCCTAGTAGATCAGTAATACAATTACGTAATCGGTACCACTTATTAAATAAAAAGAGCATATCAATAGTATGGACAGTAGCAGAAGATAAAAAATTAATTCAGCTGATGGCTAATCAAGATTCTAGTATCAATTATTCTAGTATTAGTTCACATTTTCCTGGCAAGGATAGAGGAAATTTAAGAGCCAGATATATTACATTAAAGAAGTGGATGAGACAAAATCCCAATACTGATATTGCATTAGCACCACGCCGAGGAGCACGGCGTCTAACTCATGGTCGTGTTTCTCAAAATTTAAATAAAGCCATTGAAAAACTGAAAAATCGTATACAAATTGAAGTTAATACAAAAAAATCAAATAGAATCACAGAAGAATCATCAGAACAGGAAATAGAAGATGCTATAATAGCTGCCCTAGCTACTGAATCTATAAATGAAGAGGAATCAAATAGCACCACTGATGATGTTGTAGTACAAGGTGAATCGGAAGGTTCTGTAAAAAATTTAAATGTGACAAACTTACATTATTTGCTTATGTTATTAAAAGCTAATCTAAACAAAAATAAATTCACTAATAGTATTTATTTTGATAAATATTCAGCTTTGGTGGATAAACGAGAAGAAGTGAATGAAATTAAAATAAAATCATACTCAAAAAAAAATAAAATAAAGACCATAACAATTGGGGATCCACCTGATATATGGGGAAATACTACTTTCCATAATGTAGAATCTGTACTTCCACCACACTATGCTACAATAATTGGTTGTAGAATTTTAATTTCTAATTTTACAAAAAAAATACAGTGTAAGAATAATGTTAAAGAATTAGCTAGAAAAAATGCAGAATTAAACAAACAAATGAATATATTAATGGAACGGTTTAATATATTATTCCTATGGCCATTACTTATCTCTAATGAAATTCCTAGTCCAAAATTGTATTCTGATAAACTGCTTCTGCTTCGAAAATCAAACATTAAAGCACCATTACCAGCAGTACCTGGAATAACAATACCAAGCATACAAAATCTAACTATAAATAATGAAGTGATAGATTTAAAACAAGCAGAAGGTAAAGAAGAAGTTACATTGGAGGTAAACTTTCAAATGTTGGATTAAAATATTCAACTGTGTATAACTATAGCAAATCTGGATAGGGTGAAGCTATTTGTCAAGGTTTTTTATAAGATTGTTAAAAAAGAAAACAAAAGGTTTCTTCATATTCCTAGCTGCTTATTACGATGCATACTGCATGCAATATTTCGACATCCAAATACATATTTGTGCAGAAATTATTTTTTACAGGTATTTGCTATAGAGAATATTTTATTTTATAGATATTTAATATTTTATGTATAAATACAGATTTTTTAAATAGCTTCTTGCTTTAAATTTATTAAAACCTGGAAAAACCACATATATTTTGTTTTGAGGTACTATGACAGTTTTATCAATCACTACAGAAATTAACTTGATAGCCGTATGGGACATGTTATTATAGACGCAAATTTTTTTTTTTACTGTTTTTCTATTATTACTTAAATGTTTAAATTTCTATTATTAATAAAATTTGAATCTTAATGTTGTGTCTCTGGAGGGAAAGGGATTGTTAGCAATAGAATTTGACAATTCCATTGCTAGCATTATGCCTTATTAGGTCGACCTTCACGTGATTCCCCCTGGAAACCATCGTGAACAATTCTTGTTGAATTCGTCACGATGGGCTAAGTGACCTACCTATGACATCCTCATCTATCATCCTTCACTGGTGCCCCGCTGGTGTATACCGATAGCACTGGTGGTGTTACCATTCCATTATCATCCATTTTGAAAAAAAAAATTTTGTGTTTCTTAAATTTTAAAATTTTTCTAAGCGGGAACCAAACTCCAGAAAAAAGCGCGGGAAACGTTTAAAAAAGCGAGAGTGTTTTTTGATCTTCTTTAAATTAATTTTATATTTAATTATATAAGGATTAGTCTTTTTTATATATTGTGTATTAGATTGTATATTTAATTGTATATTTTGTAGTAATAGTGTTTGTTGCTGTAAATATTGGTAAGTAAATTACCTATATTAACATTATGGATCCACCTATAGACCCTGGGGGGACAACCCCCAGGTGTCTGCAAATATAACTATTCCATTCAATAATAGTTTTGATATATTGGGTGAATCTAGTATGGACACAGATGGTTCTAGCGTTGCAAGTTCTAAACGTAAGCGAGTACGTGGTGAACGTCGCATTTGCAAACATTGCAATAAAAAACGAAGGAGGCACACCAAGGGTCTTGAATCTAAAATTAAAGATAGTGATTGTCAATGTATTGAAGATGAGAATCAAACTCAAGTATCAATACCAGTTGTAAACAATACCGAGTCTGTTAAACCTGCTTCTCCACCCAGTACTTTAAGCAGAACTTTGTACAATGCCGAGGATATAGCACCTTATGTCGTTCATGTACAAAAAAATGAAACACATCCTAATGATAACACTACATTACATCCTATTGCATTTGGTCGCTTTTTACACACTAATAAGATAAATAATATAGTGAATGGTAGCCTCAAAAGAATAGGAAGAAACCGTTTATCGCTTTCTTTCTCAAATTTTGAAAATGCAAATGCATTTTTAAATAGTAGTAACTTAGAGACACATAATTTTAAGGCATTTATACCTTCTTTCCATGTAACCCGTATGGGAATTGTGAGGGGTATTCCTAAAGATTGGACAGAAGAGGAAGTAATCCAAAATATATCAGTACCGATAGGTTGTGGGAAAATTCTAAAAACCAGAAGAATAAAGAAAAAGACAATTAATGAAGGACAACCAAGTTTTATTAATACTGAAACCATTGTTATCACTTTTGATGGACAAATATTGCCAAAAAGAGTATTTATGTTTTACACATCATTAACTGTAGATTTGTACATTTACCCTACTATCCAATGCTATAACTGCTGTAGGTTCGGACATGTCAAGATGCAGTGTCGTTCAAATCCTCGGTGTTATAAATGCAGGCAAAATCATACAGGTGATAAATGTGAAGTAGATGAGGAAAATGTTTCTTGTATCTTGTGTAATGGTTCTCATTCAGCAATTAGTAAAAAATGTCCTGAATATGCACGTCAGAAAGCCATTAAAGAAACAATGGCCCATAGTTGTGTTTCTTATGCTGAAGCATCAAAATTTCATCCTCCAACTTCTAAACTATATTCAGATGTATTAACATCATCATCTCCTTCCAATAAATCTCATTTTCAATCTTCTTTCCTTAAAGAGAAATCATCATTACCACATATACAATCATCATATAAAAAAACAGTTACACTTAAACCACGCTCTCCTCAAAAAATACAACAAGGATATGATCGTTCTGCCCATGAAGCCATAGTTAAGGAATATAATATTCCTGCTCCCTCTAATGGTTGTGCATTATCATCAAATAATATTGACAATAATCAATCCATCATTGATATTATTCTCATGCTTATTAAAGTGTTATCGCAATCAAAAATGATACAAACAACTTTACCACCGTCCAACGATGCCATGTACAATGTATTTTCTCAATTATTAACTTCTCACAATGGATTACAAAGTCCAAATAATTCAGTGGAACTGTCGTAGCATAACAAATAAGAAATCAGACTTATTTTATTTGATTAATAAATATAATCCTTTTATAATAGCTCTACAAGAGACTTGGTTAAAGCCAGGATATCCTTTTAGGATTTCAGGCTTTACAAGTCTCCGTGATGATAGAGCTGACGGATATGGCGGTGTTGCCATATTGGTCAAAAACTCCCTTCTTTTTTCTTCTTTTTCGCTTCCTGTATATAGCGGCATTAATGCAGCTGCTATAATTATAAATGGTATCTGTTTTGTTACTTTATATATTCCTGATCCTACATGCCAAATATATTCACAACTAGAACAATTATTTTCAATTTTACCTAAACCTTTTCTCGTAATGGGCGATTTTAATGCTCAGCACCAATCGTGGGGCAGTTCTACTTCTAATTTTTATGGTGGAAAACTCCTGACGATAATTGACACTTACAACTTATGTATTATTAACTCAGATGTACCGACACGTAGAACTGCACCGAATGAAGGGTTTAGTGCTCCTGATATTTCAATATGTTCTTCTGATTTAGCTTCTACACTGTCGTGGTATCCTCATTCCTCTACCTTCGGAAGCGATCACTTTCCCCTCATTCTTTCTTTTCCAATTTCCATTCCCTCAAGTCGAAAGAGTGGTCCTCGACTTAAATATAATTTATCAAATGTAGACTGGAATATTTACAAACAATATTTAGATAATAAAATATCGGAGTTACCTATTGTTTATCATGGAAATGAACATCAATGTTGTAATGACTTGATAATTAATATGAAGGAGGTTGCTGATTTATTATTTCCTGTTAAAAATAGTGCTTCAGGGAAAATTCCCTCCCCACCTTGGTGGGACAAAGATTGTACGGAAGCAATTAAAAATCGTAAAGAGGCTGAAAAAAATTATAATAATTACATGACATCAGAAAATTTTGAAATTTACACCGCAGTTTCACGTTCTACTCGAAAACTACTGAAAAAAAAGAAATTGGAAGGTTGGAGAAGATTTTGTTCTTCTATCTGTCCAGAAGTTAATTCATCAGTCGTTTGGAATAATATTAAAAGATTCAGATCTGCCTTTAGTGATCATACATCACGTTCTGCACTCGATTTAACTTTAGCAAATAAATTTTTAGATCGCCTTGCTCCTAGTTATGTGCCGGAATGCCTTTACAATATTTCTCTATCCGTCTCTGACGAATTATCCGAACTTGAGTCTCCTTTTACTCTTGTAGAACTTAAAGGTGTTCTAGCTTGTATTAAAGACTCTGCACCGGGAGAAGACGGTATACCGTATTCCTTTTTTCAAAATGCTAGCGATGCGACATTAATTTACTTTTTAAATATAATTAATTCCATAATTATTTCGGGAAATATACCTACTTCATGGAAGTCTCAGATTATTATACCATTTCTAAAGCTTCATAAACCACCTTCTGAACCGTCTTCATACCGTCCTGTTGCACTTTCCTCTGTCTTACTAAAGCTAGCTGAACATTTAGTGAAGAACCGTCTAGAATGGTTTTTAGAAAGTAATAACTTACTATCCCCGAACCAGTTTGGTTTTAGGAAAGGTAAGAGCACCTTAGATAATGTGAGCATTCTTATTTCAGATATTCATATAGCTTTCTCACAAAATTTGTCAATCCTCTCAGCCTTTTTAGATATAAATTCTGCCTATGATAATGTAATAATTTCTATTTTAAAAACTAAATTACAAGCTTTAAATGTACCGGTAATGCTTTCTAATTTCATTATTAATATTTTATCAGAAAGAACAATACATATGGATCTAGATGAAGATACCAAATTATCTAGAACAGTATGGAAAGGCCTTCCACAAGGATCTGTTCTCAGTCCAATTTTATTCAACGTATACACATACGATCTAGAATCATTCCTTGATAAATCCGTAAAAATTTTACAATATGCTGATGATCTTTTATTATATTTTATTGCGAAGTCCATAGAATCTGCTTCTGCCAAATTATCTGATTCATTAGTTTTGTTAAAAACGTGGTTAGATGCAAATGGTCTTAATCTTTCTGTAACCAAGAGTAGTGTAGTTTTGTTTTCAAGAATGAGATCACCGCAACAAATTAAGGTGCTTTATGATAACTCATACATTCCTATAAAGACTGAAATTAAATTTTTAGGTATCGTGCTAGATAATAAATTAACAGGTCTGTCCCACTGTAATTATATTTCCACGAAATGTGAGCGTAACCTCAACATTCTTAGGTGCCTTGCTGAAGTTTGGTGGGGAGCACATCCCGTTTCACTAAAACTTGCTTATAATGGTCTTATAAGGAGTGTCATTGATTATGGAACTTTTTTGTTAGCTCCAGGAAGTTCATTTGCTTTTAAGAAATTGGATTTAATTCAATCAAAGGCCTTGAGGATTATCTCTGGAGCAATGAAATCAAGTCCAATCAATGCTTTACAACTCGAAGTCGGTGATCCACCTTTGGTTTTAAGAAGGCAATATCTATCTGATCGCTTCTTTTTTCGTTGTTTACAATTATCTGATCATCCGCTTATTCAAAAGTTATCTCAACTACATATCTTTATTTCGTCTTCATCTTATTGGAAACATAAAAAACCTCCATGTTTAATACAAAGTTATGAAAAATATAAATCCATAGAATCTCCCACTTTTACATCGTCCTGTTTTCCCATTTATAAATGCTCATATCAATCTTTAGTTTTATCTCCTAATATTAAATATGATTTTGGGTTATCAAAAAATGATTCAGAATTGAATGCCAAATTTATGTTTATAACTGACATTGAATGGAATGAATGGCACTACATCTTTACTGATGCATCAAAACCAGACAATAGCGGTTGTGTAGGTGTGGGTGTGTTTCATTCACAATTTAATATCGTTCAAAAAATTAAACTTCCACCGGAATCTTCAGTTTTTACCGGGGAATGCTATGGTATTTTAAAAGCTGTAGAATATATACTTTTAATGAAATTACATAAGGCAATAGTTTTCACTGACTCTATGAGCTCTTTGCAAGCTCTAGCCAAATATCCGTTTAAATCAAAACCAGTTTATCCCATTATTTGTGACATAAGACAAAGTCTTTATCTTTGCATGTTGAGAGGGTATTCCGTTTCTTTTGCCTGGTTACCAGGACACAGTGGTATTAGCGGCAATGACAAAGCTGACCTGATTGCAAGAGAGGCTGTAACTTGTGGTGATATGTATCCGTATCATAATTACTGTAGTGACCTAGCTTGTCTCCCAAAAATATATTTAAGGTATGCCTGGAAGGAATATTGGGAAAAAACAAGTACAATAAAAGGAAGATTTTATCGCCTTATACAACCCGATATTCCTTTCAAACCATGGTTTTGTAAATTAAAGCTTGGAAAGACCGCAACAACTATTATAACTCGTATGCGTCTAGGTCACGTATGCACACCTTCTCATTTATACAAGCTTGGTATTGTACAAAGTTCGTCGTGTAATTGCGGTGCTGAAGTGGCGGACTTGAATCATATATTCTTCTCATGTTCTAAATTTGACCACACCTCCCTTTTTAATCATCTCCGATCCATCCGTGTTCCATTCCCAACTTCTATTCTTACTCTACTTTCTTCCAATGATCCTATTATCTATAAAATATTATCTTCATATATATATGATAACAATATTAAGATTTAGTTATATTACATGAATACATTTATAGTTGCATCAATTGCTTTTCCTATATATTTATAAGTATATTCTCATATGTACAAGTATATCCTTCATATCCTATAAATATCCTAGACCTAATCCTTATCCTTTCTAAATTCGTTTGTGTTAGGTATTTTTATTACTATTATCGTTTCCCCGTTTTGTTCTTGGCAAAATACCCTAATATCGGGGTGAACGCCACAAAAGAAGAAAAAAAAAAAAAAAAAAAAAAAAACTCCACAAAGTAGGTAATCATTAAAGAGTTGGCACCTGCCTTATATTCATATTACCTTTTCGAAGTTACAATACAATAAAAAATATAAGACCAAATTAATATATAGTGTTGTGTCACTATCTATATATACTTTCATCTAATATATCGATAATGTTCAAATTTTAAGATAAACATGAATAATAAAACAAGTATCTAAGTTTAATTACTTTATTTTACACCACTTTAATTTAAAATCTTATTTTTTAACAGGTGAATAATGTAAATTCTTTTTGATAGATTAAACAATAGTTATAGGTATTGTGCCAAGTCAAACAACATCTGAAATAAAAACACGTTCAATTCTAAAGAATATATACCTACGTACTATATAATATATAAGAAATAACCCTATTTATAGTTCTAGCGTGTGATAATGAATTTCTTCTTCCTGCCCTTTTCCCATATCTATTTGCAGAAATCTCACTAGTCACTCCCTTTCTGGCACATATCACCTTTCACACAACTTACCTATCTCGTTCTGTGTTGTTCAAAATGAGCATTTTTAGTTAAGTTGATAAGTATAATTTATTATAAAAAACAAGCTTGAAAACATATGAATTCTAACAAAATGTATAATACATAACATTAACCGACATAAAAATATATAATAAAAAAAACTAGCACATTTATAAACATAAGTGATCTTTGAATAATTGAGACATACCCTTACTGGGATAATGATCTCGTAAGGACAGCCTTAATAAAAACTATGCCTTTTTAAGAATCCTATATAATGTCACACGATATATTCATGTCAATATTCGCATCTCAGTTGTGTGAAATAGTTTTTCATTCGTCACTTTTATGATCCAGTATTCAGACCAGTTTAAGAAAGTAGGCTATATCATAGTTTTGTAAATCTTCCCCTTAAGTTTAAGGGGTATGTATGAGTCATATGTAGTTGCCATAATTTGCTGCCGCTTTATCAATCATACGTTTATTCTTTGCTTTACGATTCGGTCTAATTCACCATCGTTTTGAAGGAGGAAACCAGGAGGAAAAGGAAGATACCTAAAGCCAAAGCAGATTAGTATAGGTGTGTCGTCAATTTTATTACACATAAAGCTAGAAAGATTGCCGAAATCACAAAATATACTCAATACAGTACTATAGGGGGAAAGGGATTGTTAGTAATGGAGACTCAGAATCCCATTGCTAGCAATATACCCAACCAGGTCGACCGCCTCGCGGTTCCCCCTGAAAAACTATCATGTTTAATTCCTAATGAATTCATCATGATGGGTTAACTGGCCTGTTTTCATTCTCATCTATCATCCTTCACTGGTACTCCACCAGCGTATCCCGTTAGCGCTCGCGGGGGTACCATTCCATTTTCTACTATAAAAAAAAAAAAAAACAGTACTGTAGTATATATATAGTATCGGCATTGGTAGCATAGATTTAGACAAACGTTTTTTGTTTGAAGTTATAGTATGTATTATCCCAAAGTATTCTTATCCTATTATTATTATCTTTTATTATTATACAATATCTACCTAAATTATAATTTAAAGAATTGCATATAGTAAGTTTACCCTGAAACGATGAAATTTTTAGTATTTTGTGCAATGAAACAAAAGCCAAACTGTCATCCTATCTCAGAAATGAATTAAACTTTTTGTACGTTAATTTTATATTATTACTTAATATTATAATCATGTTGGAGTTAAAAGCTTGTGCAGTGTGTTTCAGCACAAATTTAAAGTTATTTAATATGGACAGTGGTCACTTAAGACATAACTATAATATAGTTTCCGGATTACAGGTAAATGTATTAATTATTTATTATCAATAATATTAATGTACTAGTGAATAAGGGTTTCTCCCTGAATTGAAGTAGTGAATAATTACACTTTGCGTAATTATTATTATGATATGTATAATTACTTTATATAATACAAAAGTCTCCGCGGGCCCCAATTATGTTTCTGTTGTTAAACACTGGTGCTTACATGGCTGTATTTCGGTTTCAAGTAAAGACTATGAAGCTGAAATTACAGGGTGTTGAGAACGGAGTTAGGTGTGTTATTTCTCAGGAATGATAATGCTTTAAAAATACTAATGGTATATATACCAGTGTATTTGGTGATGTTCCTGACGCCGTTCATGTATATGGGCGACGTTTGCTACTTTCCATCAAGTTAATAGTGAGCTTGATACATTCACAAGAAAGTAATGCCAATTTACAAATTTTATTGGTGAAAGTTTCATAAGTATACATTATATTTTAATGTAATAACTACTGATTTAACTTACATGTAATTATATTGAGAAAGCTCGACTAGTTTCAGAATAATTTCGTGATCCTTAGTCATGAGTTAAAGGGTAGCACTGTGACCACTGTATATACACGTTGGCTTACCAATACAGTCAATGCAATGACACAGTTCGTCACTCTCAATGTACCTAGGCACTCACTTGTATAACTGTTGCTCATCACTAAGGATCACGAATTGTTTCTGAAACTAGTAGAATTTTCTTAATCTAATTACATATAAGTTAAACTGATAATTATTATATCAAAATTTACAAGTTCTTCATGAAATAATATTGTTATACATTTAATAAATAGACAATAATTAAATAACTCCTTATTTAGATGATTATTATTAAAAAATCTGTAATGTAATAATAAATGAATAAAAGATGATCTAATCAATCACCATTTTTTAATTTTTTTTCTGTGTAGATATTGAGTCCCTAATCCTATTTACTGTCTATTAAACTTATATGTTTCTTCAACGGAATGTTAACATTTGTGTTAGGCAGGTTTCACATAAAATCTTATTATTCTAACTGAAAATATAAATTTTAAATATATATATAAAAAATTATAATTTTATATATAAATAAATATGTTATGATTTAAGTATAATCTGTGTTAAAAAGTTAAAGATAAATGGGAGCTAGTTAGACAATATATACATGTGATGAAACATACAAATCAAATTATAAGCATTTTTCATTCAGAGAATTGAAGTATAAAACTAGCTAATACTGTATTTATAGTATAGTAGTATATTATATAAACATTTCAGTAAATACAAAAGACTGATTTAAAACAATATGTTTAAAACAACAAAGGTTAGTACATAAACAATAAACAATGTAATCATTGACAGAAAAATGTTCATTATTATATTTGTAATTTAAATACATGAATAGATTCAGCCTTAGCTCACCTGGTAGTTCCTGGCAAATGGTTGATATTGCACATCCCTTTCTAAGGCCTGATGATTGATTGACAATGTTCGGATTGAAATTGTTTTAAATTATTTTATTAGTAAGACCATATAGATTCAAAGTTTATATTGAGAAGTTGTTATTTGTAAATAAATAAATATTTTTAATTTCCAGACCTATAATGGGGATAGTTTGCCAAGCTACCTTTGTTCGGAGTGCTGTGGCTATGTCACACATTTTACCAAGTTCCGTGAAAAATGCCAGAGAGCAAATTTTGCTCTACAAGAAATGCTAGCTAGGAATGTGGAAGTATGCTAAATATTTAATTATAATTTACCCATATGTTAAAATGGATCCCTAGTCACTCAAATATGAAATAGCTGACCAATTAGCGAAGGAAGGGGCAAAGAATATCTAAATATTCTTTGCCCCGTCCTTGATCAGAACTTTATTGTGGCATACCCTAAAGTGTAAAGTTCAGATATTTCAAACTTGAAAGTTTAGAAGCAACAAATATTAGCTAGCTCTTGCTGCCAGGATTAAATTATTCGAAAGTCGTGATTAAGGGGTTTTCAGAAAACTAAGAAATTAATTCTTATGAATAAAAATAATGTATGTATTATCACAAGATCTCTCATTAGATACTATAAACTAAACAAGCATGTGGCCCAATTAGGCTTATGCCTAAAAAGTGCAGATTTTGTCACAATGAGGAAGCAATGCAAGCAACAAATTTAATTTGTGGGCTACAGCCACAAATTAAATTACTTATTCTGAAATGTTTACCACTGTTTTGCCCACGTGAATTAGTACATAAAGAATCCTATATACTTGTTATCTACCTGTGTACCAAATTTCAATCCAATCGTTCAATAGTTTTTGCATGAAAGAGTAACAAACATGCATCCAACTATTCATCCATATCACCATCCATTTGCATTTATAACAATATGATAACTAAAGAAAAATACTGTGGGAGATTATTTAAAAATGGTAAAGGCATAAAATAATATGTGCCATTTATGAAAAATTTATGTAATTTTTTTAAGTAATTTCCGGGACATTAGGAACGTCCCGATTTGTTTATTTTTTTTTTTGTATGACATTATTACGGCATTACATTGCCAATTTTGAACCGATTTTTACAATTCATTTTGCAATCAATAGTGTTTGCTCTAATCTTCATTTTATAAAACTGCAATTTTTCTTGCTTATTGCAACACAATACCTATGTATAGACAGATGATTTTTTAAATATATTCGTTTCAATGTGTCTATGAAATATCTAGTTGTTCATCACTGTATGTTTGTATGTGTGTGTCTCTTCACGATTAAAGTAGCTTTTTTGCAGAGCAATTTGTACTTATTTTTTTTACATGCCACAAAATAGGTTAAATCAATAATATAATTTTCTATGTCAACAATTTCAGAATTTTATTGAATTTGATTTTATAATTTTAGATAAATGAAATAGTTCTTGATGATTTTAATTGTGAAGTAATTGGTATTGAACCTAAACTCTGGTTCATAGATCCATGTACAACACATTATGAAGAAGTTAAATATAAATCAGATGATCATAAGGAAATAACTACACTTCCAACTGGTTACATTCCAGTACTCCACTATAACATACTTCCAAATGAAGACTCATTTAGTATTAAAAACAAAATTTCTACAAATTTAGAAAAAACAGAAATAACTAATGTGCAATTGGAAAAGACAGAAGACACTGATACTATTGTGATTGATGATGATAATGGATCTGAAAATAGTGACTTGAATGTGGAGCAAAATGGTGTGGAAGAATTGACAACGGAGCAAAATGACAATAGTCAGGAACAAAATGATCTCTTTGATAGTGATATTGTTGTAAATGATGATGACAAAGTGCAAGATTCTGATAATGTATCACAAAAATCAGAAGCGAATGAGGTGTATGTAAAACCATGTATGGTTGAAGAGTATGCTAATGTGTACATAATAACTATGCAAGAGGCAAAAGCAGCTTATGAGATTCATAAAATGTTTAGCTCCGGTGATTACCGTTGTGAAATCTGTAACAAAGCATATTCTAATAAAAGACTTTTCCAAATTCATTTACGTATGCATGACAAGGTAAGAAATTACACAGTATTGTGATGGCATTTTTTTTTAAAGAAATGGAAATAGTAAATTAACGTGTGCTCTATCTTTTCAAAGATAGTAATCATTTGATTGCATGTTATCATGTCAGGAATTATATTTACACGTGCAATAATATTTTAATCTTATTATATTGACTATATTATATGTCTTCTATTTTTCAGCACAAACGAGGTTCATTCCTGTGTGAATTGTGTATATACTATTATAGAACAGAATCTCAATTAAAAACTCATATGATAGAAAAGCATATATACAAATACGTGTGTAGAAAGTGTCCTGAAGTCAATTTTAAAAGGTGAGTGTGAATTAATCAGTTTTCTATAGAGATGTCTATGTATATTATCTTAATCGGCCTTTATCAGCCTTTAACTGTCCACTGTCGAACATCAGTCTCCCCCTTGGGGGATTGTGTCTGTAGTTGCCACATTTGGCAGGCGGATTGGCAACCGCAGTTGCGCTTTGTAGATATTTTAAGATGGACGCTATTGCCTCTCCATCGCCCTCCCTTAGTCGCCTCTTACAACACCCACGGGAAAGGAAGGGGTAGCATATCCTATGACGGGACCACACGGCAATATGTATATAAAAAATAACTCTTTTTGCAAGTGATTCATGAACATTGAAACTTATAATCCAGGTATGTTGATGATCCGTCCGCCCAGTGCTGAAACACTGGTTGAACGGGCGGCGTAAAGGTCCACTGACCTTTCGGCTGACACAGATACTGACCGGTCACGGTTGTTTCGGTCAGTACCTGTGTCAGATTGCGAGAAGAGAGCCGACAACTGAGTGCCATGAGTGTGGTTGCGATCGGGACACAGCGCAACATGTTCTAGAAGAATGTCCATCGTTCAGTGCGGAGCGCCTCGTCCTGGTTGCGGAAGTGGGGGATGACCTCTCGCTGCCGAATATAGTTCAGTCAGTAGCGAGAGGTCGTGGAACGCAATGCTCACCTTCTGTGAAGCGGTGATGTCGCAGGAGGCGGCCGAGCGGGAGCGGGAAGGTGCCCCCACCGCTCCCGTCATGCGCCGCCGCCGAGCCAGACGAAGGAGAAGGGGCGCGCCCAACTCCGCCTCTTCCCCCCTCCCCACCCCACTAGGGTCGGGGTGTTGCCTTGAGGGAGGCACACCCTACATATGACCCTAGGAGGTGTGCGCACGTATCCGTGCCCTCCTGTGATGGTAGGGTGGGAGGGACATTCCTCACCCTAAGAGAGGAGGCCTGCCCTACACCACCTACAGGGCGGGCCGTCGCGTTGGATACTCGGTAGTTGTACAAACGGGAACCCGGGATCCAACATAAGCACCTCGAGGTACGTCGTGTGGTTTTTAGTGGGTACGAATCCCACACACCCCAGCTGCCCTCCCTTCGGCAGATGGGACGGTCTTGCTGAAGATTTTCCACACGTTAAAAAAAAGAAAGGTATGTTAATGATACTGTAGGGATAGGCAAAGCTGTTATTTAATACAGATATAATCTGTTGCCTACATTTTTAGTATTTCTATGTCTACTTACATACAAATACAAGTTAAATAAATATAAGTCAAATCTGCAGGGGGGGGGCTTCCTTTCCCACATAAATCCCTTTATCCTCTTATTTACCAATTTCCTTTATGCATTCCCAACGTTCCCTTCCTTTTTTCCTCAATCCTTTCTTCCATACCGTAGGTGGAGGAAACCACTAACAAATGCATACCCAAAGAGAGCTGACGACAAGCAGGCGGCCGGTCGTAAAACTATAAGCGAAATATTTTTGTAATATGAATAAAAAACATATTACGCCGACCCCAATAATAATTGGGATAAGGGTAGGAAGATGATGATGTATGTTTACTTACAGAACATCAGCAAAACAACATTACGTCTTGTCGCATATACTATGTCATAAGAAACATCCTGATTGGGATCGAGTCAAACCTAAATGGTTAAGACGGAGAGGTAGTAAACGAGTGAAATCAGTTCAAAAGATTACAAAGTTACCTGACGACTATCCAATAATATCAGCAGTCAGCCAAGAGGAGCAATATAAAATTGTCGAGGATAGAAAAGAAACGACAAATTATATCTATTCATCATTTTCATGTAAATTATGCTATAGAGGCTTTAGGGTATCTAGTACGTACACCAAACATATGAAGAAGCATGATCCGGTAAGTAGATTCCTTATTGGTCTAATTGATTGTTTTATACCATTTAAAAAAATATATTTAGCGAAATTGTTAATAAAACTAATTTTATGGTCTGATCAGACCATGTTTTTATTTTGTTATAATAACTTGTTAAATAATTTCTAACAAACATTTAGTTGTTGCCTATAGAATTATTGTAACTAAAAATAACGGTATAGTTAGATTTGAAAGTTCTTTATTTCTTTATTACTATTATAAATATTAGCTGTGTGTATTCCGGCATAGAATACTCCATCCTTTCCCGTGGGTGTCGTAACAGGCGACTAAGGGAACTTATGGTTGTGATAGTTAAAACAAATTATTTACTATTGCAATCATTTCTATTGAAACAGTTTGTAAGTATATATAAATTTATATTTGCAGGTGTACGCAGGCCAATTTCAATGCGATATGTGCAAACTATGTTTCGTGAGCACCCAAAAATTATCTCTTCACATGTACTTTACCCATCTGTTCAAGTTGTCATGCAAGATATGCAGTTTTGTTTGCTATAACAAGTAAGACATATATTTTGTAATTAATCCCTCTACTTGTTACTGTCTTCAAAAAATATATCCATAAATTATTATATATGGGAAAACACTTTTTAATTGCTTAACTTTTCATTCTTTTTTTAATCATTAATTACAATGAACTTAATGTAACAGTGTTTAACATTTATATCTATTAATACAAATTATTATATAGTAATATAGTATTTTTTTAATGAGTAAAGATGGAATGGTAACCTCGCCTACGCTGGCGGGGCACCAGAATGACAGGTGAGGATGAAGGCAGGTCAATTTGCCTATAGTGACTAATTCAGAGAGAATTAACCGCGATGCTTTCTAGGGGGAATCGCGTGGAGGTCGATCTGTTAAGGTGTATTATTAGCAATAGAATTTTTATACTCCATTACCTTTTACAATTCCTCTCTTTCCAGTGACATAATATTTGTATAATATGGTAATAGCCTTTCTGTAAATTACTTACTCCATTATGTAATAGGTGAAAGGGATAACAATTCCCATTAGTGTTTGTTTAAAAAATCACTCATCTATAGAAAGCTACATTATCAGACAGTACAATAAGCTCTATAATATTTTCGAAAATTCTATCTACCCGTGCGAATTCAGGTCGGATCATAGGTTATAAGTATACTAATATATTATGTTTTTAACCCCCGATTTAAAAGAGGGCTGTTATAAGTTTGACGTGTCTCTTTGTAGTGTCGTAACTCCTAAATGAATGGACCGATTATGGTGCGTTTTTTTTCGCTTGAAAGCTGACGTCATAAGATGGCTCTTAGCTACAAATAATGAAGATCTGTTTAAACGTTTTAAGCTCGACGGTTACTTAAAATTCTTAAGTTTACATTATACTTTATAGGAATCGAGGAAAGGCGCATTATTATTGGCACAAGAATGTCACGTACAATTGTTCACATTGTAATCGGTCTTTCAGGTATGTACAACATTTTCTCTATAGTAAGTAATATCATAAAGTGGAAGAGTTGAAGAAAGTTTGTTTATATGAACGCGCTAATCTCTAGAATTACCAGTTCAATTTTTAAAAATTCTTTCTGCATTTGATAGCTACAAGATAACGGATGAAACCGGGGAATATAGCTACTTTTTATATTGATTGACAGTACAGATACCATCAAAGTATAACAGAATAGTTATCTATTCCAGTAATACGACTTATTTGGCGCCATTCTATGCGTTCTTAGATGTTTTATATATGGTTTTTCATTACACTGTACAAGATTGTGCTCCACATCCACAAAAAAACTGACTTCAATCGTGTGGAAACTAGTTATTTTTATGTAAAAATTAATAACCTGATTTTGATAAAATTTCTATGGAACCCTTCTGAAAGTATATCCATTCAGATAAGGAAAGGATTTTCGAAATCGGTTTGTAAATAACGAAGTTATGAGGTGCTTCAGTAACGTCCTTTTTTTTGTGAAATTAATTGAAAAGATATAATGAAATAGTAATTTTGTTTGCGTTATCGATTTATGTTGGTGGGCTATCAGTCAGAGGTGATAGATAGATAGATAGATAATTTATTTGCATTACTTACAGCACACTGATTGAGAAAAAGAAACATATACAATAAATTAAAAAATAAATAAATAAAAACAAATGCATAAAATTAGTAACAATTTTTCCCCTTTATGCATGTGCCACAGTAACACAAAATGGTCACAACTCAGCTTATTGCTTTGCCCTAAAAAGAGCAAAACACTGATAATCAGTTGTGTTCAAAAGCGAGCCACGAAATTCCACTGGAAAAAAAAATAATAAAAAAGAAATATAGATAAAATACATTATGTGTGTAAGTAAGAATGAAGTCAGGCTATTTGATCGTGATCAATTGGCCAGGAATTATATACAATGGTTTCCAAGGGAGACCACATGGTGGTTGACGTGATAGGGTATTGCTAGCTATAGGGGACCACTTTCGTGTTATAGGTAAACCGGATAATTGGTGTGATTTTGTGGCACTTATTAATTAAATGTTTTTTTTTTAAAGAACGCAGACAGCACGGTCAACTCATATAAGGATGTACCATCCGTCCACGATTGTTTGTGATTTGTGCGGACACAGCTTTGTGAGTGAAAGCGGACTCATGAATCATAAGTATATCGCCCACAGAAACGAGGTACAGACTACATTGATTTAGGTTTAATTTTTTTGAGGCTTTTCATGATTTCTGCTATATTAAAAAGTAATTTTCAGAATTAGTTTCAAAATGTTAGTATATTAGTAACCCGCCACAGCATATTACGAGTACTACAGCTGTTTGCTGATAATATAACTTTTTCTGTAGATATAGGTATTTATAATATAGTATTTATTGAATGTTAATTAGATAGATAGATAGATAGATAATTTATTTACATTACTTACAGCACACAAATTACAATAAAAAAAAAACATACACATAATACACAGCAAAAGAGACAATTATAAACAATACACACATCAACAATACTAGACATTGACATATATTATTTACATATAGCAGGTCGTACAGAACAGACGTGATGAGGGCACATTGGCGGTATGGACGTGGTCAAATGCAAAGGTGGATGGGGAGGATGAGCGGAATGTGGACAAGGATAATGTGGGTCAGCCAGAGGCACAAAAAGCAGAGGAACCGCCGGATAGGTTGGCGATGGCAACAACAGAAGATACGGAGAAGGCAGCCGAGAACCCTCATTACTGCCCCGATTGCGATGTGCGGTTTGCTAATGCGAACGCGTATATTACGCACCTCGGCAGCTCCAGTAAACACACCGTCACTAACAAGTCAGTATATATATTTTATATATATATTTTGTACATATAGAGAGTGTCAACTTTATTTCTTTATTCAACTTAGAAAACAACAAGCTGATTGTCTGTTCGATGGAAAATTGGAAGAATCGCTCATAGACATAAACAGTACCATGGACATTAATGAATACAGTCATCACCATACATTTATATCGGCCATTAACTCTCCATTGCTACACATAGGCCTAGTCATTGTTAGTGAGTTGGCAACCGCGGTTAAACTTTTGGTAATATTTAAGAAGAATACTGCCTCGACCATTATGTTCCCTTAGTCGCTTCTTACGACACCCACGGGAAAGAATTTAGTCCCATTCTATGCCATTTTATACTGGGATCACACGGTAATTATTTAATTGATTAAACTATGTGCCACTTTTTGGAAGTTGCTTAAAAATAGACGTCTGTCTATTAACAAAACTGATTTGAATGAATGAATGACCGAATGTAATAAAACTAAGCAATTTTTAACAGATCGGGTAGACTGAGTACGCAGAAGCCACGATTAAGAAAAACCGATGTACATAACGCTGGCTACATCACCGCCATCGAATGTGCAGTGGTATGTTTGTCACGTATATATCCAATTTAAAAACGATAAATAGCACTAACAGAATCCTAGAACATCTTACTAGGTAAGTTTAAAAAAAAAGGACAACACAAGAATAATATACGAGTTTATTTGCGAACGTAGCCGACTTATCCTGTAATTTCATTGTCCTTTCTTCTAACTTAAACAGCCATGCTAACACGCAGTTTCAATTGGATTTTTGTGCATCATAGAATGGCATACATGCTGCGATATCATTTTTGAGGATTGTTTCTGTACTGTGTAACCTTATTTATTTCCATATTCCATCCTTCAAACTGAAATGCAGATTTGTAGGTACAGACCAGTTGGCCTATTGTGACAAATTTCAAAGAATAAATCATGTTGGTTTCCAAGGAGAACTGCGTGGGGTTCGAGCTGATAGGGTGTATTGCTAGCAATGAGGTTGTCAGATCCTAATTACTAAAAACTCCTTTCCTCCATCAAATGATTCTTGCGCTTATTATACAGTAATTTCAAGTGTGTATGAATAACAAAATGGTATAACATTGCAGTGTAACCAAACCCTGGCCAATACTACGTTGGCACAACAACACTACAAGACGGAGCACCCCGGCGTGCACTTCCCCAAACGTTACATGTGTGAAAAGTGTGGATACATTACCAGTGTTAGTTGATTCACTATGCACTTTATTTATTTATTGATTCTTCAACAAGAAATACTACTAAGTATCTATTATTAATTAAAAAAATAATCATGACTAATCTCTACTGCGATAGGTGAAAACATCGAATGTTCTCATTACCTCGAGTGAAAGTATATTCGACATGTCGAATTGTCGATATTTCGTATAATATAACATTCAACGTGACAGGGAGAGTCTCCACCCTCATCCGGATGAATTTGGTTTATTATCAGCCGTTAAATGCCCACTGCTGAACATAGACCTCCTCCATAAGGGTAGTTTTGCCAGTAGTTGCAACGTTTAGCAAGCAAGTTGGCAACCGCAGTAGGCTTTTGGTGATGTTTTAAGAGATACGCTACTGCTCATCCTTCGACCATTAAGTACCCTTAGTCGCTTTTTACGACTCCTTCACAGGAAAGGAAGAGGTGGCTCATTCTATGCCTAGACAAACGGCAAGGAAGATTGGTTTATTATATTTTTATTATATATGTTGGGGTGAAATTGCTATATCTCTTGGGATAATGCACAATTAGGTATATTTATTAGCAATTTGAAACATGCCCATATCGGTGGGATTTAGATTAGAGAGAGGTGCTATTGCCATTACACAAAAAAGAAATTAATATTTGTGTTGGGTTGTCAACACAAGAGCTTAATTTATGAGGCGAATTTATCCGTTGTATATATCCTTAATTTATTTTCTTTATCTATACTAATATAAAGAGGAAAGGTTGTTTTTTTGTGTATGTTCATTTGCAATGGATAAATTAAAAAAACAGCTTAACTGATTATAAAAATTCTTTCACATATATTGAGTTAATTATCATATAATTATAATAATATAGATTTAATGTTATTTTCTATCTACTCGAACGAGGTCAGAGCGGATCGCTAGTACATTAATAATGTTATTCTCCACAGCTATACTCGAACCTTGTATTACACATACGTACACACACCAACGAGAGGCCATTTAAATGTCCGCACTGCGACCGTGGCTTCACTTCTTCATGTAACAGAGATCGCCATGTTCTTGTGAGTTTCTTATTATTCTTATGTATTAGTCTTATAGATAATTTGAAGAAAAAATAATTGTCCCCAATATGGGGTGGGATTAATATTACAATTATAGAATTAGACATCAAATATTTTATCATATCGATTTTGGTCATGGATTGATAAAAAATGAGTTTTTCTGTATTTAGCATTATGTTTACATTATCGGTTTAAATTAATTAGTTATATCAATAATATATGTCCTAAATATGGAGATACATTTTTTATTTGAATTTTTTTTTCAATGACGTCATCCTATTGCGATTTCATAATGCATACGGTCATAGCACATCTATGGCAATCTCTTACTATGCTTGAACATATTACGCGGCACCATCTAGTCTCAAACTAAGCAGACCTGGTTCTATGGGTACTAGACAACTGTGTCTAAACACTTTTTTCAGAAACACATACATAGCATATATAGAAAACTCTCAGACCAATGCAAACAGACGTACTTATGAATACAAATGTTTAAGTTACACGAGAATTTAACCCGTGACCATTAAAAGATAAGGCTGTATGTCCCAAGGTCCTCAAAAGTTTAAAACAAACTATCTTACAGTAGGGGTTGTTTTAACATAAAATCTGAAACTGCCATTATTTTTCAGTCACATACAGGCGAAAAGCCATTTCAGTGCCACCATTGTCTCCGCCGGTTCCGACAGAAGAATGAATGTAAAATGCACATACAGCATGCCCATCTGAAAGTACCGTACCCGTCCAGAGCTAAGAAGAAGCGAACACAGCGCAAGGAAATCGAGGGTGGGCCGAAGGAAGTTGAAGGAATAACACCTGTGGCAGTCAACGCAGCGAATGCGGTGACTCCAGTTTGCGTACAACTGCCACCGCAAATATCGCTAGATCATCGCGGAGATTATTTAAACGCGTACATAAATTATACCGATTTATAAATGTCTACTTGTATAGTATGCGGAATATTCTAGCTGTTTAATATTTTAAGTAGGACATTCTCTATATTGTTGGTTTTACAAATGACATAATAATAAAAAAAATATATATATATATATATATATATATATATATATATATATATATATATATATATATATATATATATATATATATATATATATATATATATATATATATATATATAAATGAAAAATTTATACTTATTCTTTTTGTCTGATTGTTATTTAAGGTTCCTATCTACAACTAAATAGTATTTACGAAGTCGTAATTTAAAAGGGAAAGAGGGAGAAAAGGAATAGTTCAAGAATACGCCAAAGTCTGTATCATGTATTTGCCACCAAGTGTTTGTTTTATCGTATAAATAAAAAGCTATATTCAAAAGTAAATACTAATCTATAAGACATATAGACAGGATAATTAATGAATTAAGTTACACAATTTGTTATTTCATAATCACTTCATAAATTATAGAGTACACCTATAAAATTTTCATTTGGGATGGACTCGAAAATTTTAGTTCAGGAGAGAATCCCTCAGATGCATAGTACCTATTTAGTGTGTAATCCCACATCTATTGGTATAGGCAAGGAATTATCAGTAATGGGTATAACAGCCTAATAGCCCCATTGCTAGTAATATACCTTATGAGGTCGACCTCAACGCGGTTTCCCCTGGAAAGCACCATGATTAATTATTGTTAAATTCGTTAGAGAAGCCAACTGATCTGCTTTTATCCTTATTCATTATCTTTAATTGGTGTTTCGCCAGCGTATACTGATACCGCGGGCAAGGTTCCATTCGTGCCCTTTTACAAAGATATTGATATAGGTACTATTCTATATATACAGAGTGGAAAGGATAGATTAGCCAAAAAAAAACAGCTGATTCAGATGAATGGTTTGAATCAGATGGCTGATTATTTTCCTACCGAAAACACACCAAAAACATATAATTAACGATTCTTAGTTTTGTCCCCGCGCAATGTATTTGAAATTTTACGATCGACACGACGTGTTATACATAGATATCGTCTGGTCAATGGCTCTTCTTCGTTCGTAGGTAGTTTTCGTACACTTGTGTCGTTCACCTTTCACAGCTGATTACACGCGACGCGGTAGGATTTTAATATGAATATTACGTTGCTGTTTTTTTTTTGTATTTCATAGTACTTCACTGTAAAATATTATTGCAAATAAAGAGGGAAAAATTAAAATTTCCACTAGTTTTCAGTCCGTAATAGTTGTCTGAATTCACTGTTTTAGTTTTTGCCAACCTGTCTGTTACACCCGTATAGTTGAAATTAATCTTATTAAAACAACATATATACTTAGTTGTGCATAGAGGAGGTAAAGAAACGTTAGTAATGCGGGCTACCAGTCCCATTGCTAGCATTGCTGTCAGGGCAACCTCCATGCAGTCTCCTTTGGAAATCACCGTGCTGATTTCCAAGTGAATTTATCACGATGGGCCATCTGACTTCTTTTTTCATTCTTACCTATCATTCTTCACTAGTGCCCCGCCAGCTTATACCGTTAGCACAGGTAGATTTCTCATTTCATTATCATCTATTAAAAAAAGTTGTTCATAGATAGAATATAGTTATATTTATGCCATAGATTTAATATAGTAGAAGTGCCAAAATTTGGCACGGAGAAAGAATTGCGATTCTATTTAATAGTAGATACCACTTGTTCTTAGGGAGGGAAAGGAATCGTTAGAAGTGGTTTGGAACGGCCCCATTGCTAGCAATACACCCTATCAGCTCGATCCCCACGCGGTTCTCCCTGGAAACCATCGTGGTTAATTCTTTTCGAATTCTTCACGCTGGGCCGACTGACCTGTGCCTCATCAGCGTATACCGATAGCGCAAGCAAGGTTAAAATTCCATTTTTATTAATTAAAAACACATGTTCTTAGGGTAATTTGGTAGATATATAATCACAACTATTAGTTAATGTTCTTTTTAGCCATATTTCAATCAAAAGTAAAGGCAACAGAGACCAAGCGTCACTGCTGGATCGGATCTAAGAAACGTTCCTTGTTCTTAGCTAAGAACTATACCAAAATCTTTTTAAGATTGAACAGACGTGCGTGGTAGTGACATCTTGACAAAATGACAGCTGTCAATGTCAATGCCAATTTGTTAAAGAAAAATCAAGCCAACTATCCAGCATAGTCAGTTTTTATTTTGTAATTTTGTTTTTCAGCTCTAAATAAAATTTTGATGAGTATGATGAATTTCTTGATGCCACCATAAAAATGCTTACGAGTGGTGTAAAAATTATTATTGTTTTTAGTTAGAAATGAACACACTTCGATATTAACATAATGTTGGAATTAAAGGCCTGTGCAGTGTGCTTTAGCACAAAATTGAAGTTGTTCAACATGGATAGTGGTCACTTAAGGCGTGATTTTAATACGGTATCCGGATTACAGGTGAGGTTTCTTTTCATAATGATATAATTGTAGTATTACTTTTTTCACATGTAACTAGTATAAAGAATCAATCATTAAAGCATCGGTTGTACTGGTGCAATTACTAAAAAATTCAATGTCTAATAATATTCTTTAAACTCATTATTAAAGCACATACATAATCAAAAAACACCGACACTCGAAGTTATACTAAAGTTAGTTTGTCTTATCAGACAAACAAGTTCAGTTTTAATGAATACCTTGAAGAACTGTGCTGTTTGGCTATCTGCTAAAAACCTATCAACTTAGCTTTGACAAGTCTATTCTATTATTTTTTATGTATTGATTGAGTCATTAATTAAACTGATTTAATTTCTACCTCATATTATTATATGATCAATGAATCACATGATTTTCACTGCCCAATTACCTATATTTTTTCTTTATAATATTCCTTTCAAAGTTTCCTCTCCCAGCTACACTTATTAAAACTAAAGCAATTGCTGTATATAATAATAATCAAAGAGATCTGTCTATGTACTTCTTCACTATACTTTTGTTTACTTTAAGACTTCATTATTTGAAATAGTTTTAATGAGGTGATCTAACCTTAACTTAATTCTATTTACATATGTGTTTACACTTATATTTTTCTCCAGACTTACAAGGGTAATGGCATGCCAGGTTATCTCTGTGGACTGTGCTGTGGTTATGTCACACATTTTCTCAAGTTCCGTGGAAAATGTCAAAGGGCTAATTTTACTTTACAAGAAATTTTATCAAGAAATAAGGAGGTTTGATATACTCTTATTGTTTTTTAAATTCACCATCAGAACTTTAAACTTGTGTCTTATATTAATACTGAAAAAATACATTGATAATTCCAATTCCAAGAGTATTTATAATTTTTGCTTATTGAAGTGTGGAATAATCACAATTATCTGTTAATCTGTGAACATGTTGCAACAGACACCCGCAACATGTCTGTTGCAACATTGCCATACTTCTTCATGAACACTTAAGAGTACCATATACTGAATAAATTAAATTAAATTCTGATTGCTATAGTATGGTGCAAGTGATAGGTTACTAAATTTATGGAAAATAATTTTGATTTTAAATTCATTATGAGTAATTATCTTTTTTTTCAGTATTTCACAGTAAAAATTGCCTAAAGTTCAGCTGTTGCCTTCATTAAAAGAAAGAGTCTTCAATTGAGATAGTTTAAGAGGAATATTTTATTATAGGCTGCCAAATAATTTAGTTAATTGATTAATTGTAAAATCATTTGCATATAAAACTGTAAGTAAATAACTTAGCAATAATATTTATTGTTTTAGGTAAAAGAATTTCATTTAGAACATTTAAATCAACAAATAATTGGTATAGGACCTACACTATCATATATAAATCCATGTAGAACACACTATGAAGAAGTAAAATTTCAATGGGTTAAACATAATCGGATAAGTGTACTTAAAAATGATGAAATATCAGTTATCCATTACAACACACTCTCTAATGAAAATATTTTTGAATTTAAAAGCCAAACCTACACAGATAATGATAATAAAAAGAATATTGTTAAAGTTGAAAGTGTCAATGATGCCTCAATGGAATTTGATTTCGGCAATGATGAAATATTACTTGATCAACATGAAGATAATCAAGAACAAGATAACTGCTTCAATGATGATGTTATTATGAGTGATGATGATAATGAAGATGAAAATTTTGCTGATATATCTAAAACATCATGTAAATTGTCAAATAAAGTCAACAAAGATAATGCAGATGGCTCAAATTTGGATGAAGAATATGCTAATGTGTATCCTATTAGTAAGAAAGAGGCTAAAGCTGCAGTTGAGGTTTACAAAATGTTTAGCACTGGTAAATATCGTTGTGAAATCTGTAATAAAGCATATTACAATGAAAACAGACTGAAAATTCATTTACGTATGCATGATAAGGTAAGACCACAAATTTTTTTTATCACTTTTGTTAATAAAGTCCTAAAATTATGGGAGTACATGAAATCACTATTAGGTTTGCTGTAACCGTTTTCCTTATGTTTTATTGTCTTCACTTCCTTAATATTTTTAAATTTAATATATATGAGTATTAGTTTGTACTTTCTGCCTCAATAGCTCAAGCAGTGATTGTAAAATTTGCCATGTTTATAGTGTTTAGAACAGAGACTGACATATGATATTTTTAATATAGTTAATCAGTGTGTTCTAGTGGGTTACTCTTGTAATCCAATAGATCAATATTGGAATTGTGATATTTTACATTCTTAAATGCAACACTAGTGATATATTGGTGGTATCATGTTATCATTAAAGGAACTAAAACATTATTGGATTAATTTTCTAATTGGTTTATTCAGTACTCTTGTTACTATTTTAACTTACCTATGTGAATGCAATGTCAAGTTTAACCTAATTATTGCATTACTGTAAACTGTATGATAAAAAATTTCTAAATTATATTTTTCAGCATGTAAATGGGCCATTTGTATGTGATCTCTGTTTATACTATTACAAGACACAATTTCTGCTAAAAACCCACATGACAGAGAAACACATGTACAAATATGTATGTAGGAAGTGTCCCGAAGTCAGTTTTGATAGGTAAGTGTGATCGATTAAAATGATTTAGAGTTAGGCCTTCAGAGTCATATATTATTGATCAGTTGATTAAAATTATTTTGTTTAATTTTTCTACCATTTGTTCTCATGTGACTGTCAACAGCAATTAAGTAAAATAATATATTATCTGAGATTACAAAATAAAATATTTTATATATTTAAACTGAGTAAAATCATATTGATGCTGTTTAGTTCAAATGTGTACTAAAAATATTTATTAAAATCTTTCATTTCTAATATTTAATATGTGCATGCTTAGCAAGTGTTGTTATTATTTTATATACATTATTTGAATAATTTCTCTCATTATACAGCCATTTTTTCAAAACCATTATCAGTAATTGTGAAAAAGTTATAAACAGACAAGCATACTACACTTCTATTTATTACATTCATAATGTGAGTTTACTTACATTTATTTACAGAACATCAGCAAAGCAGCATTATATTTGGATGCATTTACAAAAGGGTCGGAAGAAAGATGCCAACTGGTACGATTCGAGACCCAGCTGGCTCCACAATAAAGGTGGTAAGAAAATTAAGGGTGTTGTCACGCTACGTCCAGTAAAAAAAATCACCAAGTTGCCTGAAGACTATTTAATATACTCCCCGGTCACTCAAGAGGAGCAATACAAACTTGTTGAGGATAGGCGAAAAACAAGAAATTATATAACATCAAAATATAGATGTGAATATTGCTTTAGAGGTTTTAGAGAAACAGCCACTTACAGTAAACATATGAGAAAGCATGATCCGGTGAGTAGCTTTTGATCTCTAAATTTTATGTATGAAAAATAGTACTTCTCATGTCAATAGGCGACGGCTACCGCTTTCCATCAAGTGGGCCGCCAGCTTGTTTACCATTTTAAGTTGCATAAAAAAAATATCCTTTCCTTAACTTCCATATGTATTAGTGAGATGTGTCGTTGTGTACGTTGAAGTGTCTCACTAACTAAATCAGTTATCTTTAACACTGATGTCTTCTATATTTTTCCTTGTATAAGGGGGGAATAAAATTGGGTAAGAGTTTGGGCCAGTTCAACTTGTCCCTACTAACTTTTTTCCCTATGGGGTAATAGTAATAGAGGTAGTGGAGTTTTTAACACTTGTCCCTACCATATTGTGTCCAGTAGAGATAAATGCAATAAATATGCCACTTTTCCTTTTTGCTAAACAAATAGTTGAAAATTGCACATAGAGCTATAACAGTGGAATATAGACAAAATCTAATACGCATAATCTATCGGCAGGCGTACGCGGGCAAATTTCAATGCGACATGTGCAAACTGTATTTCCGGGACGCTCGTAAGATGTACAAGCACATGAACATCACTCACTTGTTTAAATTCTCATGTCAGATGTGTAGATATGTTTGCTACAACAAGTAAGTGTATATATTATCGGTTTATATTATCTCTTTTTTCGTAATACTTTTATTTATTGCTTATTTAGATAACACTAGCTTTTTGCTCATTACTTCGTACAGGTGGATTTCAGAAGTAGAAAATTCAATGAAATGGACTATTTGTATATATCATGTATTAAGATAAAACATACGCTAGTTTCTAAGTTAGACTTTTAGAAATACATACAATTTAGTGCAGTATTTTTTGTATGATGCCAAAACAAATATACAGACAGACATATAAAATTTCTAAAAATTATTATTTTGCATTTATTAGTCTTATTAAAATGCCTCATAATATTTTTTTAAATATCTTCTATGTATAGACATCGGCTAGTTACAATTTTATTATATTAGTAAGATTGTTTACTTGTTTAATGTTATTTTTAGTTGAATTTATTAAAGTATTTATATTTTTTTGTTAATATTCTAGGGGTCAAGCACAAATGCATTACAAATGGCACAAGAATGTTACGTATGAGTGTCCACACTGCAAACAAGAGTTCAAGTTTGTATAAAATATTTTTTTATTTTGAATTTAATATAAAGAAACATGAAGGCGGGCAGCAATTTTTTTTTCTCACTATTTATATTGATGTATCATTTCGCAGGAAGGCGTCGACTCGTTTAACTCATATCAGGATAAAACACCCTTCGACTTACATCTGTAATTTATGTGGACATAGTTTTGTGAGCGAAAGTGGACTCTATTGTCATAAGAAAATAGCACATAGTAGGGAGGTAAGTCAACATCAATTTGTTCCAACATTGTCAAATATGCATTTTGGGTTTCATTTACTTGAAACCTATATGGGAATTATGAAAGAAATAAAAAAAATACTCACAGCTATAATTCCTAATGGGGTAGTCAGTAGTATTTGTTAACTATTGCTGTTGGGACGAACATATGTAACACTCAACATGCTCATATTTCACCGAGTATATTAGAATCCAACCTCAAAGTCCGTCACTTGATTAATTTGGTTCGTTATCAATGTTTTCCATCATCGAAAAGTTATTTTGGAATTTCAATTAACATACAATTTTAATCAAATTTAGTCAAAAATTAAAGTTGGTAATGATATTTGTGTTCCAAAATATTCAGCGGGAAATCAGTGCTGTTGCGACAGTGCTGTACTCATTTCAAACAATGCAAATACTCATATGCACTGAAAAATGATTAATTATTATTATTAGTGTAACTCAGTGTATTTGGTATAGGAAATCGCGCTAAGTGAGCGTACGTTTGGAGCTGGTGCAAGCGGTACAGAGGTGGACGGAGTGGGAGCGGGTGTTGGGGAGGTGCACATGGGAGCGGATGGGATAGAAGTAGAAGTGTCGGGTACGAAAACTGAGGCGGCCGGGTCCGAGTCCCGTTACTGTGCTGACTGCGATGTGCGGTTTCTTAGCGCGGCAGCATATGTCACACACCTCGGTAGCTCCAGTAAACACACCAGCACCAATAGGTTTGTATAACTGTATTGTTTTATTAGGGACCTGAACAAACTAATTTTTTTATGCAAATTAGAATGGCAAACAAGCTGACGGCCCACCTGATGGAAAGAGGTAGTCGTTCCCTATAGACATGAGTAATATCATGGATATAACAGAGTATACTGTTTCGCTCATGATACCTTCCATGCGTTGCCATTGCCCAGTATTTTTCTTCACAGAGTACAAAGGTCCGGTTTGGTGGGATTTAAGGGATTGTTAGTATTGGGGACCTACAAGCCTCATTACTAGCAATATACCCTATCACATCGACCTTCACAGGGTTTCCTCTAGAAACCATCTTGATTAATACTTCATGAATTCGTCATTGGATCAATTAACCTGTTTCATCTGCATCTACACACTGATTGAGCACCAGTGTATACCAATAGGGAGGGGTTACCATTTCAGTTATCTCCCATTAAAAAAAAAACCGGACTTACCACGGACTTTCAGATAATTCTATGCATTTTATTTTGGATGGTTGTGCAGGTACTGTATTAATGACAAACAACATATTTGATTAATTAGTACTAGGAATGGTACAACCTGATGTTATGATAAATTTGACACCAAAAATTGTAATAGCATCTTGTTTGCTGGATGGATAAGAAAGATGGATTTGTAAAGATGGATTAATTTAATACAGAATAAGTTATTGCCATGTGGTCTAGGTATAGAATAGGCTACTCCTTCCTTTCCCGTGGGTGTTGTAAAAGGCAATTAAGGAAGGACGAGAGATGGGCAGCAGCATCCCTCTTAAAACTCACCAAAGGCTGACTGCGGTTGTCAACCCACCCGCCAAGCGTGAGCGCAACTGCTGGCAAAACCCTCTTATGGGGAAGCCTATGTTCAGCAGTGGACAGTTAACTGCTGATATGGTACGGTATAGTGTATAAGTATTATTATATTATTACTAATTTTTTGTTCATAGGTCGATCAAATCGCGGCGAATGGTAAAGAGCGGTCGACGGCCCGGCCGCCCCTCTGGTTCACGGAAGTCTGAGATACACAATATCGGCCTGCCCACCGCCACTAACTGCGAAGTGGTATGTTCATCTTTCTTACACCTATTCATTTTTTTTATACAACTTAGAATGGCAAACAGGCTGACGGCCCACCTGATGAAAAGTGGTAACCGTCGCCTATAAACATGAGCAGTACCATGGACATAACATAGTAGACTGTTTCGCCCATGATACCCCCCATGCGTTACCATTCTTAAGGACTCAGATGTTATTCCTCTGTACCCTGTAAATTCACGCCATATCCTACCCTTCAAACCGAAACACAGCCATGAAAACACAACTGCTTCACGGTACAAACACGAATGGGACAGAGGTACCCAAGCAACCGATTTTTGTACAAAGTCTCCCTCTGGAAAATTTTTATTTAGAGTCTTAGTTTAAAGCTTCGTAAGGTTAATAAATAATATTATGAATAATAATAATCCAATGTTTAACATCAATAATGTATAAGATGAAATATCTGTAAAGTTCGTTTTCACCTATTGACAAGATGTATATTTATTTTTATTAATCATATGTTTTAGGGGATAAGTTGAAAGGACCATAAACATTAATAATAAAATATCATACTGTATCATTCCAGTGTGGGAAGTTCTTGGCCAATGACGTCCAGGCGCGGAAGCATTATGAATCGGAGCACCCTGGTGCAGACTACCTCAAGCGCTACATGTGTGACGTATGCGGACACACCACTAGGGTGAGTTTGCTTTTAGAAACCGCAAAGACCATCACCCTGCAGTGATTAATCTTTTGACTGCTTGACTTTGTACCGGTTGTCGTGTCTCCAGTGTTTAATTCAAATTGGCAGTTTTATATTGTACTTAGTTCTTTTAAATATTTCTGATTTTAGTAAGTAATTTTAAAATTGTCTCTATAATATTTATTGCGGTAATGGAGACAGCTGCATAGACGAAACATAAAATACTTACAAGCACAGGTTTTAGGGGTTTTCCCAAGAAATTACTAAATGGGGTTTTCAAAAATAGGGTAAAGAGGTTTTTTCAAGGTCGGCAACGCGCACGTATTGCCACTGGTATTGCAGGCGTTCATAGGCTACGGTAACCGCTTTATTTTTATTTCCATTTCCATTTTTCAATATTATTCCCACTATAATTCCACTAGCCGGCACTATTTACAATAGTGTCGGCTCAGCCCCACGGGCTCAAATTATTGACGCGTAGGCGGCAGCCTACGCAGGCCGCTCGGGCAAAGAGCCGTCGCTCGAGGCCCGCACCTGCAGCCCCGTAAAGGGCCGCGGATGAACCTTTGTTGTTGGTAACCGCTTATGTTCAGGTGGGCCGTATGCTAGTTTAGTACCTCAGTGGTATAAAAAATATAAAAACAGGTTCTTTGTTGGATAAAAATACAGCAATGGTAAAAAGCTTAACAATGTTTTTATAGAAGTGAATGTTGCAGAAATGATTTCCCAAAATTCCTACTAAACGGGTAATGATGTGTTTTTGTGGCTCTAGCCGCTAATACAGTCAATAATTTTCAGATTACGCTTGCAACTACTTTTATTATAGTGTATGTTGCATAATATCTTTATCAATTCTCTATCGGTTTTGGAGTAGTCTTTAGAATAGAGTTTCAATTGCCGTATTTAATCATTTTGAAAATGTCATTTTTATGAAACGAAATCATAAAAATTATGTCTTTATTTTTAGCAATACGCGAACCTCATGGTGCACATGCGCACGCACACGCACGAGAAGCCGTACGAGTGTCCGCACTGCGACCGCCGGTTCAGTATGCCCAGTAACAGGGACCGCCATCTTGTTGTAAGTTTTTTTTTTATAGTTTTCAAGGTAGATGCCACATTCTAAAATGGTTATATATTGAGCGTGATGATAATGTACCTACTAACTTAAATGTGAAAGTTTGAAAAGGTGGTCAGATGGCTGTTATTTAATCGTATTTAAAAGACTTTTAAATACTTAAAAAAAAATTATGAAATTTGGTAGACCATATATTAAATTAAATACTTTTATCCTTATCACGAATAAAGCCATGATATGCAGCTAGTACTTTATATTTGAAAGTTACGTTGCCCTCGATGATTAAAAAACATTATTTTGGAAAGATGACTTTTAAAGGACAAAGTTTGTAATTAGCCCTTTTCTCGCAGGTACATACTGGTGAAAAGCGCTACCAATGCCAACACTGTAATCGCCGTTTCACACAGAGCAGTGCTGTCAAACTGCACATACAGACTGTCCACCTGAAGATACCGTACGCACCCTGGGACAAGAAGAATAGGAAGCGACGTAAGGAACTCGAAGGCACGTCAGCTCCGGTTAGCACAGTGAGTACGGTGACCGCGGCGTGTTTACAGCCGCCTCCGAAGTTGTTGATAGACAATCAAGGGGATTATTTGAATGCATATATAACTTATAATGTATGATGTGTGCGTTACGCTACTGTTGCTGGGTAGTTACGGTTGTTTGTATGTAAAGAACTCGATAATATTAAAGTAAGTCTGTGAATATTATGACTCGGTATGTATGGATTTTTTTGTATGTAAAATTTATTGATATTAAGTATAAGACTGTCTATGAATATTTTTATTTTTAATGAGGTTCCTAATACATTTGTATTTTTTAATTATGTTGTGTATTTTTTCTCGAAATTGGATCGTATCGGGAGTAGCCATGTAATAAAATATGTTCGCAATTAGACAATATAATTCTTTATTTTACAAACAGAAATAAAATTTTGGTATTTTCAAGTTCGTGTAGCAACAGTCGTTAAGTACCTGTCTTTTGTATTATTTATATATATCTGTCTTAACGCCAGATATTTTACGAGGTAGGCAGAGAAAATTAAAAGGATATGTTTTATTTGGAAATTTTTGGTACCTGAATTAAAGGCGTTTCTCTAATGCTCAATGCTTTTATGCCTATGAAAGTTTGTTTTTGAAATTATATTTTTATTATAAATTACATGTCAAACATTATTTATTTTTCCATATATCAAATATATTTTATGATTATAATATTTATAATATAAATTAAGATTAGAAGTGAAAGGTGGGATACATAATACTGATCTTTTTTTCTGTATGTATTGTAAAAAATGTATATAAATAATTTCTTTAAAATTAAAGCCGTTCTTAAGATTATATTGTCACTATTTAGACTTTGCAATTTTTTTATATTTAAGTATTTGTAAATTGCTATACACAGTATTTAGTTAGTACACTGATTATATATATAAAAAAAAAAAAACTTATGAGGTTGAAACATAAGTTTTGTATTATGTATTATGAATATTTTTGACCTCGCGGACTGATGCCATAATTTAATTTATATACGGTTGTTTATTCAAGTAGCACTGGTCAAATTCATATATTTTGTTTTGTGAACTCTTTGTCTGTACCTAACATTTTCTGTACTCTGCACATTTAGTAAATAATTATAGATTGTCTTTTTTACTAATAACTTAATGTGCATCATGTAATAATACATAATGAAATAATACAAAAACCTTTTAATTTTTTTTAGCCATTTAGCTAATTGTATAATATGTACATTGTTATTTTGATAAAAAGACCGAAGATTGTTTAATAATTGTGCAGTATTTAAAGAAAAGATTTTTTTTTCTGTTGCTTAACTTCCACACCTGAATCAAATCTAATTGGCCGTATTTTTTTGTGGATTTATTATTCAATCGTTGACCATAGAGTAACATGGTTTTCATATGGAGGTTAATATTCAAAGCACCAATTACCCAAAAATATATTGCCGTCGACAATTTGGTTTAATCAATCGTACAATCTCTCTAGAATTACAATTGAAATAATAATATTCTACTTAAGATAGTATACTTAGGTAGTATACAGCAATTCAATAATCATTAAGTATGTATATAATAATAATTTCAGACATTTGCCTTATTCATAATGTATTATTGTATAATTATTTTTAATATATAACGTAAAATAAATATCTTTTATTTAAAATGTTCCCTGTACGGTTTCAATTTGGAAAATGGAAATTTGTAATGAAAAATGTTCTCAATTTACGATAATAAATAGACTGATATGTGGTTTATGGAAAAACTTCTATTGTTTAGACGATTGAAATCTGATATTATATACATGATTATAAAACATTCCAAACTTGTTGGGCTCCAAATTCGATAAAAATTCTTTAAAGATTATCAAAGATTATGTGTAAAATAAAAGATGAATGAAAACTCCGAAAGATGTTTAAATTTTTGTCTATTTGTTGTCAAAATATTGATAAAAAAGGATGTAAAAATGATGAAATAATAAAACTACAGGTAGTATTTCTTTACATTTATTTTGTACAACGGTTTTCATACTTATAATAATATCCAGTAATTAATTTTATAACACCTACTTGAAGTGCAATTATTGTCACAATTGAAGCACAATTGACTTGTTCAATAATTATTAAATTTTCTAATAAATTAATAACAATCAATATATCTTTGGAATGACAACGGGCCTTATTGCTAAATAATTTAGCTTTAATTTTAACTAGGTTTATATATATATATATATATATATATATATATATATATATATATATATATATATATATATATATATATATATAGATATATAGATATAGCGTCGTTGAATCTTTATAGCATTTACATATATTGCGATTCATATAAAATGGCTATAACGATCTGAAACCCAATAATAATGTTTATAAAATAAACAACTTTTCACAAGGAACATACAAAATGTGTTCGTTATACTAACTGCTAGATGTTATGGCCAATTTAGTACACATGATAGATGTAAGTGCCATACATTCACACCGATCACGCCGGGTTTTCAGGTAAGAATCATCATTATCATCATCATCATTTAATGAACATTTTCATTAAAACATTGAATTATTTTCATATTTCGATTATGTCCTTTGTTGAAAATTGTAAATTTTATGAACAATCGCAGGATTTCGGATTTTTTTGTCCGTTCTGTTATATCTTTGATACGTAAATGGAATGTTTCCTCGTCAAATGTTTGCAAAATAAATAAACTATTTAATATTTCGATTAATCAATTTATAAAATCAGATCATAAGAGAGTATCACGATCAAAAACATGTTGAGTGCGGTGTCGTTTAAGATTTGATATAAAACTAATGTGTTTGCAAGTATTTATTGTAATTTGAGTAGACTTGATTTATAATATTTAGAAAAAAAAAAATTATTGTCTTTTGCTGTAAAGTATTTAAGGAATCCCCCGTTCTTGCTATTGGACATGGGTGATGGAATATTTTAATGTCTTTTTACGGATCATACAATCATACAACTTTTGAGACGATATTTATGTTTACTTTCATAATGTTACATTTTAGATAAAAGAAACCACAGCAAAAAAATGGATAAAAATGCAAGTAAATATGTATAAAAAATAAAATTGTATAACAAGGTAATATATATAACTAAGGTTACGGAAGTACAAGGAATGTTAGAGTTTGATAATATTTTTTAGTTTTGTCTACTATTCTAAAAACAATCACATGGCTGACTTAAATCTATTTAAAAGCTATTGGTGGCATTTGATTATTGTATCTTATACCCATAGACATCGAGTTAAATAGATGCCGCAATAGTACCTAATTCATTTAAGTACCCTTTTTTTTAATATTACATAAATGATCGAAAAGTTTACTTGAGTTCCAGAGAAATGTTCACTTTCCAATTTATAAAAACAATTATAGATAGTATTTTCTGCCCTTATTAACCTAGAAAGGGATTTGGTATCAATAGTACTTGTGACATATATAATATATTCACTTGGTTTTCATCATACGCATGATTATCATTCAAGTTTAGTTTTCATATAGATTTGGGAAGGTTATGTTTCAACTGTAAAGCAGTTGTGTTTGTATGGCTGTGTTTCGGTTTGAAGGGTGGGATATGGAGTAAATTTACAGGGTACGGAGGAATAACACCTGAGTCCTCAGGAATGGCAACGCATGGGGGGTATCATGGGCGAAACAGTATACTCTGTTATGTCCATGGTACTGCTCATGTCTATAGGCGACGGTTACCACTTTCCATCAGGTGCGCCGTCAGCTTGTTTGCCATTCTAAGTTGTATATAAAAAATAAGGTACCTACTAGCGACATCTATTTAAAACCATATCTATAATATAACCGTTAATAGCATTTGATATCAAATACCTAACTACATCGAGTAGATACTGGCAGTGATTATTCTAGAATCAATTTTATACAGTCAGCAATAAAAATAACTATTGAGAACCTAATTTCATTAAGTACATTTAAAATTGACAAGTGTTATTTGTGATGTTGACTGTACTTAACAGTATCAATTATCTGGGTATAAATGACGTTACGTCTATTATTCAGATAAGCTCGATTAAACTGAAGTACTGCAGCTTACAGTCCCTTGTTGAAGTAAAACTCCTTTTCCTTGGGGAATTTCTTGCGGGCTTGTTCCTGGACATAAAAAAATACTTAGTATATACTATTGTTTATTAATTACCACGATTGCTTTTTTTTGTTTTAAATTTTATTAAAAAGCATTTTATTATTAAATCTGGACTATATTTAAAGCCTAATGACTATTAGGGGCTCACTATTGAATAAAAAAAGAATATAAGTACTTGTAAACTCTACGAAGTAATAGCAAAAGATAAAAATGAATTGATATTTTCTATATAGGCAAAAGTTTTATTTACACCTAGCTTAATCGATTATTAAAAAAAAATCGAATAGTGCAGTGTTAATTTTTATTATAATCACTTCCGAGACTATTAATATATTTTTTTTATTTTCTTACTTGAAAAATTCACTTTGATATAGGTACTATGACTAGGTACTATTACTATACTATTACGGTATAAATAATCCTTATAAAATAATTAAAGATGTGTCCCACAAAAAACACCGACTTCAATTGTGACAAAACCAATAATTTTGATTAAAAAAATTAAAATTTTGAACCGATTTTGATAAAATTTCTATGTGACCATTCTATAAGTAAAAAAAAAGATAATAAAGAATTTTCCAAATCGGTTTAGAACTGACGTTATAAACATTAGAAATAAATCAAATTGTGTCGATTGAAAAAGGTTACAATTACCTGCAAATCGGGCTCTAGGCTGTTAATGGCGATAGCGGCTCGCTGCTCGAACAGAGCACAACAGAGTGGCGTGGCGAACGTTACGCACAGCCCCACCAGGAACAGCTGGAACGGGATCACTGCCAGCGGGTAGTGGCAGAATAACCCGCGCCGCGTCGCGTAGTTCGTCACCATAGGCGTTAGAGCTGCCATCGAAATGGGTGTTTGGTAAATTACTTAGAATTACCAACTTCTTTTACCTACTCCCAATATCCCCCTTTTTTTTTCTCAATCCTTTTCTCCACACTGTAGGTGTCGGATACCATCAACAACTGCATTCTCAAGAGTTGACGTCAGACAGGCGGCCGGTCGATAAACCAAAAGCCAAAACCTTGTGTAGTATGAATAAATACATTACGCTGACCTCAAGTAATTAAGACAAGGGGAAGAAAGAGAAGGACTTACAATAGCAGACAAGACAAGACAAGACACCTGATGGAAAGTGGTAACAGTCCCCATAGACGCGAAAGAATATGGTCATCACAGTGTACACCTTCAGAGGGTTTATCTTTTTGATGAATTACCCATGCCCGTGCACGCGCCCTCGAAGGTCACAACTATCATTGTATCTCCTCCTCTACCCATCACTTAATTTTTATAATTTTTTTTTGAAACCAAGTAAACAAATATTAAATATCAAATATGAGAATTTTGACAGGACAGCGTCTGTCTAATTATTTAGTACTTATTTAATAAAAAAACAGTAATCAACAGGTAGATCATGATGATATTATTATGTTTTTGTCTTAATTACCGCTGGCAAAGAAGCCGAATGCAGTTAGTCCTAGTTTTTGTCCTAGTGTTAGTCCTAGGATTTGTTATCCTTTCACCAAAAAAACTACTGAACGAACTAACTTAGAATAATTCATATATTTTTTTTATAACACAGGGGCAAAGAAGCATACAGCTCATCTGTAGGGTGGGGGGGGGGGAGGGATTGTTAGTAATGGAGAGTGAGAATCCCATTGCTACCAATATACCCAACCAGGTCGACCCCGTCGCGGTTCTCCCTGGAAACTATCATGATATATTCCTGATGAATTCATTCATGATGGGCTAACTGGCCTGTTTTCATTCTCATCTATCACCCTTCACTGGTGCCCCGCCAGCGTATCTCGTTAGCGCAGGCAGGGTTACCATACCATTTTCACCCATCAAAAAAAAAGCTTATCTGAAGGTGATTACCGTCGCCCATGAGCACCTGCAACACCGGAGGCATCGCCCTTGTGCTGCCGGCTTTTAGAAAGGAATATGCTCTTTTCTTGAAGGTTATGATGTCGTATCGATTCGGAAGTATTGCTGCTGGAAGTTAATTCTAAAGCGTGGTTGTATGTGGAAGTGCCTTGAAAAACACTGGCAAAGCCGCGGGAAACAGTTAGTAATATATAATTAAACGATAGGTATATGAACAGATACATACTCATGCCGGGCACTGCCATCAACACTCTAGAGACGCAGACGAGGCCAATGCCCATTGCGGCCGCCCGTTTAGACTCGCCCAATCTCTGACCGTTCGTGTCGAATACAGGCGTGCCGTTCATGAGCTCACTGTTGAAATACAAACATATATTATAACGAATATCTCTGCACATCCTAAAGGTTGACTGGTAGAGAATGTCTATAGTATTAAGTCCGTCTTTTGTATCACATTTTATTGATTAATAAAGTTTAAATAAATATTATTGAAAATATTTTTATGTATTAAACTTAAATAAATTTATGTATTACGTAGGTCGTAATCAAACATACGGTCTGCCTGATGGTAAGCTATTAGCTTAGCCTAATGAATGCCTATAACACTAGGCTCTCTAGACAAGTGGAAATAGAATTTATTGATGGAATCGACACCGCTAGCGAGTCCGTGAGATAGCAACGTAGATATTTAATTCCAACTTAGATTAGCTTCGATAATGATTCCATCGATAGATTCGCTTGTTACTTGTCTAGGGGGGCAGGGTTGTTGCTTACGCGTTTTTGACCCTGAAGACACCTTTTAACGCTCCACTAAAAGAAATCTATAAGATATTGTATTAAGACCAAATTAACGTGACATCTTAATTAATTTCGAACCGATTTTATTGCATTCAAATACTGAAATGTAAGAGTGTTTGTTTACTCTTATAGTGATCCCATACTAGACAAATTATTAAAAATTATATTAGAACCAATTGGTTTTTTAGTGGAACAAAATTTTAATTTAAGTACCTATTTATTTTATTTATTTAATAAGGTTCACCTACAACCTTTACATTTTAATAACAACATGCGAACACCACATGCACTATTATAATATTTAATAATTATTAATAATGATACAATTATATTATAAATATGTGAACAATAAATTTAATAAGTTATATCTGCTGTTAATGGATCCAAAATTGATGTCAAGTCAGATCGCTGTGGTGTTCTGAATCCTACATTTTGTAGTCAATAAATTATTAAGTAGGTACATTATTCAGATACGTATGCCTGTACTCTTAATACCAATGGTCTATGTTTACATTTGTCATATTTCTACTTTTTTCTCATGCACTATACATATATACACTTACTTGCTTCTCATCATGGGTATATTGATGAAATTAGCGCCACAGACTGCTGCGAATGGCACCAGTCTAGCATATATGGGTTTCATGTTCTGTAAAGAAAGAAAGAAAAAAATATTTTAAATAAAGTAAATTTAAAAAAGTAAGAACATATATCGTGTAAAACATATACGCATTAAAGGGAAGGGATTGTTAGTAATGGGGAAGTTAGTCCCCATTGCTATCAATATACCCTATAACCTCGCCCTCCACGCGGTTCACCCTGGAAACTTTCGTGACTAATTTACCGTGGAATTCGTCACGATGGACTAACTGACCTGCCTTTTCATCCTTACCAATCATCCCTCACTGGTGCCCCGATAGTGCAAGCAGGGTTACCATTTTATTATCGTCCATTAAAAAAAAAAAAACATATACGCATTGATCTTTATATACCTATCTATTTGTATTATGACACCGTCTGTCCCCGCTCCTCTGTATCACTCTTCCGTACACCACTGTTTCGTGATCTTATATGAAATCAAATGAATCTACTTATTTAGAGGATTATAATGAAATAGGTACCCTGCTCGAGCTAATTATATACGCTGGCGGGGCACCAGTAAAGGATGATAGGTGAGGACGAAAAGAGGTCAGTTAGCCTCTCGTAATGAATACACCTGGATTTCAGCAAAATAGTTTCCAGGGGAGACCGCGTGGAGGTTGTATATTACTAGCAATGGGACTGGTAGTGTGCATTACTAACAATTCCTTACCCCCAATGAATCTACTAACGAAACGTATATACATATTCATATCATACGATTTTTTAATTTAGTTCCTGTTGTGTTGAAACTTTACTATGTATATATTTGGGGGAAAGGGATTGTTAGTAATGGGGTCTAACAACCTCAATGTTAACATTACACTTTATCAGGTCGACTTTCACGCGGTTTCCTCTGGAAACCATCGTGGTTACTTCTAGGGGAATTCGTCACGATAGGCTAATTGACTTGCTTTCATCCTCATCTATCATACCTCACTGGTGCCACGCCAGCATATACCGACAGCGCAGGTGGAGTTACCATTTCATTATCACCTATTGTATATTGTGACGGGGACGGCATAGTGTACCTACGTGGGCAGTGGCTGTGACGTCCAACTCTTATTTGTCATCTTGTTTATGACATAGTCGCTAAGTGCACCTGCATGCTTCATTATTACATATTCAAACAGTAGCGTTTGAACAAAATATACTTATTGCAATCAATTATCACTAATACTTATGTCGTCAATATAACTGCAAATAAATATCTGTCCACGTTTTTCTCTATATAATACACCAATGAACGAAAACCGAATGTTTCATAGTTTTTCGCTCCACAAGGCTTTAACTGTGACAAAATTAATACGAGACTAACATGGAAGTAAATCTTAAAGAAGTAAATACTGTAAAAATCTCTCTGTTCTGTTATGCATACATTTCTCCGTTTATTATTTAACGATTGTGTCAAACAAAGAAGTCGACTTCAATTATGACAAAATCAGTTATTTTGATTTAAAAACTAAATTACTGAACCGATTTTGATAAAATATCTATGGGACCATTCTGTAAAAGTGTATCCTTTCAGATAAAAAAATTCAAATCAGCTTAGAACTGATGGAGTTATGAGATAACAAATATAAAAAAATACAACCGAACTGAAAACTTCCTTCTTAGTGAAGTCGGCTAAAAATATATTATTGGTCTACTATTATCACGTTGGATAGGCAGCTTGGTATAAGCTTTTATTTTGTTAGTTCATTCTTACTAGAATTACGAGGATTAAAAAGGAAATAGAAGGACTATAAAGGTGGAATCGAAACCATTAGCATCCTTCACTAAGGGAGTGTTCTGTTAGTGAAACTGAACAGTTTTACCAAAGATGCATCGGGGGAAAAAAGAATAGAAAAAATTAAATATTCCATCCTAATTTAGCAGGTGACCATAATTATTTAGTATTGAGAGAGGCTCAAGATTTTTTTGTCATTTTGTGACCAATGGTTTTCTGAGAAAATATTTAAAATCTCTATTAGAACATCCACTACGATTTTGACTTCACCTTGTATTTTATTTTGTGTTCTAATTTTAACTGTATAGCAATGTTCATCTCGCATTTATCTTCAATACTTATCAGATCATTCCTTACGTGACATATAGATAAACACAGACACACCTCTCACGGTGTAAGTGTTACGTCAAGACTATGCACATACTTAAGTAGCGAGATAAGAAAGAATATTATGTATCTTTTATAGTGATAATGTATTATTGTAATTTTCCCCGCGTTAGTCACTTATCACGAGTACATTGATCATATAATTATCGGAAGCTATAAAATTGTCAACATTTACAAGATTAGTTCTAAATATGCATCAATTTTAAAGATTAAAAGTTTACACAAGGTCACATAATGTTTGACTTTTGAAATAAGAATAGCCATGGTTTAGTGTCCTGATTTACAACAAAATATGATTTCAATGTATGTGTATATATGTACAAATAACTAAATAAATGTACAAATATTTTATTTATCTTCCAGTCATAATAAAATGATAGGATTAACTAAAAATCTAAGTTTTTTAAAATTAATGAAATATTTAAAAAAATCATTAATCTATGTTGTAAAATAATGTATTGTGGATGTATTTGGAGAATTTCTGCGACCCCATTACATACAATACCGCCTTCAAACCAACGCTTACTACAATAATTTACATGTATACAATACTAGCATCCCATCTCAGTCACGTGGACGGAGTTAGGGTATATGTTTACTGACCGGGTCAAAAAGTAGCATATCCTCCTTCTCCGTCCCATATCGTACGTGTATACTAAATTTCATAGTGACTGGTTAAGTTAATGACTTAACATTAAAAAGTAATAAACAAACAAACTCACTTTCATATTTATAATATTAGTAGGGATAAGACATGAAGTTATGACGGTATCATTTTTATTTTTTGCCTGTTTCAGAGTTTTCACTCATCAAAAAAAAATCAATTGGTGATATATTCTTTAATAACTACTACGTAGCAATAGTTGAGAGGACTTCTTTTTTTTATATATTTACCTTAACTTTATTGTTGAGGTACAAAGCAGTGCCTAGGGCACCACCGCAGGCGGCGCAATACGACGCTAACAGCTGCCTGTAAGCAAACGGTTTACGTAAATAATAGGTAAGCTGGTTAATCAAATATGGAAAGACAGTGATCAATTTACTTGGATATTAAATCCGAGAAGGAAAAAAAATTATGTATATCTCAAAATACGTGATTAGTTGTAGTCTTTGAGACCAGTAAGTTTGAACAATAGTCTATATCATAGTTTTTTTTTCTGATGGGTGAAAAAGTGTATGATACCCCGCCTGCGCTAACAGGATACGCTAGCGGAGCACCAGTGAAGGGTGATAGATGAGAATAAAACAGGCCAGTTAGCTCATTATGATGAATTCATCAGGAATTAATCATGATAGTTTCCAGGGGGAAGCGCGAGGAGGTCGACCAAGTTGGGTATATTACTAGCAATGGGATTCTCAGTCTCCATTACTAACAATCCCTTTCCCCTCTATATCATAGTACCCCTATACCACCCACGCTTCTGTTGTGAAGCAGCTGTATCTATATTGCTATGTTTCGGTTTGAATAATGGAATCATCATCATCGTATCAGCCCTTAACCATCCACTGCTATACATAAGCCTCCTTGGGAGGTTTTACCAATAGTTGCAGTAGTTGGATGATGGAATATTATAGTCAAATTATAATAGGATAGGTATGGAAGCATAACACCACAGTTTGGGGGGGGGGGAAGGGATTTTTAATAATGGTGACTAGCAACTCTATAATTAGCAATATACTCTATTAGATTGACTTCCTCTAGGAAACTGACTGATTCATTGTTGAATTCGTTACAATGGGCTAACTGACCTACTTCATCTTCACTTATCATCCCTCACTGGTGCCCCGCCAGTGTATATCAATGTTACCGGTGTAACATTAAAAAAACACAGTTCTCAGAAATGGCAATGCAGTACCATGGGCTTAACAGTGAAATTCGTGATGTCCCTGGTGCTCCTTATAGGCGATAGTTATTAATTTTCATCGGGTGGGCTGTTAGCTTTTTTTTCCAATTTCAGTATCATAAAACATACATCCATTTTTCTTTTACATTGCTAATGTATGAGTTTTCAACGCTGACTAATGACACATTGGAAATTTTCTATGAAATGATGTTTCAAACAATAGGCACACTTTCTGTTCATGAGGTTTGCCCTAAATGATGATTAAATATTTACGATTTCGATAGTGGAGCGTCCCCGGATCTGTTCGTGTAGTTCACAACCGCGTTGAATGTTTGATTGACCCATTGCCAGAAGACAGTAGCTGCTGTTGTCTTGTAGAATGTAATCATACCTGAAAATTGAATTAAAATATAATTTACAATTTAATTGCTTGATTAAGGAGGCGAAGTAACGGTATATCTTAGAATACTGTCAGCTACTAAAGATCGTATACAATTTGTTGGTTATACAAGGGATGGTTAGTTCTTGAGTGGATATTCCTCGTTAGGTGCAGCGATGACCTTTTTTGTTTTTTGTTATAGGTGAAAATGGAATTGTAACCCCGCCGATATCGTATCGTATATTGGTATACGCTGGCAGGGAACCAGTGCCAGATGATAGGTGCATCGTGACGAATTCCATAAGAATTAACCAGGATTGTTTCTAGAGTGAACCACGTGATGATCGATCTTATCAGGTATATTGCTAGGAATAGAGTTGTTATATCCTATTATTAACAATACCTTTCCATCTTAATAATTGTAAAGAGTTAATGGATGTAGTAGGTGGCATTGGACCTTTCCTTGTTACCACAAGGTAATATCACAAATAAACATAGGACTCCCGCAAAGAAGGTAGTATATGAGATAAAGAAGAAAACAATGATAGTATATACACCTTACTATATATATATATATATATATATATATATATATATATATATATATATATATATATATATATATATATATATATATATATATATATATATATATGTATTTAATTTATAAAACTTACATCCGGTAATGATGGTATTCATAGGCGCCTGCGCCGACATCCTTCCGATGGCAAACATTTTCTCTCCTGTGTCGGGATGGAAAGCACTGTCGTATAAGTACTTCGTTCGCCATAGCTTCTCTTCGTCATACCCTGGTGGCATTTTACGTGTTTTCCTAGTATAAATAATAACAAGTTAATCTGATGTCAAAGTTCATATAAAAATTAAAATCTATAAATCTATTTTAACTATTACACTGTTTTGTAACTTTCTTTCAAACTGGAAATTTAACTAAAAAGAAAAAGACAAAACAGTTAAATAGCTAAAATAAGGTTTTTGAGAGAGATTAAATAAGGTTTTTGACGTTTTTATAAATAAAGTGGTACGATAGAGCGTGTTATGATACACTTGGAATAACAATTGACATTGTTCACTTTTTATTCCACTGAATTATGCTACAATACAAAAAATTCTTGCCAAGAAATTGATGCTTTGTTATGGCAGAAGAGACTTTGACATAAGGCAAAATTGGTATCTCTCCAATTTCGAATGCCTCTATATATATAACAGAATGGTTATATTAAACCATAAAACCATAATCTAGAGAAACTATTCGTAAAACGTGAATCTTTCCCAGGGAACATAGTCGTAGGTGCACTATTTTCTATACAAATCACTACTGAGCGAGTCACATGATTGCATTTAGTATAAAAAAATTAAAAAAAAAAAAATTCATACTCATTGCTCCGTCCTGTATAAATTCTATTGTCTTCACTCAAAACCTTCAATATGAAGATTTAAAAAAATTCATTCAGTACAGATACTCTCGATATTATTCTATCTGAATTCCATTTTTTCTCAAATATTGTATTATATTAAAAAAAACTCCAGTCCAGCTGTTATGAAGTTAAGCGCTTATACGAACATGTAGCATTTTTTTTTATTTTAGCACCTAGTTAAATTACCGCTAATATTTAAAATAATATTTAAAGTCAATTATAATAGGTAATACCCATTTTGAATAGATTATTTACAATATATTGAAGTCGATAAAAAGTAAAGCTAACAGTATGGTGCAATAATAGGTATTGTGATTCACGTGTGACTCCTTTACGTAAGCAATCAAGATATGGGTTATATACAGGTGAATTTAAGTCATTACTATCTTTTTATTTCTATTTATTATATCATTAAGCTCGCCACTTGTACAAAGTTTTATTGACCAATAAATATAATAATATATTAATTAACAAATGGATATGCTGTGTTAATTTTTCATTGTTTTGCTATCCATGTTTCTTTGGGATAATAATCAGCTTCATGCGATGGTCACGGTACCTATAAATTTCATAATGGCATGGGTCTAAATTTTTAGTTCTAATTATATAAAATTTAAATTGATATTATTTTTATAGAAATAACAAATATTACGTTACAGTTGGTAGCTATTTTTGAAATTGTTATTATAAAATGATTACTATTGAACGTTTCTTGATTACTACATATGTTCGATTAAATAAATGACGACATCTTTCTCATCTTATTACATAGTGGTGCGTACAATTAGATTATTTCATCATCACATTGTCGCATGAACGATTCCTTATTTTGTTTATGAAATAACAGCGATAGGGTAATAATATGTAGATAAAATATATTGTTTACAACATATAATACAATAGTTCTTTCATCTCATATGTATTTAGATTGAATTATTATTAAATTCGTAAGTAGATATAAAAGGCCGATGGGTCGTATGCTTATTTGCTACCAGTATTCCTATATACATATAAGTATAAAAAATATAACAACTACGGTATCTTTCGGAATGCTAATGATTTAATTATTTTGCCATTATAGGCAAAACGAATATTGACGTTCTTGGCGGTGCAGCGGTTTAACTAACCGCCTCACATTTTGATAGTTGCGAATTCGATTATCGCAAGATATAAACATTTGTATAGTCCATACCAATTAAAGTACTCTGGTCAAACGGAAATATAAACAAATGAATACCTAGTTTCTTGTGTTCAATAGTAATACAAATTATAAAGCGACCTGACTGAACATTTCGATCTATTACTAATTTCATTTAGAGAGTGTCGTTGTAATAATTTCTCCAAAACTAGATTACTTTTCGTAAAATTTTAATTAAACAGCCTATATTCATGAGTACATTTGTTAGTATTGGTTTGGGTGTCTTCTATATAGGTGCAATATATGTTTACACGAAAAATAATATATTTTTGTATTAACACATACAGGTGTGATGCATGCTTGTTGGCCGTCTGTATTATAACTAGGACTAGTTGTTTAATGTACCCAGGTATTATTACTGTTTATTCTAAAGAACGTCATTATAAAAAACGACTAAGTCAACTCGAGGTAAATTTATTTTGTCGCTCACACAATTTGCCGATTGGCGCCGCCTACAATGGGGCTGCATTCTTGTGACTTACTTGACTACTTACCTAAACTCTGTAACTATCTTCTTAGCCTCATCCAATTCCTTGTCCGAGGCTAGGATATTCAACGGGTTCGTCAACTGCAGGAAGTGCTTGGCACGGCCCGTGTACGTAGCCTGGTCATAATGAGGCTTGTCTAAGTCGATCGACATTGCGGAGTTGCTGTAAATTAATTGATTTATCAATACTTAACCATTATTACATACAATTATTTGCAAAGAGCAACTGTTCCATTCAAGGATAAAGTCGTGAGCACAGTGTTATACAAGCAGTCGTGCTTATTCGCGCGAATAAGTTATCTCTTATCTTCACTTGTCCTCATGAGAATTTTGTGAAATAATCCTTTCTACAATTAATGCCTAGCTACAGTATTGAGAGGAGAAGATTGTTAATAATCAGAATTAGTAGCCCCATTGTCAGCAATATACTCTTTCAGGATAACCATCACGTGATCTTCCCTAGAAACCATCGTTGTTAATTTCTGGTAAATTTGTCATAATGAATCAACTGATCTGACTTTATTCTCACCTATCATCAACCACTGAAACTCAGCTAGCGTAAACCAATTGTAATCTATCGGTTTATGCCGAGTCTGTCAATCAGTGTAGACTTTTATTGTAATATGACCCGACAACGTTATTCTCTCCCTACTGCAACCTATAGGATCAATTTATTCTTATCGGTGTAAAGATTATTCTATCTCTCTAGTTGGGGCAATACACATTTGAGAAAAACATAAAATAAGTAGAAATTAAGATTACTATGTACGAATTCGTGTCTCTGCTTTTAAGTAGCTTGCATGGCTATTTTAGTTACGAGAGTAGCTTACAGGAAGAGTAACGTTCGAAGACAGTACCATGGGCATCACAGTGTATTCTATGATGTTCATATATTTCTAGGCGACGGTCACTATTTTCCTTCAGGTGGATTTTAAGTTTGTTTGCTATTCCATGTTCCAAAAACAATTTAAAATAAAATTTAATTTAAGTAAGTAATTTTAGAATAAAATGTACAATGCAAACATTTGTAACTGTCCCTTTAGGTAGTTTAATTTGTGAGCTTTATTGTCATATAAGTACTTAAGAAGCAATATATTACAGTAGTAACTGTTTTTACTCCTTTCTTTTTATAAGGACTTTATTATACCACGCAGCTGGTTTACAGTGACAATCAAATTGTTTGTGTTTTAATAAGATAATGATGGCATCTATATATCGGCCATGAACGTCGTTATCTCAGTCTACTAAAATATCGTATTAAATATACTTTATATTTTGTAATGTAAACTGAGATTTTTTAAGGATTCGTTGTGAATTGGATAATTACAAAACAGGTGTCACGTACAATTCCACGAAATACGGCAACTACATATGTAAAACCTATAATTTATTCTATATTATTACATATTATAAATGCTAATATTTGTAAGGATGTTTATATGAAAAACTGTGCGAAAGATATAAAATGAACATATATTACTATATTTAGAAAATGTGAATTTTGTTCAGAGATTCCTATATTACATAAACTAGCGATTCGACCCGGCTTCGAACGTGTAGACAGAATTTTCGAAAATCAATACATATAATATAAAGAATTTCTTGTTTGTTACTTTTTTACGCAATAACTGTTGCATTAATTTACCAAAAACTTGGTACGCGCTTTTGTTATATCTTAACTGAGAACATTGGATACTTTATGTACTAATCCATACGGGAAAAGCCGCAGAATACAGTTAGTGTTGTCTAAACTTGGATATTTAAGATATAGGTAAATAAATAAGTATGTATGTAGTGTCTATTCATTACCATCCCATCTATTTTTCCAAAATGTGTATAATCTCTAATATATAATTAAATTCCATTTTAAAAGTAACTAATTAACCAAAACTTCTGAAATTACGGATGCATATAAATTATAAACTTTGTCATAAGACGCAATATTTTTAAATAAATAATTATACTTAAGTCTACTTCAGTTCGAAGCTTTTTGTCTATGATGTCCCTTTAGATTGAAATTATTAGTGCCTTTTCTTTTGTCAGTAAAAGCATATAAAAGAAAAAATAGATACAGTGTAGGTTGGAAAACCATAATAATTTTTTAGCTTTCTATATTAACTTATTAAAAATATTCAGTTAGAGGATGATGAGATTGAGGCTTGACGGATTGACTTTATATCAACAGGTCTATATAATTAATTTGCTTCGGCCAAGAATTTATTTTTTTTAATCACTGTATCTATTCATTATCAATACTTATTTAAATGTGTTATGAAATGCCTGTTTATAAAGTGAAATTAAGTAACTATTTATAATCGCCGTGCTACCCTGCTTACCGCTCCCGGTTGCCGTATGCCCATCGCCAGCACCTATTATTGACTTCGGGTTGCTGGAGATACGCTTATGCGGCGGTATTACTAGCCTACTGAGCGCTGTTTACATTCCACCAAATCAGCATGTAGATATATACTCAAATACACAGAATACATTGAACATATAGTATATGAACGTAACATCCAAACATACTGCATAGTTGGTGATTACAATTCATCTACACTTGACTGGCATTCTAATGGACTACATCTACAACCAGTTCTTACAAGTAGATCTACTTTAATAGACAAAAAACTGGCATCCTTTAGTACTGAAATGAACTGTATTCAGTTGAACACTGTAAGAAATAAAAATAACAAATTATTAGACCTTGTTTTAACTAATATAGTAGACTGTAAATTGTTGCCTGCGCCAGTCTCTCTTATTCCAGTAGACGAATACCATCCACCTTTTTACTTTCTTGTCCCTGTCAACTTTAATTTAAAGTGTATACCTTCTAAAATTAAAACTTATTATTTCTTTAAAGGCGCTAATTATTCATTAATAAATGAAGAATTGTCTAAAGTAGATTGGGATGATTTATTTAAAGATAAATCGGCTGAATCTGCCGTTAATAGTTTTTATGAAGTTATTTATGGGTTAATAAAAAAACATGTTCCAGTTAAATTCACAAAATCGTCTCGCTTTCCGCCTTGGTTTACATCTTCTTTAATACATATTTTCAAAAATAAAAATCAGGCGTGGATTAGATGGAAGAAGTATGGAAATAGGTCAGACTATGAAATTTTTTCTTTATATAGAGAACGTTTTAAAAAGGAATCACAAAAATGTCATAGAGAGTATATTTGTAGGGTAGAAAGTAGTATTAAGGATAATATAAAATTTTTTTGGTCATTTGTTTCTAATCATAAAAATATTGATGACATTCCTAACTCGGTTTACTATAAAAATAAAGTAACTGATGAGCCACATGAAGTATGTAGCTTATTTTCAGATTTTTTTCATTCCGTCTTTGAACCTTCATCTGTTACAGAAGATTTTAATATGGACAATGTTAATTTCGAATCTAATTATAGTAATGATACATTAATACACAATATAACATTTACATATGGACAGATTTCCAAAGAACTTAAATTGCTTGATGCATCGAAGGGTACTTTTCTGATAATATTCCAGCAATTTTTTTAAAATTTACTGCTATTATATGCAAGCCCTTACATTATCTATTTAATAAATGTCTACACGAAGGTGTATGCCCAACTATTTGGAAGTCAGCACGTGTAGTGCCAATTCATATTTTTGTAAAAGAAATATTGAAAATTATCGCCCAATTTCAATCTTGCCGGCTCTATCAAAACTTCTTGAGAGACTAGTTCATAATATTATCTATCCGATCATACATAATAATATTATTCCCCAGCAACATGGTTTTGTAGAACGTCGTTCTACAAGTACAAACTTACTATTATATACGAGTTATCTATTTGACACACTAGACAAAAACAAACAGACAGACAGTGTATATACAGATTTCCGGAAAGCTTTTGATACAATAGATCATAAACGTCTTTTAGAAAAAATTGCGTATAACGGTATACGAGGCAATCTTTGGCGATGGTTTAAATCATATATCACAAACAGAACCCAGAAAGTTATTATTAATGGTTACGAATCTAATAATGTATCTATAAGTTCAGGAGTGCCGCAAGGATCAATTCTAGGGCCCCTACTATTTATTATATTTATAAATGATATTTACACATGTTTTAATTTTTGTAAAATTTTATTATATGCAGACGATCTTAAAATTTATCATATAATCGACACTCCTAACGATCATATACTTTTTCAAGAAGATTTAAACCGTTTCACTGCATACTGTAAAATTAATAAATTAACTCTCAGTTTGCATAAATGCAAAACTATAACCTTCACAAGGAAACGAAATATTAGTAATTTTTCATATACATTATGCAATTGTGTCCTTGATAATGTACAAACAATTAAAGATTTAGGTCTTACATTGGATACTAGACTTGTGCTTGATACACATATTGATAATATTGTTGCTAAGGCATACAGAATGTATGGTTTTGTAATGAGATGTACGAATTTTAAGAAACCCACTACTTATTTATATTTATATAAAAACCTTATTCGATCTCAATTGGAATATGCTGTAACTATATGGAATCCTATTTATAAGTTTTACTGTGATAAAATTGAAATGGTACAGAAAAATTTTTTGCGACGTTTACAATATAAATTTTCTCATAACCGTCGTTCATATGACCAATTATTGTATAAATATAATTTGCAAGACTTAAAATCAAGGCGCATACAACTAGAGATTATGATTCTGTATGATATTATTCAGGGTAAATATGACTGTATTTCATTAACAAATCAGATAAATTATAAAGTTCCAGTGCGTGCACAAATGAGAAATTCACGAAGACAAGAATTGTTTGCAATTAACAGATACCGTACCAATTCCGGTATTCGTTCACCCATAAATAGAATTTTGAAATTATATAATGACAAATTTTATAATATTGATATATTTGCTACTAAACCATTAACTTTCAAAAAAATGGTAGCTAAACAATTAGTAACCTCCTTCTCTCAGGAATTTAGTAATGCGTGCACATAATTAATAAATTATAAAATACATGTGTATAGTTAAATAACTTTTTTTTTGTTGGTTGTTTTGCATAATTTGTACCGGTAATGTAGTTGTGTCAATGTTATTTATAATTTAACTTAATTAATAGATATAATGGTCAGCTCCACTTCTCAGCAATATTTGCATGTTTATATACTTTCTTTCTTTATATAGCAATCTGTAGTTAACGTTGTTGGTAGTACTATTAATCACATTTAAATGTAATCTTATTATAATTATATATTGTATTACTGTTTGTTAACTTTAATAAAATAAAAAAAAAAAAAAAAATTATTTAAATATGTAACAGTAGTACGGAACGAATTCACTATTTACACGGTCAATAACATTGACTTTGATTAATTGAATAATATAATTAGTTTACACGTTTACGTTTGTTAGAAATGGGAAGTACGATACAATCAAATGTAAATAGAATAGTAAATAGAGAGTTTAATACCGTGTACACACAACCACTTGGTGGCAAATATTATGTATGTATTCTCCATTAATTAATCTTGTAAGGCCCACCTGATGGAAAGTCGTGTAATCATCATTTATAGACATGAATACTACCCTATGGTGATATTATATAATAATAAATGATAGCGATTCATTTGCAAGAAATCACTCTGTCAGGTCGGAAGTTTAGGATTGTTAATAATGAAGATAAGCAGCCCCATTGTCACTATCAGCGCGACCTTCACTTCAGAAATTATCGCGTGTTGACCTTTCTTGCTTTCCCTTCAGCATTTACTTGTATGTATATATATTGCCTGATATTATTTTTTCATATGTTGTATTTTTAAGCAACTGAAAAAAGGAAGCTCTTATTCTCCAATTCTTTTGTGTCTTTAGTATGTATTTATACAGACCGATCGTTTGGCAATCAATAATTAACTTAAGGATTCACATAGTACTTTAAAGATATAAATATGTATATTCACATATTTATATCTTTAAAGTTTCATGTTATATTCATGTTATGAATATAGATTATATTCATTTAAATGTACCAACTTATTTTAATATTTAAAAATCTCATGTCACTATGTTCGTCCAAGTTAATTTTTGAAACAGCTTAAGCGACTTTTATAAAATTTAATTGTTTGTTTAATTAAAAGAGACAATATTTTTTATCACAACAACAAAAAATGGATTCGTTACGCGGTGGCGGAAGAAAAAACAGCATTTGGCGAATCGGCTGACATTTATACGTATTTTTGTTATTTAAAAAAAATATATCAAAATTTATTAAATATACGGCATCTAAATGCAGTTTTTTACTAAAAGTATCGAGTCAGATTAGCCACGGAAAACACAAAAGGAATCCAAACGGCGCCGAGACTTTTCTATACCATGTTTAGTATTGTTTGAAAATATGATATTTTCCTAATTATTCATGTTTAATTTAAATGCAAAGTGTAATAAAAATACGTGTAGTAAACGAATTATATAATAAGGGATGTACCTATATATTTTTTTCTTTCACTAGTATTTTCTGAGATATTATCATTCATAATTATTATTGGACACAAATATAATAAAAACTGCAATTTTAATAATGTGATCATTTAAGGGATGCTTTGTTTATTAATATATTTATGAATATTTTTTTTTCTTTAATTATACCTTAATAGCTCAATAGCTATTAGTACTCATATGTTTTTATTGGACACAAACCTAATAAAAATTAAAAAATACTTCTTAATTAATGTCATGAATTAGTTTTATTTTTCTTTTTACCATATGTATTACATTTCGAGCTGTATCATTATCAATAACTTTATTTCCCTACGTCTACATATGGCCAATCTCTCAGAGAAAATTCAATCATATCTGTTGAATATTTCACCGTGAAATTGTAGCAGACAACAGACTCACTTTCGCAATAATAAATTATTTCATGTAATGATAAGTACACATATGAGCATCTACCTATTTCATCAGCATTTATAATATGTATATTATATTAAATACTCATATTATAATTAACAAATAGTATTGTTTGACCCATGATATTTGTTTATCAACGCCTTCACAATGACAATGATTATTTCGTTAATAAATAACTAACGCTTGTTCAATCAATAATAGTAACAAAAAATATTCCCTTTTTAAATATTTTAAACGAAATCATAACTTATTCAAATGATTCCTAATATTTTTTTTATAATTAATAATAGCAGATTTTTAATTTTAAATTAATTGTTAAATTAAAATATTTATAAATTTGGGCAAAAATGTGTAATATTGGCTGACTATTAAACTTACCTTATTTAATATAAGTTGATATAACTGAATTTCTATATGTAATTAATTTGATTTAAAATATATTTTAGCTATAATATGTACGCTATGAACATTTTTAATGTAATATTAGTCTAATTCTGTGCTTATCGGTCTATTGAGTTCAAATGTTGCGCCGTGACAAAACCATGACGCGCGCAGCGCCATGCGTGATGTAAAAATTCAAATCGATTCGATAGGTAGTATTACCAACTTAAAGTAATTTTAACATAGATTAAGAATAAAAGATGTAAGTAAAGATGTAAACCGTACACACTATTTTCAATTTTTGTATTTTTCAAATCCTAATTCTGCATTTAAAAATTTTTAAAATTGATATTAATTATTTATCTTTGGTTTGGTTTACACATAGAAAATGTTTAACATTTTTCCTTTTAATAAATTATCTTTTAGTTTTGTAATATGCGGTAGGTCTAACAGTAGGCAGAGAAACTTGATATATGTGGGCTTGGGTCAAGCACATATATATTGCCATTTTTTGCTGTCAAACGTTTACGTAGACAATTAGATTTGGTACTGTTATAAATTAAGTGATACTTATTATAACGTATTTACGTAATCCAAGTCTCCGAGTATAACTGATTTGACATTTGATTTAATGAAATTATGTCAATGTCAAAGATTTCGGAATAGAAGTCAATGTCTGTATGTCAAATGTCAATTGCAAAACCATTTCTTGTTCCTTTTCTATCTTCTTACCCCGTTTAGTCCAAAAATAAAATAAAATTTTATTAAAATTTCTTTGGCTTCCAATCTTCAATAAAATGTCTCTTATTGGTAGAAATATTGTCCGCGCCCTAATGCAGGTATAGTATGACTTATTAACATTCTTATACAGTTTTATTCAACCGTTAGTTGAAAGGTTTCGTAACAAGTTTTTGATAACAAAACATATTTTATATGGAAATTACTCCATAGAAACGTTCTGAGAATCTCAAAATGAAACCTCTTGACACAACTTATATACTGAATTACTTTTATTTTATTAACCTATTGTCTCACGTGACCAATTTATTATTACGTATTATTAAAGAGGGAGGTACCTTATCTATTCAATTCTAGGGTTCTTAATTATAGTGTTGACGCTCTATCATGTTTGTTTTTTAATAATTAGTAGCCTTACTAATATTGTAAATGTGAAATTGAATGTTTGTTTGTCAATCTCGGCATTTTAACGGATTAACCATTGGCGTATTTAAGACTATTTTCCAGTGTGGGGGTAGGGCTGGTACTTAAAACATATATTTGTCTATGAGCTTAATCAATCAATGAAGTTTGGTATGCTCATACTACATGGAATGGAGAAGGAAATAGGCTGCTTTTTATCCCAGTGAATCAATATATCCAAGTTATGCAAATGAAGTTGGGTAAAAACTAGTGTATTTCTAAGAGAAATTGCTAGTAAAGGCTACTTTTTGGATTTATTAAATTCTCAATTAAAATTTCATTTATATAAATAAATAGTGAGGTGACTTTCTTTATATAAAATAAATACAGAAAAACAGATTATCCATTCATGTAATTTTACAGCTCTGTTTATCTTAATAGATAGAATCTAATAAACAAATATAATATTATAGAAATATAATTAACAAATAAGTCATATACTTCATATACTAAAACCTATTTCAAAACAACTATTTTTGAATTAATATATAATTAAAATAGACTTTATGAGAGAATTTTTTAAAAGTAATTTGCCTCAAATATTATTTTTTAGTGCTTTCCCATTTAGCTGTATTCTACTTTTCTAATAAAAAAAAAAATTTCTTAGTAACACCATAATAATAATTTATTGTATTTTTTTATTAATAATTATAAACAACCAAGAATGGTCATCACTTTATACTGTTGTATTCAGTATTTACTTCACACATTTTTTTTTTCAGGGTTCTCAACATGTATCCAAGGGAGTACATACTAGTGCGGTAAATGCTGACCAAAATGTATGTTTTGCTCCAGCTGGTATCAGCACCCTGGTGAGATTACTAACCTATCTATACTAATTACAAAAAAAAAAAGAAAACAAACAATTATAACAAATAGTATTGTTGAAAATATAACATAATAAATAAGCTAAGGTTTAAGTTAAGGTCATTATAAATAATTGTAAAATATAATTAAACAATTATGATTAGATATTTTGTAATTTGAAGATAAAAATCATATATCAATTATTATGGAGTGATTGAAAATTTTGAAACAGGAGGGATTTTAATATTATTTATGAAATATAATTTGCTAGGTATTGCAATGTTTGTTTTCTTTTTTATTTACCTATCCTACATAATTTGTTGAAAATAGTATTATGAAAGAAAATTCAAAATTTATTTTTAAATATTATTATTTTTATATATATACAATTGGCACATTTATATATTTAGAAGAATAGAATATTTTTTTTTATTTTGTGTTTGAGTTGTATAGCCAGTATAGTATTTTGAGGTTCAGTATGGGGATATTGCCAGGCCTATCAAACTATGTAAGCAATTCTTTTTAAAATAGCATGCACACAATCATTATGTTATGAGTTTTTACTATTTTTGCTTTATTTATGTTACTTGTAATACAGAACAGCCATCTCATATATAGAGATTGAAATTACATGAATATTGGCATATAGATATATTATAAAATAAGTATAGACAATACAAAATTAATTGTAATGTATTCTTTATTATATATTGGTTCTCTATGTCTACATTGTAAAAAGTTTGCTATGATATATTGAATAAAATTAATGAAAGACTAAATTAAGATTTGGATGGTTATTCTGAAAGCATGAGACATTACCCACCCACACTATATGAATAGAAAATATATAATTAACTTATCATACCATTTATGAATATTATATTCAATTGCTAAATATTTTACTGTAGCAAGGCATACAGTGTGCGGTGACAGTTATAAAATTAAGAATTATAAATAGTATGACTTCAGTTAGTCAGTCAAATTGAGCAGTATTTGTGTATTGTTTTAATAAATGATAATATTAAAATATTAAAGTTTTATCTTTTATAACATTGTTATATATTTTTTTATATAAATTCTTTATGGTATTGAATTATTTCAATTTAATTTTTTTATCATCAGTAAAATATAATTAATTATATAAATGGTATGATTGGAATAACTATTATAGAAAAAGCAAAGCATGACCCTTTATTCTCTTTATAATCATAACCTTTGTACCGTCCAAAATGTATTTAATTTATAACACTATAGTGTGTCTCAACCCAGTGAGTTTTTTTTTTTTTTAAGTTTAATATTTAATGTATGACATTTGGATTATAAAAATATAATAATGCAATAGATTTTTAAAAGTTATATATTTAAAATTATATAATCACTTGAAATATCATTCATTATAATTACTTATGTAATTAATTTATAGCTACATGTACAGGTTATAGGTGACTTTTTTGTCTGTGTGTTCTATACTGCTGGTAATATATTCTCTGTTTTTATATTTAATCATAATATAAGTTTTTCTGACATGAAGCAATTTTAATTTGGTTTGATTTCAAGTGTATATGACCATTGTAAACTGGATGATAGGGATAGTTAATTTATAGATAAAAATGAAATAAATTAAGGTGAACAATGTAATGTTACTTGAACTCGTCCATTAAAGATGAGATGACTTTTAAATTAGTTTTAATTTTAAGTAGTTCAGCAATAAATTTTTAATATTGCTCAAGTGTTATCTAGTTTTCAAAGGCTAACAATGGATGTCGTTTTAATAGACTTTTTATACCATAAACACAAAGTATATGCCAATGTTTCTTATGGATAATTATATGTGTGAAAATATAGGATCAATACAATTATTCTGATTATTGTGACTTTGTATTTATTCCATTATTTGGAAGTCAGTACGTTATATATTTAATTTAGACAATTGTTTTAATAAGTATTTTGTATAATGGTCTATATAGCAACCGAATGCGACCAAGGAAGGTCGTATTAAGTGCACTTTAATTCCTGGAGATGGCGTCGGACCGGAAATGGTTTACTCTGTGCAAGAAGTCTTCAAGGTACGTACTTTTAAATATAACATAAAATTATTGGATTTTTAACCATGTTGGAAATAATGTTTTTTTTTAACTGTAATCATCTTTCTTTCTGAAGAAGACCTAAGAATACTTCTTTTCATACCTGGAGAAGTGATTTATTATTATTATGAAATTTTATTATTATTTATTATTATTATGATTACTATGAAAGGTACAAAGTACTAACTCAAGAGGAAAAAAAAAACTCAAAGATCTAATAACAAGTCACCTGATAATAGTTAAAATAGGAATAAGACAATATCAGAAGGAGAGATTAGGGCTTCTAGTGACAAATACAGCTGGTTATTAAAACAATTTTGATGAATAATAATTACATCGACAGGCGGCAAACATCCCAGTGGATTTCGAATCGTTCTTTTTCTCCGAAGTGAACCCAACACTGAGCGCCCCTCTTGAAGATGTTGTCAACTCCATCGCACGCAACAAGATTTGTATCAAGGTGAGTACCTACTATTGGCTAACTTTGGGTACGGCACTCCAATGGGATGACATTTATGTCCCCCCGCCTGTCTTCCCATACAACTTGCTATTTTGGTGGACTGTTTATGCCCCCATCAAATGCCTTATCTTGCCACCTGCAACTCTCATGGATTTGTTCCATGGCTAAATAGTAGGTATGAGTAAATTTTCGACGCTGCCACTGACGTTGTCAATGTAAATTTGCTAACGCATTATAAGTGTTTGCGTTAATAATTCTATGTAACTAAATATTATTTTTAAAGATTATTTAATTTATTTCATTAATAATTACAATATTTATATTTTGTGTTCTAGTTGACATACCGTTATACCTACATGTTGTCATATTATCTATAGTTTTTTTTTATACAATTTTGAATGGCAAACGAGCTGACGGCTCACCTGAAGGAAAGTGATATCTATATGTATATATATATATATATATATATATATATATATATATATATATATATATATATATATATATATATATATATATATATATATATATATATGATATCACTCGTATATACACACGTACTTAATTATTACAATAAAATATACAATCACTAGTGTATAACTTATGCCCATGACTATAATCCCGAACGGGGTAATCAATGGCGTTTGTCGCATGCCATCATTATGCTGTAACAGTCGACATTATTATTGTAATTGCAGGGTATCTTAGCTACCCCGGATTTCTCGCACACCGGTGAATTGCAAACACTCAACATGAAATTGCGTAATGCACTCGACTTGTACGCGAACGTGGTACACGTGAAGTCGCTGCCTAATGTCAAGTGCCGCCATAACGACGTGGACTGCATCATCATCAGAGAGCAGACCGAAGGAGAGTACTCGGCTCTCGAACACGAGTCTGTGCCCGGTTAGTGCTTATTTAATATTTTTATCTATATTAATAAAGAGGAAAGATTTGATTGTTTATAATGGGTAAACTCAAAAATTACTTTTTTTCTAGAGTACCTATGTCTTCCCTTACACTAGTGTATTGCGCCAAGTTTCCCTAGTAAACTTTAACTTATCTTAGGAGCATTGGTGATATGTTCTTTTCTTACTCTGTCTTCATACAGACTATTTATAATCACTAATGAAGGGTTGACAAGAAGAACCTATTATAAATGTCCCTATTTTTACATCTCTTGCGTTCATAAAATAATCCACTTGTAAAAATATTTAAGATGTAAATGACAGTTGTCCGTCTAATCCTGCAAAGAACATGGAGTGAAGATAAATTGGTTATGCAAAGAATTTTAATTTATGACAGTATAAGGATTTTTAATTAATAGATTTTAAATCTCTTTTTCCAGGTGTCGTGGAATGCTTGAAGATTATCACAGCGGCTAAATCTGAGCGTATCGCCAAATTCGCGTTCGACTACGCTGTGAAGATGGGCCGCAAGAAGGTCACGGCTGTACACAAGGCAAACATTATGAAGCTTGGTGACGGACTGTTTTTGCGCAGCTGCGAAGAGGTATTTTAGTTGCTTACTTTTATAGTAATTTTTGGTTACCAGTTGGTAGTCGAAATTTTTAACAATTACCATGAACTTAATTTGGGTAATGCTAACTGCTGGTATTTGCTCAATACTTTTTTAATATCATCTATTTAATAAACCTAAAGATTACTGACATAATAACACAGCCTAAGGCGGTTAGTTCATTAACATAAAATCTTGCATGGTTACTAAAAAGTGATGTATGAAAATTCCTACCTTATAAGGGTTAAACAGAACATGAAAATGTCCCAAGATAATAAGTAACTTACTGGGCATATAGCTGGTCCTCCATAAAGTTTTTATTATAAATATGATTATTTATTTATTCTTTATTACATCACTTAAAGAATAATACAAAGATAAATGTATATTACACTTATGAAGTACAAAAGGCGGTCTTATCGCTAAAGCAATTTCTTTCAAACAACCTTTGGGTAGAGGAGGAAGAAAAGACGGTAGCTATTAGACGCAAAAAGTGTAACTAATAAAAAAAGAAAAACACTATTATATATATAGTTTATATTTCTCATAACATCAAAATTTATTCAACTATGTCCTCAGTGAGATAGTACTACATAAAAAATCATATTTCAGATGGCGAAACTTTATCCCCGAATTCAATTTGAGAAGATGATTGTTGACAACTGCACAATGCAAATGGTGTCCAATCCAAATCAGTTTGACGTGATGGTAACACCAAACTTGTACGGCAATATTGTGGACAACTTGGCCAGTGGTCTGGTCGGCGGTGCGGGTGTCGTAGCAGGGGCCTCCTATAGTCCGGAGTGTGCAGTTTTTGAGCAGGTATGTACATTTGTAGGATGGTCATTTCGTAAGTGACTTGTAATTTGGAATGGCTAATAACCTGCTGACCCCCATTATGGAAAATTGTCACTGTAGTATATGGACATAAATATCATAAAACACGCCTTGATTGGCGTTCAATGTATATACCATAGACATGCAAGCATACAAGTTTATCATGTGCCTACTCTAAGTGCATACATGATGTTTTCTAGGGTGCTCGTCACATCTTCTCGGGCGCCGTAGGCAAGAACATCGCCAACCCGACAGCCATGCTGCTCTGCTCCGCCAACTTGTTGGCACACGTCAACTTGCATTCTTACTCCAAAATGATTAAGAACGCCATCAACAAGTATGTATATGTATATTATTTATATTTTTCTGAAAGAATTGGTTTAATGATTTGTAATGGAATGAATAAAAGTGGATATGTAGATTATATATATTTACTTGTATTGACTTATAATACCTCAGTAAGTGCAGAAATACCAAATGAAATTAAATATTCAAGTCTAGCTATATAGACGTTTCACATTTATCGAGTATTTTTAGATCGAATATAGTGTAGAATTGCGATTTACTCGTATCTATCGCTTATTATGTATATTGCCGTAATGAAGTTTGTTTAATATTAGTCTATTATTATGTACCCATTATTTTATTTCCAGAGTATTAACTGACGGAAAGGTGAGGACAAAGGATCTCGGCGGTCAGTCCACAACCAAAGATTTCACCTATGCGGTCATCCAGAGCCTTGCTTAAATATTTGCCATATGTACTGATCGTTCAACGCTCAAGAGAGCTTAACATAAGTATAATTTATTTGTATTGTAATTAATGTAGAAATGTGATCTGAGAAATCAAACATTGTTATTCAATATTGTATAGATTAATTCCCCATTGTATATTGTAAATATAATAAAACGACATTTAATTATATTGGTATTGTTTTAATATGTTAAGCTTGATATTTGAATGTTCTGGAATATTTTTATAATCATATTGGCGAAAGTAATACAATAATACATTATGTATTTTATAACTTTAAAAGTTTTAGAGATTGTTTACAACAGAACAATATAGATGTTTCTATTTCAATATAACAAGTAGATTACGTGCGACAAATTTATGAAATTACATTATTTTCGTCATTACAATTATAATAATAAGAATTTTAATTCGGGAGCTACTACGATGATTTTTAGTCGCCTTGCGGTATAGCTCTCGGAGTGGCTAGCTTTTTTACTCTGTCAGATATTACGTACTTCAATGCATTAGGAGGGACCTAAAAACAAAGTACTTGACAGTATAGTATATGAATATATCGTCATAGTCGTAGAATACTGACGGATCTATATATGTAATCTTTGTCAGATCCGTCAGTATTCTACGACTATGACGATATATATGATCTGATACTATATGAATAAAAGTCAATAAAAAATCAATCGACGATTGATGTATGCGGGAAGTATTCAAAAAGTACCAAATGACCATCAATTGATGATGGGTGACAATATTATGGTCTTTCTCTAATTAGCAGGTTAAAAGTTGCAAATTTATGTGGCATATTACGATATTAGTAAAAGGTATTAATCTTATTTACCTTGACTGGATTTCTATACCAAACTTCTTGGGATAACCGTCTATAGACTTTGAAATCAGGCATCATGCATATTTGGTTGATTCGAGGTAGCAATGCTTCAAGTGGTTTGCCCGTGCCTCTCTATGGAAAATTATATAGGTATATATAAAATGTATAGAAATTAAAGTGATAATATTGTCTTTCATAGATTTTTTTTAATGGATGATAATGGAATGGTAACTCTGCCTGCGCTATACACAGTATACACTGGCGGGGCACTAGTGAGGGACGATAAGTGAATATGAAGCAGGTCAGTTAGCCAATAGTGACAAATTCACCAAAGGATCAGCCACAATGGTTTCCAGGGGGAATCGCGAGGAGGTCCTGACAGGGTATTCTGCTACTAATAAGATTGCTAATCCCCATTACTAATATAATAATCCATCCCCCCCCCCTCATAGAAATATATTAAGCCTTCCATTTTAGTCAGGAGCCATCAGTTGTAAAGTTAGTAAATGAATTATATTCTTATTGTTTTTATCGTTTTTTGACCATTGTTTAATAGGAACGATACAACATGCGTACGATTTATTTGCCGTGTTTTTTTTTTTTGTAAAAAGTTGTCAACTAACTCAAAGGTTCTTAAAATTTTTATATTAGAAGTTATTCTTACCTTAATAGAAGGCGGTCTAAAGTCCTTTTTAGGTCCTGCAATCTGACTGATATAATCCATATGTTTTTTCCATTCACTTTCGGACCAGCATTTTTTCTTTTTCACTTCTTTTGTGTCCGTTTTCTTCAAGTCCAATACGCAATTGGCTAACTTCGAGTAGCACGTGACGTTGGCAGCCTCTATCATGCGGTCGATGCGTTCCAGTCGCTCTTGACTGAAACGGTGCTTGTACATCCGTTTGATTATTAGAAAACGTCTGAAAAACAAGTAAAACCAAAGTATGTTGGAGAGATTTTTCCTTATACATTAAGATTATTTAACAATAGCTACTTATATATTAGTAATTTAATATTTTGTTTCACAAAAACATGAATGGGACCACCCTGTTCTCTGTCGTTATTTCATTTAGAAAATAGTTATGAATTTGGATAAAAGCTAGCGCAAGCTTTGCTAAAACGGTTCCTACTAGTTCCCTATATAGGAATATTTTTTTTTTAATGATTGACAATGGAATGTTAACTGTATACGCTGGCGGGGCACCAGCGAGGGATGATAGGTGAGGATGAAAGCAAATCAGTGATGAATACACATGGAATTCAGTATGATGGTTTCCAGGGGGACTACGTGGAGGTGGACTTGGTCGGGTATATTACTGCAAATGGGGCCCTGCAGTCTCCATTATTAACAATCCCTTTCCGCCATATGGACTACTGGTTTCATTTGTTGTCTTTAGTTCGTGACTAGGATAAGAATTCGATTAATTGGTAGAAATCGGTAACTTTGTAAAGATATTTAGAACATTGTTACTCAATCACGTTTAATTGACTAAACGGTTTTGAATGAAAATACGTACACAGATAGACCATACTAAATTACGAGGGAAAAAGTTTGTGATTTATGTATATGGAAGAAACTCATTACTAATGGCACAGTAATAATAATGAATTAACTTACTTTATATAAGGCCAAGCAACGTCATTGACTCTATCCGATATTTGACTATAGAGAGCGGACTTCCTGATACCTCTAGGTGTCAAAGCAGGCATGCCATCGCTAGTATCAATAATGTACTTTCTTGGTATACTCAATATATTGAGTCTTCTGGGAATCTTGTAGGGAAACGTGGATGACGGTAGATCAAATTTTGGCTTACCCATTGTTACAGCTAGCTATTCAGAGAGTTATAGGAAATGGGAGGTGGTTGGTTTCTGTGTTTTTACATTTTGTTTAGTCAGTGTTTTGTATAGGTGTCCATTTTGAGAGTCTATCAGATGTCAGGTGTGATATGACGTAGGTACGAATTTCGAATTACACTTCAATACACGATATTTTTTTAATTTTTCTTAGAATTTGTTTACAAAAGTAGATAACCCAATTATGATATTTATAGTAATACTAGCTGACCCCGTAAACGTTGTTTTACCACTTATTGCGAAATATAAAAATCACGATTAAAATACAGGGGTTGATCGACGTTGATTGATCGACATTAACGATGAAAATTTAAAGTTGTATGTATTTTTAAATGCTAAATCATATTAAAATAAAAATAAAAAAAAATTGTCATTAAAATAAAAAAAAAATTTTAGGGGTGGGTCACCCTTAACATTGAGGGGTATTAAAAATAGATGTTGGCCGATTCTCAGGCCTACCCAATATGCACACAAATTTCATGAAAATCGGTAAAGCCATTTCGGAGGAGTTTGGTAACAAACACCGTGACACGAGAATTTTATATATTAGAGATTAAAAATTTAATAGTTAATACTACTATATATTAGCTGCATCAATTGATAAATTAATATCGGTCATAGAAAGGGCAAACTTCATAATTTCGGTATTCTCCTATAATCTAAGTATGAAGAGCAAGTTGGGAGTGTCCAAGGTGAAAATTTATATTATTGATGGCAGATATAGTTCCTTAAGCTTTCATTCTGATTAGTGTGCCCGAGTTATGCAATATAAATACTAAATTTATTATTAGTTTATTCGTTACTTGTGTGCTGCCCTTACGCCAGGAACTCTGGCTCTAAAACTTGAGAGCTTAAAGGTTCTTTGGTATCAAAAATTTCCAACTATTTTCGTTTACATGAAGACTTATGCAGAAAATATACATAGATATCCTAGGTAATGTGGTTGTTTTCTGTGTAACTTTATTTTTAAATGATTGCTAATTTGGATAAAAGTTATCTCAAGGGGTTTAAAAGGATCAATAAATTAAACAAAACACGTTTTGTAAAAGTTGTATTAATTTTCTCACAATTTATAACCTAACGCAATACTGTTCTCACTTACAAACATCAACTAACAGGCTCGCTTCACATCTGTTTCACCTATAAAACCAGTCATGTGAATCGAACTAACAAACATATAGCCAGATTACTGTTATAAATATATTCAGTGAATTTCAAACCAAACTATTTATGTGTGCTAGCTGAGGAATAAATTCATTTTTTTATGTTCGTCCTTGAGCAAAATAATTTTTTTTTGCGAATAAAAATAATATTTTATAGTTTGTGCAAAATTTAAATAAAGAATATCGGGAAATGGTTCCGGCACTAACGAAGCATCTAATATTTATGTGCGTGATTTTAAAAATTACATTAAAAACATAAAGACAATAATTATTCTTAACGTTATTAGGACAATATAAACCTGTTTTAACTATTTCTTAAAGTAACATTAATTTGAAAGAAAGTGACAATACAGATTATAAAGATCAGTGCAGACCAATGGTTCGGCATTGAAGATTGGTTGTTGGTAACGACTCTGTGTGACTTCGTTTACGGCTGTTTGTTATTCCAATTTCAGCCGTATACTTAAGAAGCTAAAGTCGATTATTTAATTATAGTCTTCTAGTCTACTTGATGTCTGAGCTGATCCTAATAATTAAAATAGATTTAAAGAGGTATTAATATGAGCTCATTTTTTAAGATGAATCAATACAAGCTGTATGTACCAAATATTACTATTGAAAAATCACATAACAGAGACAAATAAGGATAATAATTGGGTAATTTAACCCTTCTTTGCATGATTTTTTTTAGTAGTGAAATAAATCGAAGTGATATAATTCATGTTTAAAAATAAAGGAAAAATTATTAAAAAAATAAATTTGACAGCTATATTTTTTTTTCTGTCAATGGAATGTAAAAAGGTGTCTAGATATGATCAACTTAAACTTGCTCTTTTATATAATTTTTGGGTATTCAATGTTATGATGGAAATTTCCACCATTATGTAAAGAAGGGTTAAGTAGTGGTGTATAAATCTTCGGTTATCCAATGTATTTAGAACATATTAACATGCTTGTTACTGATTATGTCACTTTCTATTTTATAATGTGAGATATACACTTTTTACTATAACAAATGTTAAGCAAACTCGTCTAACAGCAAGCAGATAACATAATAAATGTTCCAGTTTACAGTTCATTTATAAAAAAGAAAACCCAGTTAAATACCCTATTATTACAATACATATATTATTTAAAACTATATTATATTTGGTGTACCTAATAAGTTATTAAAAGCGAACAAAATTTTGATTTTATAATAAAACTGGATAATTATAGAAATAACAGCAAACATAACATCAACGTAACAGGTTGGGGATCTACCCCAAATAATATTTGAGAAAATATTTCAAAACAAAAATGAAGCGTGTATCTTTTAAAATACAAAATACCTTTATTTTCGACAAAATGTCAATAGTTATCGTTTTAAAAATATTATTCAAGCCTGACTTAATTTTGTGTCATACATAATTTGCTGTAGTTCTTGCTTAAAATATTGCTGCATAATAATTTTATTTAGTATTTAAATAAATAGTGTGATAGTGTAAATATTATGTGACAATAAATTTTATAGGTGAAAACCACGAAAATTACGACCCTTGATTATAGGCGGTGCCAAAACATATGAAGGCCCTTTGCCTAAAATAATAATTTAAAATTTTATTATAAATTTATAATTGCATAATTTTATCAAAAAAAAAAATCGTCTGAAAATTTGAACACCTTTCTTCATAAGGATATATTACACTTAGCCGTACAAGTTATATAAATGATAGCGATACTTTTGCTTACATAGTCTGAGTATCTACATATTGGACTGGCCAAGTGGCTATTGTATGTATATTTATATAAAAAATACTTAGTGTCACAATTGATTACATTAATATCTTTTATTGAGCGTAATATTCATTATGTAAGTATAGAAAATTGATAAAATAGCGGAGGTCTAATGTTAAGATTCATTATTCTTAATCATTTCAGACATTTCTGAACATAGACTGCCATAAGGAACGAGTCTCAGTTTACATTAATTAAATTCCTGCCATACTACATTGTAGAAATAATATTACATTACATTCATTTATTAAAATCGTTTCACAATAAGAAAATACAAATTTTCATAATTTGTGCTATAGGATTATAGATATTTATTGAAGATATATTTAATTTTTTATTTAATGAACATATACAACTGAGTTCCTATATAACTATATTATATGACTGGCATAGACATACACTGAAATACTTGAAAATTTATATGATAGGTATTTTTAAATTCGCCATTTTCTAAAATAAGAAGGAAGCCTCAAGGTTTTGTTCGAACGAAACCTGTCATCTGTTATTGTTCTTCGAAAATTCGTTTATTCATTAATATCTATGTAATATAGGAATCTTGGAACAAAATTTAATCTTTCTAATAGGTATACACAATATAGCAATGTATGTTGTATTTTATATATATCGCTAATTTTTTTCATCTTTTTAGGGTTCCATTCCAGATTTGAAGGTTAAAGGAAAAAACGGAACCCTTAAAGGATCACTTCGTTGTCAATCAGTCATGACCCTTTTTCTTAGGAACGCGTGGAGGTATCAAATTGAAATTAATATCATATACTCGGGTCTGCAATCTATTAAAGCAGTGAAAAAATTAAGCTTATAAATCGACCCAGTCAAAAGAGACGGCCATTTATGTTCCATTTACTTATATCGCATATTTTGACATTCGCAAAGGGAATCAAAACCTATAAGGTACTTCCCATTAATCTAAAATCATAAAATTTGGCAAGAGCAAAAAGCACAAATAAATAGTTGAAAAAAAAAAATTTAAATTGATGATTTTAATCACCAAAAATCCATTTTTTAACGTTGCGCGATTTTGTATGGAACCCACTTGCTCTGCTTTTTAAATTTAGATTTGATTGAATGTAACGTAAGATTATTTCTTTTAATTATTCTTATTAATAAAGGAATATTATTGTTATAATATCCCTTTATTTATTTTCTGTCGCAAGATGTTGGTTCACACTTCAATTTTGGACATTAATGGTTGCGATGACGTCGGACTGGATTCTGTCTGATACTGGGCTGATGTCTTCGATAATTTTTTTGGGTTCATTTCTGCGGGCGATACTGTAAGCAAAATGGTCTATTAGTAACTACCAACTGAGATAGAATCATTTTCCGACTACCGACTTTTAGGAAATTATAATTTTTTTTTATACAACTTAGAATGGCAAACAAGTTGACGGCCCACCTGATGTAAAGTGGTAACCGTCGCCTATAGACATGAGCAGTACCATAGACATAACAGAGAATAATGTTTCACACATGATACCCCCCATGCGTTGCCATTCTTGAGAACTCAGGTGTTATTCCTCTGTACCCAGTAACTTCACGCCATATCCCACCCTTCAAACCGAAACACAGCCATGCAAACACAACTGCTTCACGGTTGAAACACAAATGGGACAGAGGTACCCAAGCAATCGACTTTTGTATAAAGTCTCTCTCTGATGGATTATAGGAGTACATTATAGGATTATTGATAATTACAAATGTAATTTTTAGTTTTCTCTAGGTAATAATTATAATAATAAAATCAATTAATTACTAAATAAAAAAGTAAAGGCAACAGATGCAGTCGGAATATTGTTTCTATTAGATATAAAATGTTAATGAGATGCTATTCTAATAACAAGTGAGATACAGATGCGTTTGCGTCGATGGAATTAGTGTGATATAATAGTTAAACAGAAATCATTATTAAAGAAAAAAAAAAAACAATAATATACATCAGGAGAGGTACTACAAAATGACAACGTGGAAGTGTCTAGAGTCACCCTCTAGACAAGTGGCAAGCAAATCCATCGATAGAATTGTCATCGCTAACGAGTCCATGGGATAGAATGAGATAGCAACGTTCGATATCTCATTCCAACTCTTGGTCTCGCTTGCGATAACGATTCCACGGATGGATTCGTTTGTCACTTATCCAGGGGGCAAACAAGAGATTTAAATAATAATATTACGAATTTATGATAGCACCATAGTGAAGCTATTAAAGATTGGTTTGACAATTTTCAATAAATATACAAGTTCGGAAAGGGTATAATCATTATTCATATAACTGAAAATTTTTTTGAAAATATTTACATGTAGTATGTACTTGCACTTTTTATTTAATTTTTTAAATTTAAATTTTTAATTTTAATATATACAGTGTATATATTTAGAAATAAAAAGCGCAAGTATTTTCATATTAGTAAACAATTTTGGCATATATTTTTAATTAAATAATTTAAATAAACATGCTAAGATGGTTTACTAAAATAAAGGCTGTTTAAACTACAATCATAATATTTCCAAAAAATTACAGTGTGTCTAGACCAAATTTACATTAAAAGATCAGTTTCATGAAATTAACTTTACAAAAAGTTTTAGTAACTAGTTTTTAGTTTCACAAACTAAGTTTCGTGCTCTGAGTGATTTTTTAGTCACATCATGCAAATGCTAATTTCATTTTTTAAATGAGACGCAAAATTAATATCACAAATGTTTTAAAGTTCATGAGTTTATCACGTATTGGCTATTGTTTGAGATTAGTGTCCTGATAAAAAAAAATATCATGCAGAAAATTTGCTAAGTTAATGTAAATACTGCTTTATACAATTTAATAAATTTTATTACTGACCCTTCAGGAGACAGTGAAAATAGTTGTAATAAGACAAACAAAACTGTGAAAATAAGCATTGATAGCGAGTCTTCCGTAACCATAATCTCACTTGTTTGAAAGCTAAAAGCATGCGAACTCCTATGTTAATACAAGGCACCCATGAATCCCACCACCTTTATTTGATTTTTGGACATACCTCCCAGACTAGGACGACAAATCGGTATGTAATGATGTTGATGGCGTAATATTTGTATGAAAATAAAAAAAAGAAATACACATTTAGAAAAATATTTAAATACATACATATTAATTGCTTGGTGTTTTTTTTTTAAAACATGATTTCAATTTCTATAGTCCATAATATGGAATATAGAAATTTAAATCATATGTTTTCTATAAAAGACACCTTTTTTTATATAACCGTAATTTTTACTATTAAAACATTAAAACGCTTATTAAACAGTATACAATAATTAAAACTAGTGATTATAAAATATATTTGGAAATAAAAGAACTTCAAAAGTTTTTTTAAGTTATTATATAATAGGATGTTTTTTTTTTGAACAACTATTTTATATTTAAAAACCAATATATTATAACACTGAATAAAAAGCACCGTAAATAAGCAATATATTCCATAAAATTTTATAATTATAAATTTAATTTAATAAACATACTTCAATAGTAATATCTTCCATTTCCCAAAATAATGTGTTACCAAAAAATATTACAATGTTTCCCAATTGGTTTATACAATTCCTTATTTTTAGATTTACCACATTACATAGATTATTAATTGCCAATTTGTATCTATGTAACAATAGATACATATTGGTGAAAAAGTTAATAAGGTTGTATCAATAAGCCAAGTAGTGTGGAATAAAATATTTATTAACACAGAAATTAATAAAGTAGTGGAAATATAAAGATAATTAAAAATTAAAACATAAAACAGTCATGAGTTAATTTTTAAAAATGTCAGTACAGATTCAACCTTAAAAACTTCGCCCCAAAAAACATAAAACGAAAAATACTTGAGAGATATTTGTAACTATTCACAATAATTTATATATCTACAGTTTAAGATATAAAAAAAAAAATAAGTGAATAAATTAATCTGAGACCAAAACAACAGTAGATAAGTTTAGAAATGGTCAATATATAAGGTAAAATTATAATAAGAAATTCCGATTTTTTAAGTCGCTTAAATATATAAATATTTTCAGCTCTCAAGATATTTGGTCGAATTATAATATACCAAGCGCACACGAGTCAAGTAAGAATAGATACTCACCAGCCTTTGATCTTCTGATAAATGTATATAGCTGTCATGGGAATCGGCGTCATGATAGCCACCGCAACCGGCACCACTGTAATCATATAATGTTGACACTGTTTTCCATCAGATGTTTTTTGTCATTCAGTCGTAAAAAAAAAAAAAAAAACTGTTCAGCTATTTCCATTATTAACTCGTTGGATATTGCTAGAGTGTTATTTCGTTTAGTTCGTTTCGTTCCAATCTTTTCCCGTGGGTGTCGTAAGAGGCGACTAAGGGAATTTAATGATCGAGAGATAGGTAGCAGTGTCCCTCTTAAAACGTCACCAAAGTCTGCGGTTGCCGACCCGCTTGCCAAGCGTGGCAGCTACTGGCAAACGTCCTCATTATGGGGGAGGCCTATGTTTAGCTGTGGAAAGTTAACAGCCGATATGATGATGATTATTTCGTTAAAGGCCCATTTTTTATAATGACGCTCTCCTGCTCTATTAATATAAACTGACAAGATATTATATCAGTAAGAGATGATAGATCAGGTCAGTCGGCCTATCGTGATTAATTCACCAGGAATTAATAAAAAAAATAATAAAAATTCATTAAGATAATTTCTAGAAAGGGCCGAGTGGACTATGACTTGGTGAGATATATTGCTAGTATTGAAGTTGTTGATCCCAATGAGAAATCCTTTTTTTTTTTTTTTTTTACAACACAGGGGGCAAACGAGCATGCGGCTCACCTGATGGTAAGTGACTACCGCCGCCCATGATCACCCACAACACCAGCGGCATTGCAGGTGTGCTGCCGGCCTTTTAAAAAGGAATATCTCTTTTCTTGAAGGTTATGTTGTCGTATGGTTCGGAAATACTGCTGCTGGAAATTCCAAAGAATGGTTGTGCAAGAAAGTGCCTTGAAAAACGCACGGTGGAAGACCGCCACTCGTCCAGATGATTGGGATGAAACTTTAGTTTGTGGCGGGTTGTACGGTGGTGAAAATCAGCAGCAGGTATCAATCCGAACAATTCCTCAGAACACTCCCCATGATAAATTCGGTAGAAGATACACAGAGATGTAACATCTCTGCGCAGTTTCAGTGGGTCGAGTACAGTAAGGCGTTGACTATCGATAATTCGAGCCGCCCGACTTTGAATGCGGTCTAACGGAAGGAGTTGGTACTGTGGCGCTCCTGCCCACAGGTGAGAACAGTATTCCATATGCGGCCTGACTTGGGCTTTATATAATTTCAGGCGGTGATGAAATATCGTCTCACCCTATTTTCCTAACTTTTTGGAAGCTTCTTAGCCTTCTCCTCCAGATGACCGCAAAACTGACGTCGCAAGATATATCAACACCCAGAATTCCTAGACTCGACTTTTTATCAAGGGAAGTGCCCTGAAAGTGAGGAGATACGACAAACGGCGTCTTTTTTGCGGTAAACGCGCAGACTTGTGTCTTTTTGGGGTTAAATTGGACAAGATTTTGTTCACCCCAGATCGAAACTTGATGGAGTGAAGTTTCGATTTCAGACACAAGTCTATTCCGGCACTCATCGGTATGTGCCCGCGAGATCTTTGCATGACCGGTATATAATGTATCTCCTGTACTGTCGTCTGCATAGCAATGAATATTACTTATCTGTAACATATCATTGATATGCAGAAGAAACAGAGTCGGAGATAGTACACAGCCTTGCGGGACACCAGCATTCAAAGGTTTTAAATCAGAGCATGCTCCGCTACGACCTTAATGCTACGTTCCCGAGAAAACTGGCGACCCAAATGCACAGTCTCGCAGGCAACCCAAATGAAGGTAGCTTTGAAAGCAGCGCTCTATGCCACACCCGATCAAAGGCCTTCGCAATATCCAGACTAACTGCTAAGTCCTCTCCCTTACTCTCGATTGCCACTGCCCATCGGTGTGTTAAGTGCTAAAAGATCATCCAGCCGAACGTCCCTGTCGAAAGCCGTACTGGCGATCACAGATCAGTGGTGCTCTTCTAGGTACCGGAGCAGTTGACGGTTAATGATGGATTCCATAACCTTCGAGAATAAGGAAGTGATAGCTATGGGCCTATAGTTAGCTGGATCTGAGCGATCTCCACGCGGGATCGGATGCACCAGAGCAGTCTTCCAAAACTTTGGGACTATGCCCGATGAGTAGCTAAGCCGAAAAAGACGCGTAAGAACCGGAGCCAACTCTGGTGCGCACGTCCTAAGCACAATTGGAGGAATACCATCGGGCCCACTCGACTTATGGATTTCGAGGGAGAAAAGTGCTCTACGCACTGAGCTATGCGTGAATTTAATGTCAGGCATATCCTACAACACGTGATGGTCGGTGGTGATTTCATCCCGTCATCCAATGTCGAGTTTGACGCAAAGATGGATCCAAGAAGATCGGCCTTTTCCTTAGCGTTCTGGGCCAACGAGTCATCCTCCCTGCGCAATGGTGGAAAAGATGACTTACAGAAATTCCCTTTGCAGCTTTGGCAAGAGAGAAAGCTCGAGTCCCAGAGGGCAAACTAGCCAATCTCTTGACAATTCTACTAATATGCTCTGACTTCGCTATAACTCTTTTGAAAGACCTAGAGGCAGAGTTATACTTTTTTTGAGAGCACTGGTGTTAATCTCGGACGCCACACCTTTAGCCCAGGTTAGGAAGCACTCCTGTTTCAGACGAGATGCTGTTCTACAAGAGGCTCCATACCAGGGCTGGGATACGGGCACCACAGAGTTAGGAATAAATAATTCCATTCCCTGAAGCACCACATCAGCAATGGAATCGGCAATGGCGTCAGGATCATCCAGTGGGAAGCAAACCCGCCTCCATGGGTAAGATGCGAAAAAAATCCGCATCTCATCCCAGTCCGCTGACCTGTAGTGCCAGACACGAGTCTACCCGTGGAACGTGGTGGAATCGGACTCATGAGAGGCACCTCCAGACTGTGATCCGACGATCCATTCGACGGAAATCACATAAGCAAAAGTGAAGGTGAATGGTCCAACACATCAGGTATTCGCGTAAAGACCATAAGCCAAAGCAAAGTCATGAACAGATCTTCCCGCATAGTCGGTTGTACGTGAACCAAGCCATTCGGTATGGTGGGCATTAAAATCGCCAAGAATCACGACTTCAGCGGAAGGAATCTGTTCGAGCAAATCTATAGCCATTTGGACGTGCTCAATGAGTTGGTCGGTTTCGATGTTACTGTGGGACCTTAGTCTAAAATAGACAGGTCCGTACCTTCAAGAAACAGCAGATATATACACCGGCACGCGAAACAAAACAATGTTCAATAGCCCGGGTATTTACGAAGTTTCGTAGAGGATATCTGTGTCTCCGTTAGAAAGAGCAATGCCGGCCGCGCCGTTTCTAAGTGGTGGTGGACAGCGTTTAGGTTATGTAATCCCCTGATATTGCAGAAGCTCACATTGACAAGGGGATGCCGTAGAAATAAAGAGCGGAATTTTGCCCCCCCCCAGAATACGCAGGGCAGCCCGAGCGTGGTTGCTCGAGAGAGGATTCTCCAGCAACATGGTTACTGGTACCTCCCTGGGGTATGCTATTTTTTTTTAATTCCACTGCCATGGTTGCGTGTTGTAAGATAGGGGGACGGGGTTGGGGAAAGGATTTTAGGAATAGGAAAGGGATGGGTGTGGGATGGGTATGGGATGGGCCTCGACTCCCTCACTCACCGTACGGAATGTGATCGCACTGAAAGTGCAACCACTTAGCGTCGGTATTCTGTGAGGGTGTAAAGTGCTGCAATACCATATGGTATTACAGCGTGGCTCTACCACCTAAAACCTATCCTAAACCTATCCTAACCATCCTAAAGAGGATAACTGATAATGATCAGCTATCCTCCTATTTAATGGTGTTTGAGGGAAATTAATGTTCATTAATGTATGCTGATTAATTTTTTTTAAGAAGCAGTTTTATTTATTATTATTTTTTAATAAATGAAGCAATTTTAAATTAAATGGGAGAAACATCGTCACCTGTGGTGAGATCAGCCTCTGGCTGCTCGAGCGCATATCTTAGCAAGAAGATGGCAATGCCCGTGTTTTGCACGCCGGTCTCTATGGAGATGGCGAGCGCGTCGGCATGCGGCTGTTTCAACACACGCGCTAGTGCATACCCGAACGCGTATCCGAGCCACGGGATACCAATGCCCGCTACTATTATCTGTAATTGGAAATATCCACTTAAAGTTTTTGTAGGTAAATATATACATATCAATACATTTGATGAGATTCATATAATAGCCAAAAAGTCAGCAGCATCTGTGTCATATATCAAGTCATGGTATTCTCTGCCAGAACTGTTTGCTGTATCAAGTAAAACTTGAACATTTTCAAGAGAGACGTGAAAAAGAGTTTATATAAACTGGTACAGTAAGGACCGCAGGTTAGATGCAACCTTTCGTTGCAAATGCAACCCAGATAGATTTCATAATTGCTTACCATCATATGACTAAGGAGTCAATGCATCGTGCTATTGCATTAAAAAAAAAAAAAAAACTTTAGTGTTTTGTGTAATCAGCCAGCTTTAAAATATATGAACCATATCACACTTTTGTCTATTACTTATTATTAAAATATAATATTTACGAGTGTATACTCGACTAAAGAGATCTGATAGTCTACAATAAACTCTCACTTAGCTTACTCAGAGTTAACAGTACCAATACCAGTAAACTGATGGGCGGATTGTCTTAAGTGGTCAAAAGTAGTTTGCGTGTATACCTGTATCTAACTCATGTTTTTGTAGTCAAGCGACTGTGCTTACATTGTTGTATTCCAAATCGAAAGGTGGGATATGTCTGTAAAATTACAAAGTAACAAAATAGAACTCTGGAATGGTAATGCATCAAGAGCGTCACAGTGTATTTTGTAATATCTATGATGTTATTTATTTAAACTTTTCTTCAGGTGGGCCATCAAGGTTTGATTGCCAATTCTAGTTATATAAAAAAAATCTGTACTTACTTGCCATGTGAACAGCTCGAAGATATACAAGTTCGTGGCAATGGCGAATACAATGATGAATAGAAGTAACGTTGTGGAGAATCCCTTCAGGATCCTGACCATGAAGGCGGCCAGTCTCGGGGTCCAGCGCTGCATGCAGAGGCCGATGGCCAGCGGCACTATAAGTCCGACCACGAACGTTCCGATACGCTGGTACGGAACCACGATGTTCGCGTTACGGAACACCACTTGGCCGAGAGAGAACAACCACATAGGCATTAAACCTGCGAAAAGAATAGGAAAATCGGTATTGTGATTTAGTTTAAAATAGCGACTGACGTAATTATTAGGTAACATAACATGTGCTAGGGAGGATGGGGATTTTTTGTAATGCGGACTACCAGCGCTATTGCTAGCAATATACCCTGTCAGGTCGACCTCCACATGGTCCCCCCTGGAAACCATAGTGCTGAATTCCAGGTGTATTCACCAACGATGGGCTATACTGACCTGCCTTTTCATTCTCACCTATCAATCCTCATTGGTGCCTCGCCAATGTACACCGTGAGTGCGAGCGGGGTTGCCATTACCCATCCAAAAAATATAAAATGTGCAAACAGCGTGTAGGTATTCGATCGACTTCAAAAAGTAGGGTTTTTGTGTGATGTTGTTAGTTGATATTATTATAATTAGAAACAGATTACGATGTCTAATTTTTAATCGAAAATCTCGTGTGGTTCACAGTAATTTAGTATATTGAAAGAGGAGTTTAACAACTTTAAATTACAGCAGACTGGTTTTAGGTCGACCTCTTTCTGACCGTATAAATGCTCATATTACAATATATTCTAGTTTATTCAAATAATTTAAATGAACTTCTACTCCTCCTTGCCAAGAATCATAACATCTCTATGTTCTGTAAAATTTTGTGGTTATTTATTTGGAAAAGCGAGCTTACCAAAGGCAGCGAATGTAGACAGTGATGTCATGGCTAATGAAAGGTTCAAGTTTCCACCGAGGATGAAGGTCCAAATGTTAGAAGCACCTCCGCCCGGAGACACACCCGTGAAGAACATGCCCAGCCGCATTTCGGGTTTGTCCGGGAATATTAGGAAACCTAAACCGAATGACATCTGTGGAGCCACTCATAGAATTAATTAATAAGCAAAATATATATAGAAGAAATAAAAAAATGTATATACATTAACTGTCTCATTCATAAAAACATTTAATAATTATATACATAATGATCATTGATGTGTGATCCTTTTAATTATTGATATTTTTTTTTATTTTAAATATAACAAAAATGTAAGATTAGACTTTATGAATAAGAGGTAAGGGACAAGACCGTTCTTAAAACAATCTTGATTATTCCTGATTATCGAAAAAGTGATTTTATATTGCTATAAAATAAACAGAAAATACACAGATAAGCGGAAACTGAAAATTACGATTTTGATATTAAAAATATTTAAATGGATTTAAATTAAATTTGGTATTTAGTTTGCACATATTCTATAATTTAATATAGAGGATTACTTATATAATGATTCAAGGATAAAACCGCGTAAAACAGCTAGTATTATATACTCACAAGTGGCATAAACAGGAACTGTCCGATCATGCCTATACCGGGCCCAATGGGCTTTTTCAACACCTCCTTCACTGTCGGCCAGTGCATTGCGCACCCAAAGTTAATGAAGATTATGGACACCTGTCAATCAAATATAGATCTGTCAAATTATATATATTTAGCTTATATTTAACTAAAGATAATCGTTATAGATTGTTGGTGTTATTAGAAATACATATATTGTTGTGATTAATTCCCAGTAATTTCGTTACAATTTTTCAAACTAAAATAATTCTAAAATGTAATATTTTTAAATAGTTAACAGACTGAAACTTTACTTTCCGATTCCTCGTTTCAGTGGGATTTGAACCCATATCTTTCTACTATTCGAGTGAGTATATTTCTAGTTACATCACAGAAGTAATATTTCTCAATTATCAATTGGTAATTTTTTAATTGCATTTGTCAATTGCTTAAAATTTGAATTTTTTAGACATGGATATTAAGACAGTTATGTCTTAAAATACTCACAAGTGTGGCAACACTGCTCGTGAATATTGTATCTATGACCCGCACCGGACGTATCACTGTCACTTGTAGATTACCTTGCACTGGATTCGATGCGCCGTTACGGATTGCGTGTACGGTCACATTTGTTCTACCTGTTGAAATTATGTTTATGAATCTAAATATATACTAAACAGAAAATGTATAAAAATCTTTTGATTGGGTGGCACTGTTCCACTAAAGCTTTTAACGCTAAGCAACTATGTATGAATAACTGTATTACGGTTTGAAAGTAGTGAAATTTAAAATTATGAATGCAAACATCTTACTCCTCAGGAGTAGCTACTAATAATACGACGGGCATCACATATACGCATCACGTATATTCTGTATAACTCTAAATAAAATATTATATTTTAACTTAATAATCACGTTGGTTCTCTTCCTTTATAAACTGTAATTTAAGAAAATCTAAAATTTTATGAAATATGCTTACCTATGAATTTGCCATTGACTCTCACTTTTCCTTGCCAATTACTGCTATAGTTTTCGTCCGCTATACTAAACGTTGAGTTCCATTCTGCTGATGCCACGTGATCTCTGTCTGTTTCTAATTTGAATTTGTCGTCCACTTGCATATCAGATCCTGAAAATAATGTATTGATAAAAAATAAGATCTGTTAACTAAAATGAAAAAAGGCATAAATCAAAATTTTGTGAAATCAAGAGAAACATTCTCGAATGTTGAAGAAAAATTAAATTTTTCTAAGATTCTTTGATATAATTATCACAAACTATTTTTTAAGCAAGCAAAAGTGCATCATGTTTTATTTAACTCTAGCAATCAAAATCGAGAGCGTTGTGACCCAATAGTGCATACACTGCCTCGATTTATAGACCGCAAACGTCGTAAATTCAAATCTGGTGAATACGATAAAATTTGCATTATGTTAATTCGAATAACTCTCCCGTAATGGAAAATAATGATAAAAAAATAAATTAAACCGAGTGACTTCAGAAAAAAACACAATAGCAGTTGTGCTTTTTTTTCCTGAAGAAGGCAGTACTATTATACGGTATACATATGATATAGAAAACTGTATGTAGAAATGGTGACAACTGAAGTGCTTTTACTATGAACTTGGCACCTTGTCCTCTCCTTGCAAGACGAAATACGCGAGTTGAGCCATATTTCAGTGAGGAATTGAATTAAATACACTGATTTACGATCTTTTTTTATAGAATTAATGAAAAAGTAACCAAGTTTTGTTGAAATGATCACAGAAATACTCTAAGTGTAGTGTGTGTAAAAAGTGTAAGCAACAAATCGAAACATCATCATATCAGCTTTTAACTGCTGGACATAAGCCTCCCCCTAGAGGGGTTTGGCCAGTAGGTGCCACGCTTGCCAGGCGGATTGGCAACCGCAGTTAGGCTTTAGAGATGTTTTAAGAGGGACGCTGTTGCCCATCCCTCACCCTCCCTAAGTCGCCTCTTTCGACACCCAAGGGAAAGGAAAGGAGGGGGGGGGGGGCTATTCTATGCCAGGACCACACGGGAAATTGAAATATACGAACAATTAATCAATCAATTCTTAATTTGTACTACTATTGGACATTAGTAAACTGTATTAAGTTCGGGCCATTTATTTCTTTGTTTATACTTTCATTAAATTCTATTAAAACATATTAAGGACTTACCTGTAATTGTGAGGTTTACGTATTCACTATCGTCCATGTGAACTGTGATGTTATTCGGCGTAAATGTAGCTATAAGGTTGGGCATGGCCTGACATATTACCCATAGTGGACACAGTGCTAGTAGGTATATAATGATGAGGTGAAGGGGCCAAATGGGACACATTTTGCCCTGATTCTTCTACCTGAAAGCAATAGCAAATTTTATGAATTAACATCACATTGTATAAAAAAACAAATACTGAGATATACATATGAGGAAGTTTACAATATAAAAAAAACATTGCAAGATTCAAATTTTGCAATGTATGATTCTTAAATAGAACTGATATTCTAAGTAAATTAGAACGAATATAGGTCATGGGATAATCATAACTATCATACTAAGAGAAAATTATTTTTGTTAAAAGATTTGCGTGTATGTCTGTCAGTCAAAACCGCATACTTAACAGTTCATACGTCATTTAACAATGAGTACCAATCAGGCGACTTTTTTTTTAATGGGTGATAATGGAATGATAACCACACTTGCGCTATCGGTATAGTGAAGGATGATAGGTGAGGATGATGTAGGTCAGTTAGCCCATCGTGACGAATTCAACAATTGTTCACGATGATTTTCAGAGGGCACCACGTGGAGGTCGACTTAATAGGGCATATAGTTAGTAATGGGGATGTCAAACTCCATTGCTAACATTCCCTTTCCCCCCAATCAGGCGACTTTAGAATTCTATAGGAAATCGTTTGGAAAAAAAAAAAGAAACAATCATAGTTCCGATTTAATTTATATATATATATATATATATATATATATATATATATATATATATATATATATATATATATATATATATATATATATATATATATATATATATAGATTGATTTTTATAGTTTCTACTATTAACCACAGGAAGCGTTGTGGTTATACATCATTGTTAAATGGTAATACATTTATATTATTCCCACAGGCGTACACAATCAGTAATGATAACGACAGTGTTTTATACATACAGTTCAGATTTTTGGCTATTGAGAATCCATTATGCAAACAGAATTTAGCCAATCGTTATACTCGACTGCCTGTATAATAACAATGAGAGACTATATTGCAAAATGGACGATCAAATTTGCAAAAGTTGCAGACTTCGTCATTTCATCATTTACAAATTCTGTTTACTTGCATAAACTTTATTTATATCTTGAATCACATTTGAAATAGGTACTTCGCAGTTTATTTGATAAATAGAGTTGATAACAATAATTAATTGCATTTCGCAACGGTTACTGTTTATATTATTGGAGCTCGAAGATATGGAATTTCCATTTAGGTACTTTTCACTTTAATTCCCAGTAATCTATAATAATATAATAATGTGGAAGAGTTTGTTTGGTTGAATACGCTATATTAAAAAGGTTATAGGCTATTTAATATCACGATGAAAACTGGCGTGGGATACGGCTAGTGATGAATCAAGTTTAAAGATAAGAGGAAGGTAATGAGGGAAAAGTAGATAGTAGGTATTTATAGATTGTATGTTTCGGGCTATCTGCATTTTGTTATTCCGTTCTATCTTATAATACACTTTAGATAATAACAAAATGTACCTAGAGTACATGTGACATATTTAACACCCAATGTTTAACTAGAGTATTTAGTCAACAATGAGTAGGTAGTAGTAGAGAAGAGATATTAAATGGAATATACAACCGAGTTGAAAACATCCTTCTTTTTGAAATCGGTTGAAAATGTAATCTAACAGTCAGTTCAGAAAAGATATATGAACCGTGTGTAAAGATTTTATGCGCCAAAGACAAAAAGTCTTGTAAAGACGAGGAACAGTCCATGGTGTACATTATATACGACAAAATATTACATAGAAAGTAATAAGGAACTTTGTCTTACTCAGACAAAAAAAATATTAGTTTGTACGTTAGAAAGGCACTGGCATGTCGCCATGCGCTAGCTAGCACTAACAGAAATATGTCTTTATCTTAGATTATATAGATAGAACCTCGAGCCTCAAAAACAGGTCAACTTCTTGTCAGCTAATTGTCAATTAGTTAACTTTTTTGTTAGTATTCTATATACTTACGCATAAAATGTATCTTGACGTATTATTAAATAAATAAAATTAGTGTTTACGCATTAAAAAGATGCAGAATTTATAAGACAAAATATTATCACGCAAAAGTTGACCCGTTTTTCTCGAAGATTTTTTTTACAGCATAGGGGGCAAACGAGCATGCAGATGGTAAGTCATCACCTGATGGTAAGTGACTACCGCCGCCCCTGATCACCCGCTACACCATTTCTATGGAGACACTCTATCTATATAATCTAAGGTCTTTATATTGCTACTTAAAAAGTTTAGGGGACAACAAAACCTCTTTAAAAACAACGATATCTAAATTAATTCGGTAATTATCTTCGCTCGCTTAGATTGATAAGTTTTATGGAATTCAAATCTAAGATAATAAACGTCTGAATATTTTATAGATCTTAGTTATTCAATCGATTAAAATTTTAAACTTTTTATCGCATCAGATTATGAGTGGCTAAAAATAACACCAACTCTACTCCATTATACTAAAAACTTTCATATTGATATTTATAATATTAATCAGTTGCCAGTTGTAGTAGTATTTATCGAATATTCTAACTTTGTAGTGGATCTGAAAGTATGATACGTTAAAGTGATACAGGCACTGTTTACAGTTACTAGAACAGTGGTACGCTATAAGGCGATTTGATATAAATAAATAGCATGACTCGATTGATTTTCAATAGGTATAAATAATGCAGCTACAAATCCATATAAATGACAGTGAAATTCAGTGATATATAAACTAAAACATAAGGTTATTTGTCTTTGAATACTATTAATATAAGAAATGCGAAAGTTTGTAAAAATGAACGGTTGGATGGATATTTGTTAGCCTTTCACGCAAAAACTACTAAACGGATTTGAATGAAATTTTGTAAACGGGTAGATCAATTAGATTTTCTGTTATTCCTGTCTATGGTCGACTAGTAGATAATGCTATAAGGTATTAAGTCCGCCATTTACATTTTCTAGGTATATTAAAGTTTAATAAATAAATAGCCTAACTTAGTACATAGAATTCTTTATATACTAATTCGCGCAAGTAAAGCCGCGAATTACACCTAGCTAGTCTATAAATTTTAAATATTGTGTCTGTGACCTCTTAAAGGAGTTTTAAATTCGTCTTAATTTTTATTTTATGACTATGTTACGAGATGAGCTTCTCAAATTTCAACTGATTTTCATAATTCTGTTTACAATTGATAGGCTTTACTCAAATGTTTCATAATAATTTAGTGACGATTGATGCTACCGTTTTTTTATGCGGAGCAAAAATGCCTGTTACGATGCAAAATTTAATTGAACTTCGATTCCGCGTTCTAAGTTTAAATTTTATATTTCGTCGTTCATTGGTGTACTTGTAACGTTAAACATTTATTTAAATAAAAAAAAAATACGTCTGCAATTCTCTGTAAACCTATTGAGACACGTGTAGTAAAGTGTTTACATACTAATACAACTGCACGTGACTGGACATATATGACACTTAAATAAGTCATAATATCCGCTTTGCAGTCTATTCAAAGATGATATAAATGTACTGCTTTACGATGACCAAAGGGGGACTTTGTACAAAAGTAGTTTGCTTGGGCATCTCTGTCCTATTCGTGTTCCTACCGTAAAGCAATTGTATTTGCATAGCTGTGTTTCGGTTTGAAAGTAGGGATATGGCAGTAAATTTACAAGGTACAGAGGAATAACACCTTAGGCCTCAGGAATGGCAACGCATGGGGGCATCATGGGCGAAACAGTATACTTTGTTATGTCCATGGTAATCCAGTATCCTTATGTCTATAGGCGACGGTTAATATTTTCTATCAGGTGGGCCGTCAGGTTGTGCCCATTTTAAGTTACATAAAAAAACGATTATTATATTTTCTGACTTCAAACAGGATAAAACAAATGTAGTATTCTTAAGCAATAACTTCGATCATTCTTTGACGATTATCTTTACAATGAATAGGCCATTTGCCGTGTGGGTTTATTTACTTAATTTTCATTATTAGAAATAATTACGATTATACATCACGACTTTTACGGATAGAAATATATTTTAAAAGAATTTGATGCGATTTTTAGTGTTATATATAAAGTACATTAACGCCATAATCAAAATTTACAAATTGAAAGATATTTACATTTATATCTTCTATTTTAATATAGGTTTTTTATAATTTTAATAGGTAATACTTAAGTTAACTACAAATAGAAATAAAATTGTACTTCAGAGAGAACATTTATAACTAGCTTTTACCCGCGATTTCGTTCATGTGGCTTGCTCGAAGTAAAAAGTACGTGTATGCCAAACTTCGTGAGGATTGGTTGGGCCGCTAAAGCACTAAGGTAGCAAAGAAACGATTCATTTTCACATTTAACATATTAGTTAGGAAATTTTAAAACAGGTTTTCAATTCGATTTCACTTCTTTTATAATGCGGAAATAGACCAAAATGTTTCATCTTTTAATCAATTATACTAATTCAGAGAAAATTGAAGTTATTTTAATACTAAATTATATTACATGTAATAAAAATATATAAGATTTAATATTACAGGTGTATGATATTATATCACATATGATTTTCAAATAATCTGACGTTCGGCACTCTCCGTAATCCGTGAAAATGTTACGCTATCACCTGCGTGCTGTGATCAATTTCATGTTTACAATAGGTAAGAGATAAATCGATGAAGAATAATTAGTTCCAGCACATACTTTGTGGAGCAAATAATTGGAAATAATCAAAATATAAACTCACCATAGAAGCCAATTGAAACTTATCACTGCACAATTAGTTACGATCCAGTTTTTTATGATATTGACCGTACCAGTCCGATATCATTCGCTGCCCACTTAAGACTACTCTCAAATTGGAAGATACGTCGATGGTAGATATATATTTACGTAATATTAAAGTTATGAGATAACCACAAATTTGATGTGAACTTACTATACTGTTTATAATAGCAATTCAGTTAATATTTATTAGTACGACTAAGTTACAGTGAGATAAAAATCATATTTAGTCACATACTGATAAAATTTGATATTATTGTTTTGAATTGTTAAATCCTTGA